TAGCCAATACTTTTATTAGGATCAGCCAAAATGCCACTAAGGAGAGTACATTCTTTTGGCTTCTCCAGATTTCTTAATCATGTTAGGTAGTAAAAAAGCAATGGGTTGAGGGGTTGTAAATATTATGCCAAATGCTATACCCATGAGGTTTGCTGCTTAGACCTACTTTCAAGACAGAGATTACTGTCTGAATGTGAAGCCTACGCATATCTGAACAGAAAAGAGTCCTGCACTCCCAGGGCTGCAGTAGAACATTTTTCTCTAAACATAAGATTGCACCCAAGATCACTGGTACTTGTTACAGTTATTCAACTGCAATCTGGATCAGTCAACACGACAATCCAGAATACAGGTTGAATGTGGCTTACTATTGAATTGTGTGTTGTAATTGAATCATGGGTTGTTGTGTTGTATGAACCCAGGCATTCTAACAAACCATGATTTTGTAATCACAAACAACCCACATTTCACAATCCAAGAATAAAACATGAATTTTCTTACTGGATTGTTCATCGTTAACAAACCATGGCTTGTTCTAGCCCAAAAATCAGTGCCTTAGTCCCAGTTCTGATAGTGTGAAGGCTGGTTGCAACTCAGATCCATCTCTTGCTCTGGCTGAGTCACACTGTTTTCTGAAGTGGCAGAGAACAGATTCACTCAAATAGTAGCCTCAATTTGGCAGTTCTTTTTATATATGTTAGGGAGGAGGGGGAGGGGTGGGTAGAGAAAGAGAGCATTGCAAACGATGTTGTCAGAGGGATCCAAACTGCAAAAGGTACAGCCAGTGATTACCTTAACTGTTGCCATCCACATACTGTCTCTAGGTGAAACCATTGACAGATATAATGTGATTTTTAAAAAACCTCTGTTCTTTTACAAAACACAGGAAATAGCATTTCCAGATCTCAACATGAAATCACTTTCATATTAATATCTGTCCTGGAAATTCCTTTGTTGAAGATTGGCCACTTTGAGGCCATTCATGCAACGTCCTTGGAGGCTGAAATGTGCCTCCATTGATTTCTGAACATTGCTGTTCATGATGTCATATCTGTGCCCATTTATTCTTTGGTGCAGAGACTGCCCTGTCTGAAATGCAGTAAGAGACACCGCTGGCAAATAATGGCATATATCACAGCTGAAGCAGGTGTATGAACCCCAAATGTTGTAGCTGGCATTATTAGATCCCGTGATAGTGTTGCCAGAGTAGATATGGGGACGGAGTTGCTATCTCTCTGCCACAGCATCTGGTTTCAGTATCCATATCACTCTTGCCTGATCTGTTGTTGCTTGTGATATCTTTCTTAGGTTAGGTGCCTGTCTGTAAGCAACTACAGCACAACCACCAAAGGCCTATGAGCAGGAAATGTAATTGCCCACGAGGGGTTGTAGATCACTAATATGTTGCTCTTTGCATGGAACTGATAGGTGACAAGTGTTGTTCTATTGTCTTTTCTTCTGGGTCTGTCCTGTAGGAGATTATGACTGGGTATAACATGGCACTGAGACCTGTTTTTCAGCTCTTTGGATGGACCTGATAGTCTGAGAAATGTCTGATTCAGAGTTCCATCTCTGTATTCCTGCAGTCTTACTTTGATAACTTTTTGAATTCCTTTGTTCAACAATGGAATTTCAAATAGAGATTCTACTGTGAAATTGTTGTAATATAATTCATCAGGAGACTGGACTCTATTTCATTTGGTTTGAATAAGAATTAAGGACATTTTTGCTTTGTTTTCTTTTTTAATCACACTGCATATGTTAATTGGCTTACTATTGCAATGATGTCTGCATTCTCACCCAGTTAGGTTTTTTGGATGCCAATGCAAGCTTAAGGTAATCATCACTACTGTCTCTACTTTTGCATTTCAGTTCCCTCTGACAACACAGTTTACATTCTGCTCCCTTCAGCATTTGTATAAAAAACTGCCAATTTGTATCTGATAAATTAGGCAGTCTCCACTGAAACTTATGCCAAATAAATGTGTTTGTCTTAAAGTTCCAAGAGACTCTTTGTTGGTTTTGCTTTAACAGATTAATGTAGCAACCCCTCCAAAAAGAGAAGCATTGTAGTTTTTAATGTTAGCAAATCTCGAAGTTCATTTTAGGTAGTTTATGAGGTAAAACTTTATTGAGTTAGCTCCATAATTTATTTTATTTTATTTATTTATTTATTAAAACATTTTTATGCCGCCCCATTCGCCGAAGCCTCGGGGCGGCTTACAACAAAAAATTAAAATAACATTTTAAAATATATACAATAAAATACAAATATATAATATAAAACATACACTATAAAACAAGCCGCCCTGGCCAAATAAAATTCAATAATATTAACATTTAAAATACTGCTTAAATAAAAAGGTCTTCGCCTGGCGCCGAAAAACAAATAACGACGGCGCCAGGCGGACCTCTCTGGGGAGCGCATTCCATAACTTAGGCGCCACCGCTGAGAAAGCCCTCCTCCGAGTAACCACCCTCCTAACTTCTTCCATGGAGGGCTCCCGGAGAAGGGCCTCTCCCGCCGATCTCAGGGGGCGGCTGGGCATATAAGGATGTAAGCGCTCCTTCAGGTAACCAGGACCCAAGCTCCCTGTCTTGTCCCAAGACAGGGAATTCTGCTCCCTGTCTTGTCCCAACCACCTGTTTGTAAGCCCAAATGTTTGCAATTTCACCTTTTTCCTTTCAAGGAACTCAAAGTAGCTTACATAGTTCTCTCCTCCTCCTCCTCCTCCCCCCAACCTTATCCTCACAACAACAGCAACAACAACCCTGTGAGGTAGGTTGAACTGAGAGTCTGTGAGTGGCCCAGAGTCACTCAGAGAGCTCCATGACTGAGTGGGGCTCAAACCCAAATCTCCTGAGTCCCAGTCCTGCAATCTTAACCTCTACACCTCACTGGCTCTCTTTGCTGACTTTGGAGGCTATTGAACTTGTACCCAATACTTTTGAAATGATGGGCATACACTAATTTAAGCCACTTATGACTATTTCATCTAGCAGGAAGCTACACAGCATATTTCCAGTTATTGAAAAGCTAGGGAGATCCTATATCCACTACTCTCCAAATCCCTTTTGGAGATTACAAACGTCCCTTACCTTAGGTGTTTCAGACCATCTGTAGAATGCTTTCTCCATACAAGGATCCCAGCAAGGGCATGTCGCTGAGGTGATTCCCGAGAACTCAATAGCCAAGACGTGTTCTGCTATTGATATTATACATTTAAGTTAGGGTCCATCTCATTCTGCCTGCCAAACAATGCAGGAGGCTGTGAAATCCTAAGGACCGAGGGCCAAACTATGCCCTGGATCTTCGGCTCTTCATACATGCGTACTGAGAAAGAGTGAGCAGCTGCTCTGGGACCAGTTCAGACTGGGGCTGAGGCACTGGAGAGGAGACCTTTCCCTTTCCCCCCTGTACTCTTTTCACACACCCTCCCTCCGCTCCCTCCAGCCTGCCTTGCTGAAAGGAACATTTACATATAGGCACCTATGCAATTTTCTCCACGATGTAAATAGCACCCAGCAGGGAGTCCATTTGAATCAGAAAAACAGCCCTGGCAGAAGGTGTTACTCCAACCCAAACGGTGTGGGGGTGGATGTCCAGCCTTTTATCTTCTTGCAAGAAACCCAAAGTGGCTAACCTCGTTCCACTCCTTTCCTAACAACCCTGCGAATTAAGTTCAGAGCCTGGCTGGGAGTTGGTGAGTGGCCCCAATTCACCAAGTGAGCTTTATGACCGGCATCTTCATGCCCCCCTCCACCACTTTAAGTGCTGCCCCACACTGGCTCTCCAGTCCAGATCCCAATCTTTGCAGCCACACAGACCTGTATGCACAGCTGCACATGGAAGAGCCTAAGTACACATCCCACTGTGTAGCTTCTGAATTTGCATCTGGCTCAAAAGCTAGACCTGCACAGGCAGCAGAAGGAGGTGTTAACAGAACACCAAGTTAGTGGCATAGCCTGTACCACTTGAGACGCCTTAAAGGGGTCACTTCTTCTGAATGTCCCCTCCCCCTGCCATGTCCAGAAAAGACTCCTGCAATCGCAAAACCAGCACACCAGCAAAGAGAGAGATTCTAGCAGGGCCTTTTGCATGGGTGTCCTGTTTCTGTTAATTTGTTTTGATGTGGCAGAGCATAAAAATTATCCCCTACACATCCCCAGCAACTGAAGAATGCGGGCTGCCACACATACAGGGCCGGCCGGCTACTATTACTGAGAAAATGGTCCAGCTAAAGACATTCCCTGTAACCAGTTTCATCTCTTTCATTCTCTGGCGCTAAAAGAACAGCAGCCACACATACCAAAGTGCTGATGCTCAGCAAGAACAAACTGTATTAGAGGGAATGTTGTGAAAGCATCAAGGAAGGCTGCCCCTGCGAACCAGGACAATGTTCATTTCAGATCCAAGTATGGGTATTTGTTCAGGGCCAGCTCCCAATAAATAATATTCAGTGCTAATGGCATTGTGGCAAAATATCTGTGTACATTTGTTAAGCTCAAGATACGCAGTCCAGAAAATTTATAAACAATCAATTCGTTGTGCTACCTTGTTGAGAGAACTGTCTCGCACCATTTAGTGTTGTCAAAAGTCCACTTCGGCTTGCTGGGCCCTAATGGCGCAAGAGCGGGGCTGTTAAAGAGCCTAGGAGCCCCTTCCTGGTGAGATCTGCTGGCTGGTTGTTACCATGACATGCTCCAATAGTGCATGTCATGGTAACAACCAGGTTAGAATACTGAACTGCGCTTTATATGGGGCGGCCTTTAAAAAGCTATATTTAGTCCGAAATGCTGCAGCAAGGGTTCTAACGGGAGCCTACAGCCAAGAGCGTATAATACTGATAATGTATTAAGTGCAGCGGCTCTCTATCTGCCTCTGGCTAGACGCAGTTCAAAGTGCTGCTATTAACCTTTAAATGATCCGGGAGCAAGGGGGAGAGCAACCTCGCCAGCTGCCTTATAGGGAGGTCAGAGCAAGGATCTATCTAGCCTCTTATTGTCAACACTGACTGGTAGCGACTCCCCAGTATTTCAGGCAGGAGGTTTTCCCAGCCTCCCCAGAGATGCCAGGGATTAAACTGGAGACCTTCTGCACGCAGAGCAGGAGCTGTGCACCCCATTTGTCTGTCTTTGCCAGTTAGTGTGTATTGTCTACCATGGGCCAAGTGGCACAGTGTGTTCCCTGCTACGGATCTACAACCCTTCCCAGGTAATCTGCTAAAGTTCTGCTCTGTGTCCCCATCTCCCAAGAGAGGTTTAGTGGGTGAGTACACTATTTTCCCGAACCTGTGCCAGCTTGGGGAAGCCAAGGAAAGATTGTTCCCATTCCACCTAGGCTTTGAAAATCACTCCCCTGCAGAGTCTATCTGACTGTCCTTTCTGCCTGGCCTTCCTGCAGTACATTAAACACTTTTGTGTTGCTGTTAAGGAGAGCTTCCAAGAGTGTTAGTTTTTGCTTGCTGCATTATCTCTTCTGGCTTGTTCTTGAGGATGATGATATTTTCTTCATTTATTTTTATTTCCATGAAATATCAGATTTTACGAGTTTATGACCTGCTTTGCATCTGTGTGTTTAACAAACAGATTATAAATATTACACAATAAAGCAATGAATAAGAAGGCTTGGCAGCAGCTTATAAGCCTAATTTGCTAACAGACATTTCAGATACCACCCTAAAGACATTGCCTGCCCCTTTAAGAGCTCAGAGGCAGCAAGAGAATGAGGGTCTCTTCTCCTGCTGCTGTGGATTCCATGGTCCTTTGATTTACAATTGTCCATAGCTCACCTTCTAAGGAAAGCAGGAGTTTTACTCAATTATGGGAAAGAAACATAGGCAGAAGGACCATCAAGGAACTATTACTGGGATCTCTCTAGCTATCTCCATCTTCTTGAGTTAGGCAGTGTCTCTAGAGCAATACCTAGTACAGAGTAGGAATTAATTTACCATCTAATAGGCACTCAGCAAACTAAGCCATCCAAAGTATGAAACAATAAAATACTTGTTTTTATTGGTTGAAATCCTATTTGCAGCCCTTCTTTCACTTTAACACATGCAGATTCCACCAGTGGCTTCGGCAGCAGGTACTGTAAGTATCCCATCTTTATAAGCTGGTCTCATTCATTTCAGCCAAGTTCATGCAAGTTATGGAGTACCCTTGTTCAGCCTTGAACTGCCAGGTTGCGTGTCCTCACCACTGCTAGACTCTGGCACAGTTTCATGAATGACATGAATTCGGAGCACGCTGCTTCTGCAGCATACAGATGATATGATGCAGGAAGCAGGTTCAGCTGACTTTCTGCCTGTCTTGGGGCTGTTAAACGCACAGCACTCTTGTAGTGATGGTAGTTCGATCACATCAGCCCCGCACCTTTTTGTATGGCAAATTCTGGGCGTGGGAGTGAATGGGGAATCACAGGCCTATTGTAAGCACCACTGCCCATACAGGAAGTGATTTTAACCCAGGAAACCTAGAAACCCACGAAAAGCATTTTGCAAGGGTTTCTTTTTAATGCAGAAACACCAGACTTGAGGCACAGGAAGCTCTTGGAAAGATTTCGGCACTTTTTCTTAAATGAAAAAGATCTCTGTACTTCTATGACTTCATGTAACAGTGCAATAACCGTCAAGCTGCTTCTCATGGCAGAGATGCTTGACCTGTTGAATGTATGCCTGCCATGAAGTTCTTAAAGGAACAACCCCCAGTCATAAAAGTAAGCCACCTCAATGAAAATATGCCTTTCAGCTAGTTCTCAGTCTCCACAAACACCACAGGATGGCTCCATATTTAGGTGTGTCCAACCCAGCTAGCAGAAAAAGATTTCCTCACCCTGTCCTCCCCACAGCAGCCCTCCGCCGCCGCCCCCCAAATGTTTCATAGGCACATGGGAGTCCCTGCTGAACAGAGTAACCTGTAGTACTCTGGGAATCAGATGGGAGTACCTCCCATGAGTGGCGCTGTTCTGTTCAGAGTAAACAGATTGTGGCGGTCCCCTTCTTCGTTGCTTGAGCCCACCACATATACATGGAATTTGCTGTAGAATCATAGAATAGTGGAGTTGGAAGGGGCCATGAAGGCCACTGAGGTCCCACCCCCTGCCATTGCAGGACTCCAATTTACAGCATCCCACTCAGATGACTGTTCATTTTCTGTAGTGTGGGAGAGCCCACCACCTCTCTAGGCAGCTGGCTCCACTGTTGTATTGCTCTGACAGTGAGGAAGCTTTTCTTGATCTCTAGCCTGAATCTGGGCTGTCACAAGTTGATTATTCCTACTCTGGTATGGTACTGGGAGAAGATATCTTGACCTTCCTCTTTGTGACAGCCTTTGATATTCCCTATAGAGGGATATCACATCCCCCCTCACTCTTCTCTTCTCAAGGCTGAACATGGCCAGTTCTCACAGTCTCTTCTCACAGGGCAGTATTTTCAAGCTCTGGATCATTTCTGTTGCCCTCCTCTGGACCCTTTCTAATTTTTCTGCTTCTTTCTTAAATCTTGGTGCCCAGAACTTGACACAGTATTCCAGGTGAGGTCCAGCTAGTGCAGAGTATCGGGGAACTAATATTTCTCGTGATTTGGAAGGAGCCCATCACAAGACGTATTTCAGGCTGAGGACTGGATGGCTTGGAAGGCAGATAAGACTAATTCCTGGAGGAGAAGCTTGTCACTGGCTGCTAGTCATGGCGTCTCCATGCTGCCTCCTGTAGCAGAGGCACTGAGCATGGGGAGCTTGAGCAGCTGGGCACCGCTGAAGCCGCATCCTGTTTTGTCTTCTCACAGGCAGCTGGTTGGACACTGTGAGGTCAGAACACTGCATTAGACAGGCTTTTGGTCTGATCCAGAATAGCTCTCCTTATGTTCTTATGAACTTCTTAAGATTTATCATTTATTAAGTACTGTTTTAACTATTCGGAGTGACAGACCTCTTAGCAATAGCAGATGAGAAATAAAAAGATGTCTGGACTTTGTGGATCACGGACTTCATCCATCTGTCAGAGCCCTCCCAAATTCAACCCCATAGCCAAGGCAGAGAGGTGGTGGGTAACCACTGAGGAACAGCTGCTGAATTCCTCTGTGTAGGGTGTTTTCTGGGAGCTGGGCCTCAGCTGCTGGAGATCTGTGATCTAGCAGGCTGTTAAAATGTGATTTATAAGCAATACAATTTCAGAGAAACAGTTTAACTGTATTTTAATGGCTTGTAACTCAGAGGCTCAGTGCACCTTGGATATACAACTGGCACAGAATATTCCATATAAAATCAGCCCGCCGTGGTTCCTTGGTGGAGACATTTCCTATGCTGCTTTGACTCAGTGACAAAATGACCTTTTCACACTCCTGCAACGTGATTTTGAACACAGTCTCTCCACATCGGCTTTGCTCAGCATTGCTAGCATGAGCTCATTGGAAGTTTCCTACCATAAAACCTCTTACAGATTTCCTAAAAAGTAACCTAGTAAAGACATCTCCAGCCAGCAAAAAGAAATTGGATTCAATCCGGGTTGCATTATTTCTTGCAAACTTCCTACTTCAACTGGCAGATGAGGAACTATTGCACTACTGATGGGTTGATGACACTTATTTACTGCTAGGTTCTTGAAGTGAAAAGCTGGGAGAGCTTCTTTGCATAAAGCCGCTCCCCCTTACTTTCTCCCTCCCGCTTATGTTTTGTTAGCAGAGTGCTTGGAAACAAGTTTCTACTTTATTTTATCTGGGTTGGACTACTGGGGGACAGGGAGTCAAGATGAAGATTTATGCTATTCTAGAGGGAAGGTAGAAATGTGTAGAATTGGTACATACCTTTCAGATCCCAGAAACACATCCTGGTTTGAAGGTGAGTGTAGGAAGTATGAGAAGAGGAATGGTAAATGCTGGAATGTTCAGCCACCATTTTCAATATGCAGCCTCCAGTCTGGATAATTGGGCGTTACAGTGTTCCATACAAAACTGGACATTGAGGGTTGAGGAGGTGACCTGACCGTGCCATGTGAACCAGCTTGCTATCTCTCAGCCTAAACCAACCCTACATGGTTATTGCCATGATAAAAGAGGAGGAATGGACAGTGTTTGTCACTCTGAGCTTCTTGAGGGAAAGGAGAGATGATGATGATGATGATGATGATGATGATGATGATGATGATGACCACCACAACAGTGACAAAGACAACAGTGGCCATTGGCAGCTGATTGGCTGATCTGCCTGCACTTGATTGACGACTCAGGAAATATAAAGAAGATACAAAAAGTCAGGCATTTCAGTGCATTTGCAACTGTATAGTTGGTCACCTCTGCATAATACTTCCTAGAAACACAAAGCTCAATTTAGAAAAATCGGGGGAAATATTTTCTAATGGATTGATTTTAGACTTTACATTTGCAGCAATGGGAACAATAATAAATATTGCTTATGAACCAGTAATAAAATACCCTATTTCAAGGATTAAGGTCCTTTTAAGACATAACTTAAAATGCAGGGAGAATGGCTTAAATCCAATATTATGCATACAGACTTTTGCCTGCTTAACAGAAGTCGACTTTCTTTGTCTCTTCCTCAGCAGCCCACTGCATGGACTCCAAAAGCAAAGGGTCCCTCAAATTTTTGGAGTAAGCATGGGGAGAGCAGAGGGAATGAAATTTGATCTGCCTGCAATACTTGTTCTTGCAGAGCTGTATCCTATCTTACTTCCAGTCTGAGGCAGCCCTGGTTCATATCTCCACCTCTTTCTTACCTGTTCCATTCATCTGTGTCACCTGGTCATCCTTGTTTGCGTATACACTCACCTATTGAACACAGTGGAACTTACTTCTGAGTAAATATGTGTAAAATTGCTCTGTCAATCAGAAGGGTTTCCTGAGAAAGGGAAAGCTCTGTAGGGAACCAGGAAGAACCTGGGGGATGGGGTGAGGGTTTGCCTTGCACAACTCTGAATGAGGCAGAGGGAGGAAAAATTGATTGCTATGTGTAAGAATATATGAATTTGTGTATATGCATATAGATACATATATGTTTCTGTATGGGGACACACAGGAGAGCATGCTTGTACCTAAATGTGGCCCAGAAGCCAAGTCGTATTTGGCACTGTGTTTTCATACAAAAATATATTTTTTAAATCTGACTTGTGCTTTTTTGGGAATTACAGTCACTCTTCTTAAGCATCCATAGGTGTCCTGAGGGTATAAAGAAGGCAACTAGACTGTTCTCAAGGTTTACCTGAGCAGAAGACCAAGGAGAAGATAATTGTGTGTGCGCTCATGCACATACATGTGCAGGATGGAAACCTATACCTGTCTTCAGCCCAGCCTTTAGTTTGCCCAACTTGCAGCACCAAGCACACCTTGCTCTCTGATTATCAAAGTCTTGCTCTCTGATACTTCTTGATCCTGGACTTGAGTTCTCACCAACCAGCTCAGGCTAAGCATTCAGCTCTTCATCTCTCTGAACAATAACCCAGCAGAACTTCGAGACTTGAGAAACTTCAGTTCAGTATTTGCAGCCTTGTGACTTCTTTATCAAAGACATTTAGGCTTCAATGCTACAGCTGCTGTCCTGGGAACAAGCTCCATTGAACTCAATAGGGCTTACTTTTGAGTGAACAAATACAGGGTTGCACTGGAAGTGAAAGTGGTGGTGGGAGTCAGAGGCCAGAATCAACAGTGGGGTATGGCTGAGACAGATGTTGTAGGAAGAATATTAACACCACAGAAATTACATCCCTGGAAGCAGAAGACCAAGCTGCTTTGATCAAAATTTTCACCCCCAAAATGGATCTCATTCCCAGGAACAGTGAAATTATTCCAGCAATGAAATGTTCAAGCAAATTAAGGTTTATTGTTCTATAATATGGCTAAATTTTTCAATTCCCCAGGAGCCAACATAAAGCAGAGGAAACTATTCGAGTCCAGGTTCATTGTTCCAAATAAATTCATTGTATCTGAGCTCCCACAGAAAGATGGAAGATTATGCTAATCATCCCGTGTAGACACATTTCTTTGTATACAAATCAAAATCATCTTTATTTATTAAATAACTCTTCTGAACAAATTAGAGAGAGAGAATTTAATATAAATCAGAAAGTGGGCTTCTTCTCCCAGCACAGCTGGTTTTGGTAGGAACTTGGACTGTAACTCCAGAGAAAGGCCGTTCCTTCAAAATGCGAGCAAGGATCATGGGGGGATGGGGGGGAGGCAGGCTTGGGCATGTGGCGAGTGCTGCTTATCCCAAGGTCTTTAAAAGGCTGGGGCTTACTTTCAAATGAGCTCATCCACTTCTCTCCCTGTACATTTCTAGCATTTCCTAGAAGACTGCAGTGACCAGAAAAGTTGGGTGGTTTCTCTAGTGTACCTCTAAACAACCCAGGGCCCTCCAAATTTTCTGGACTGCAATTCCCAGCATCCTCAACCAGTTTGGTTGGTGGCCTGCCAGGGCTGGGGCCGCAAATCTTTGGGTAGCCCTCTGTCCCACCAGCCTGCTGTCCATGGCTACCTGCTGAAATAAAGGTTCAGGACCCTGATGATCTGGTGCGTCTGTGCCCCAGGAGCAGTAGGCATAGAAAAGTCTAGGAGTGCTGCTTCTCCAGCAGTCCCCAGGTGTTTCTGCCTCAGGTTTCCCCCCTTGAAATCAAGTGCCTTTTCCTGTCTATGCATCCCCTTTTACAAACAGGGGTGTCCCAAGGAGTCAGGATCATGATGCATACAGAGAGACACTTCGGAGCATATGTAAATTAACAGATGCAAATGTGTGCATTTTTTTTTTTTTTTTAATTCTGTGAGCCTGGCCCCAAAGCCTTTCGGTGCCTGGCACCACCCCTGGTCTGAGCACTATCGATACATTTCAGTAGCCTTCTGATTTTCCAGAACTTCAATTCGCATGCAGATCAGGCAAACTATTATGAACAGGATCAAGGCATGGGAAGAGCCTTGATGTGACCCTGAGCACATCAAGCCTTGATGTGACCCTTGATCTTGATGTGACCCTGAGCAACTTGGAGATTGCTGTTATGAGATCAGGGACACCTTTTAAAATGCTAATGGACTCATGAACATGCTGAGTAGAAGCATCCGCTTCACAGCCCCCCCCCACCCCCAACTTGGACCCTACAAATGTGTGGTGCTATTGCAATTAGAGATGGCTCCTGTAGCAGAAGGGGGGAAAGCTGCTCCTCACATGCTTCTGAAAGAAAAATATAGAAGGTCAAATGACAAAAACAAATGGCACAGGTACCCTTCCTTGTGCAGGTTCAGCGAATGGGGTTTTGACCATAGCCACAAACGACTGCTAGGGCATGTGGCTAGATGCCAAACTGTGGAGGTCCCCTCCTGTTTTTCCTTTCCCCCTCTCCCCTGACATAGCAGCATCTCATGAATCTCATGGCCACCATGAAATGACCTGGCATCCTTCTCACAGCTGCCACAGCACTCCACAAGATTTTGTGACTGCCAAGAAATCCCTTTCGATCTCAGAGACCAGTTGCCCCCAATTAGGGAAGCCAGAGGCCTTTCTGGCATGGCAGCCATGGGCGCTGTACTGGGGATCACAGCTGCAGGTATCCATGACATGCAGCTACCTGTTTCTTTCCACATAAGATCCTGTGCAATGTGGACTGGTTTGGGAATGGTGTTCAGTCTTGCAGTGACAATATCTGATCTCTGCAAAGATGCTAGCTGGGGGAAAGATGTGGATCTGCTGCAAGTAAATATTTATTATCCGATAAAATTAATCCCATTAGGATTGATACTAGCATGCTTGGTGGAGCATAATTCTGTACAAGTTTACTGAACAGCAAATCTTCCCATGTTCAGTGGGGCTTCGACTCAGTATGCATAGAATTGCAGCCATTGACCTGGGACTTGGCTTGATCAAACACAGTGACACTTCTGTGTAAAACTTGCACATGTTTGGTCTGGAATTTATATAGCTTCTGGCTATATAATTGCTCCCACTAGCATTGAAAGCATCTTTGATTCCTGCCTGCTATATTGGTCACAAATATGAATGTTCTTCACAAAACCTATTGTTTGCTTGTTTTATTCATTTATTTGTTACCTGCATAGAAGCTTTGGGTAAAATGGTTTATAAATGTATTTAATTAAATTAGAACTATAGAGACATGTTCATTTCAATCTATGTTCTATATGATATTCTGATGAAGGACCTTCAAAACGATTTAAGAACATTTTCACTGACAATGCAGGAATAGTGGCAGACTTGAAATGGCAAGAAATGGACAAATGTGAGTGCAGATTTTATACTGACATTCACATCTGTACCAGCGTTTGAAAAGAACGTCAAAGGTATTTTAAGAGTTTTGAAGATTAATAATAGCAAGGAATTGGAAAACAAAAGGTGAATATATAGTTGACTGGTATAAGTCTAGAATATAGCTATTAATGATCAGTTAACTTGTGATATTAAATGGAACAAAGGTTTGACAAGTGAAAAGAAATTTGAAAATATTTGGAAATCTTTTATTGAATACGTTTTAATAAAAGGAAAAGGGTGTGAACCACCACAAGAGTCGATGCAGTTCTGGAAGGGAAGTGAGGCAACCTGAATGAATCAATGGTCTTACATTAAGTAATTAGAGTTGTCGGTCCTGCTGGAGTTAGCGCTGATGTTGACGTGTTGTTTGGTCAGTGATGTTTGTCACAATTGTTGTTATTGTGTTAATTTTATTGTTCTTAGTTGAAAGAAAGAGAGAGAGAGAGAGAGCTTTTAAGATGTGAAAAGATCCTAAGCTAAGAATAAGTGTGAAGTAATAATTAGCATATCAGCCTGGATAGGGCAGCTTTCTGTTCAATCTCCAGTGTCCATTTCTGAACCACACCTTCGCACAGGATTGTTATGAGGACAAAAGAGTGGGTCTGTGTGTTTAAAATGATGACACGGAGACAGCTATCCAAATCTTTTGGATAAAAGCGAGAAACACAAAAGGTGGGATTAAAATATAATAAATCAGCCAAAATAGTTTTTACCCTTAGAGTTGGGGCCTTTTGCCTGCAGTGTGCGGCAGCTGTGGCCCTCCAGATGTTGTTGGACTGACTCCTGAGCCAGTGGTCCATCGGTGACATCTGGAGGGTCTCTGGCGCAGGAAGGCACCAGAGCAGAGGCAGACAACCTGCTGCTCTCCAGACCTTCCTGCGAATATCTCCCGTGGCAACCCCTGATCCTGACCTCTGCTGGCTGGGGCTGGCGGGAGGTCCAAAGCGTCTGGGCAGCACCAGGTTGCCCGCTGCTGCTCGAGGGGGCCTCCAACGGAGGCTGGGAGGCCTCGGTGCCCCTGCGCCACCATCTTACCGGCCACCCGCTAGCATTACACGCACCCTGCGAGGTAGGCGCGGTGAAGAGCCGGCAAGTGGCCGCCCGGGGGGTGCGTGGGACTGCGCCTGCACTTCGCGCCCTCTCGGCGCGATGTTTCGGGGATGGGAGCCTCCTCGCCCAAGAGCTGCCCCGGGGCCGGGGGGCACCCTCCGCGGCTTTGCACGGGCACTTCTGCCCCGGCGGGCGCGTCCGCCCGGCAGCTCCGCATTCCCTCCGTGCGGTTCCCACATAAATCAGCGCCGGCGGAGTGCCGGGAAGGGCCGTTTTTCATCGGGCGCTGCTGACAGCCAACGACAAACAGACGGGCCTGAGAATAACCACGGCCGGGCCGAGTTTACACAAGGGCAGGCACTGTGTAAATACGGAGCAGAGCTGCAGGAGAAGAGGAGGAGGGAGAGCCACCGAGCCCCGACCGACGCCCGGTCCTGGAGCCTCCGACGGTCAAGGGGGCGAGCCGGTCGGGGCATCCCCCACCCGGAGGGAACGACGAGATGTGCCCGGCTCTACGCTCGCCCCGAGGGGCGCCCTGGCAGGCGGCTGGGCCAGGGGCAGTTGGAGGCTGCCACGCCGGGGCAGACAGAGAGGGCACGATCCAGCCTCGGGGAAGGCCTTTAGGATGAGATCCTCTGCGCAGCTTACCTGGGAGAAACGCCCTTCCGAGTCAAGAGGCCGAGGCGAGGCGCGCTGCACTCCCCCCTCGCTTCCCGGGCGGGAAGCTTCATTTCCGCGAAATGAAATCCATGGAGGGAACGTCTGGACGTCCTTCGCCTTGGCTGGATCCCTCGGCCAAGGTCTTCCCGACTGGGCGGGTGAGAGAGTTTTGGAGAAGCCCGCTGCTTCTCTGGGTGAAGGAGCGGCAGTGGCTGCAGGCCACTTGGGAAGGAGCCCTTAAGCCAAGCCCAAGCCCAAGCCCAAGCCCAAAGTGGGGCTGCGCCTAGACGGCCTGGCTTAGGCGCTCCAGGGATGCGGGATCGATCGCGAGGGCCCCCTGGAGACGCAAGCCTTTTAGGCGAACGGAGACGCTGGCGGTCAACAAAGCGAGCCCAGCCACACGAAAATGGACCCAAGCGCGAGGCTTTGACCTAAAAATGGGGTGGGGAAAGCCAGCTCGCCAAATGGTTCTCGCTTGGCTTTCGTTTCCAAGATCAGCAGGGCTGGCTGAAAAATCACGGGGCGGAAGCCACTGGCCTGCACGTACTTTCATTTAAAATTAGCAGTCTTTGACTTCGAGCGTGGCATTCACACGTGCACACAAATTCCTGGAGAGGGGAGAGGCCGCGAAAGGCATGGTACTGGAGTCAGCATCTTTTTTCTGGAGAAATCTAGTGGGTTTCATCCCCCAGCTCTCAACGACATTCATTGTTTAGTTAGCAGCACTGATTTCGTCGGAAGACCTTGGAACACCGTCTCGCACAAACACCAGGTCACATGCAAGCATCACAACCGTGCGAAGAGCACAGTCCTAAGCACGTTTGGAGGGAAAGAAGTCGGACAATTCCCAGCGTTCCTCAGCTTACTGCTAGGGGGATGCTGGGAGTTGTATGACCTTTTCTTTTCTGAACATGCTATTATGACCTAATTTAGTCAAAGTCTCTGTGTGGCACGTTTAGAGTCTATATATACTTTTATAATTTTATGTGTTCACAGCAGTTCACAGCCCATATGAGAAACACAAATATTATCCAATTAAAATAGCAGCAATACAATAATGAACAGTAACAACACAACCTGCGGATGGATGATAAAGGGGATATGTCCTGTAAGCCGTCCAGATACTTTTTTTTAGTAATGGGATGGCATAGAAAAACTTTAAATAAGTAAATATCTTGAGAGAAGGCGCCGTTGCAGAAGGTGCGTGGCACGGAGACTGTGTGAAGGAAGGGTCCGAGCAGCCCGACCTAGCCTGACGACCCGACCCGCTTTCCATTTCCTCCTCCCACCCCCATCTGGGGCGCAGTGCAGCTCAATCCTAGGCTCGTTTACTCAGAAGCAAGCCCTAACGAGTTCACTGAGACTTACTGTCAGCTCGGTGCAAGATCCAAAGTGGAGGCTGCGATCCGCTCTCAGCTGACCTGAATGTTAAAGTCCAGCTGGGACTTACTTCCCAGCCGCCGAGCCATAGGATCTGGCTGCGCTGAGCTGATTTTCTCATCCTTCCGAATATGGGCAAAGCCCCAATTCCCATTATTGGTCGGCTATGGGTAGCTGTGGTTATTATTTCTAATTTATGTATTTATTTGACTTGCATGCCTCCCCATTGGCCTGACTCTGAATGTTGAACCATTTGTCAGGTGCATGGAATGCTAAACGCTTTTGATTAACTAAAAGGATGCTCAGTTGCTCAACGTCGCATTTTTGTTAATTTATTCATTTAAGCACTGAATGAAAATCGCAGACAATAGAAGTCATTTTCCAAGAATGGGGAGGAATCTGCTTTTTCTTCTAAAAAGCTTTTAAAAAGTACCTTTTTCTCGAGAAGTACCTCCTGTTATGATGTGCCTCCTTAGGCAGATTTCATCGATAGATTAAATCACTGCGAAAGTACACAGAAAATCAGCCAAGAATCTGTCGATCCTTTAGCAGCCTTTGTGGGAATTTCGAGGTGACTTTAACGGAAATCATGTCGATTTAAGGGGATCTTGGCTTCCCAGGGGATCGCCATTCCTGGAAGGAACTTAGGGACCATCCTCACTACAGTCCTGCAAGGCAGGCGAGGCTGTGAGCCTTCTATTCGCAGATTACGGACGGGGGCTGAGGAAATCATGGCTTATCTAGGGCCACCCAGCGAGCTGTCCCGGCACCCTCACCGAGCCGCCGAGGTCTCCCGGAGCAGATCAAAGCGGCTGCGCTGGGCATTAGGTGCGCTCGCTTGTTTGCGAGCGGGGCCTGCGCTCGGGGCCATTAGTGGCAGAACGCGGCGGCCGAGACAGGTCTCGCCCCTGCCCGCGGGGCCGGTGGAGCTATTAGGGCCCACGAAGAGCCTGATACCATCTTCAGAGAACGGGCTTCCTGCTCGGCTCCCCCCTCGTTCGCATGGATCCCGGCGCCATCCATTACCTTAATCCCTTGTCTAAACAGTGCGCAGCGCGGCTGGGACAACAAGGCCGTGCTCAAACCAGAGGGGGCCGTGGGGCAGCAGAAAAAGCTAATGGGCTGCTCAGGACGATAACCATTAATATAACTGCTGCTGCAAGAGCGGCAGCGCCATCGCTTCCTCCAGCGCGGCGCAGAGGCGAGGAGGGAAACCCGAGCCTCGCTCAGACCAGGCAAGAATCCCTCTCGCCTGCAACTGGTTAAAGTGATAATAACGATCTTAAAAGCGGTATGCGTTCCAGCTTTCCAACCACACCTCCAAAAGCCCCTGCAAACGGCAAGGCTGGGAGAGAACTCATTCTCGGGCCAGCGCTTGGCAAGGAGCAGCCCCCCCGGGGAGCAGCCGTGCGCCTTTCCTAGCCGACGCGCGGGCGCAGCGCTATCGGCAAACAGGGGCAGGCTCAGGCGGCGGGACACCTCTGAAGCTCCTTAATTATACTTGGAAATACGAGGGCTTTCCTGCAGCTTAGACCGCGCGCGTAAATGCCTCGGGTCTCTCTCTTCGATGGCCTCTACCGTTCCATCTGGGGAATAAGGCATTTCGCCTTGCGCCCGGGTGCAAGCCGCGTTTACCGAGGGCTTGGTGGGGGAGGCTCTTCGGGTAATAGTAGGGGTAAAAGCTAATCCAGCCCTCCTTGAAGCAGTCCAGTTCGAATGAATTTCACTTAAGACCATCCGGATTTAGGGTCAGGCTTTGCCCAGGATATGCAAGATAGAAAACATTGCTTATAGGCACAATTTGGGCAGGAAGGCTGCAACCAGAGGTCGAAACTCAGAGCAGCTGCAGACCACTTTTTATAGTGCAAATCCTGGCGTGTTTAATTGAAGGCGAGGTTCACTGGGGTTTGCTCCCTGCCATATGCGCGCTATATATGCATAGCATTGCAGCGCATTGTATGCATTGTTTTGTTGTAATCCTTAAAGGGGGTGGAATTATGTGTAAAGCGTCCAGGGAACCATGTGGCTCTTGTGACGGTCTATCAATGAATAAATAAATATTGCCATCCCCATGTTGACAATCGCGGGACTGAGGAGGGGAGAGATGAAGAAAAGAACGGATTTATTGGCACCCCCGCTCACTGATGGCTCGCCAAAGAACACCCGAGGAGTAGGGTGTTTGTACCTGGAATTTGTACCCGGGACTTCCCTGACAAATCAATACCAAGAATGGGAACTGATGGAGATTTTTCAGATCAAGATTCTGGCGACGGGGGAGATGGCTCCCCGCGTTTTCCTACTGCCTGGATCAGTCGCAGATGCCCAACACCAAGCAGGAGCGCAGAGAAGAACGCAGCGTGAAGGGCCAAGACAGGCCCGCGCGGAGCAAAGGGAAAGGCGCACGTTGCCAGGAAAAGAGCAGGCGCCTCCCCCGCCCCGCAATACACACAAACGTGGAGTGCAGCGGTGAGCCGCCCGCTGCGGAGAGACCTTCAAGGTGCTTACGCGGAGGGGCTGGAGGAAGACGCGCTGCCGGAGGCGCACGGGGAAGGAAAGGTTCGTGCCGGGCCCGAGCGAGCAGAACCGGGAAGGGCGCGCGCGTGTCGTGTGGTCTTCGGGGCCTAGGCGCGCCGGCATCCGTCCTGCAGCTCACGATTTTCCTGCTCCTGGTGCGAGAAGGAGAGCCGCACTGTTGGCTCCGTGGGTCTGCCGCAGCGCCGCTCCGGCTTCCTGCTCTCCACGGCGCGGCTGGCAAGTTGCTGGGCTCGATCGAGCGCTGGAATCGCGTCTCCACCCTCCCTTCGCCCTGGTTTCTTTTCTCGTGTCTCCAGACTTCGCCAGGTCTTTGGTGTGTCCCCGGCCGGAGCCTGGGGAAAAGGCTGAAAGGGCCGCTCAAAGCGAGTCCTCGCCAAACGCAGCAGTCTCACGTCGCCCTCTGTCCAGTCGCGCCTCAGTTCGCCCAGACGTCGAGTTTTGCCTGCCGAAAGAAAGAAGGAAGGAAAGAAGGAAAGAAAAAAGGTAGTCCCTCTGCGGGTTAGCGACCCGGACGGCAGGCCTCGCTCTGACTCTTCTGCTTAGGACGCTTTATCCGTGTTGTCCGAGCGCGGGGCACTTTCTGCAGCACGTTCCGGGTAGCGCCGGCCACACAAGGTCGGGCGAAGGGAGCTGAGCAGGCCAGAAATTCCAGCCTCTTAAGAGGCAGGGTCCTCAGCCGGGGGCAGACAAAGACACGCCTGGTGCGCTTGGCCTCCGTCGCTCTTACTCTGCCATGCTCGCTTGGTGGCTTGGGCCCTGGAACTCCATCAGACGTTTGGATCCAGGAAAGTGGGAGACTGGGCGCCAACCAGTCCGGAGCCGACCATGAAGCCTCTACCAGGGACGAATGGAGCTGGGTAAAACAGGCCTTCAGGCCTTCCTAGGGCAGGTCTGGATAGATGCGCTCCAGTTAAGGAAAACAGCAAGCAGTTCTGTGGCATCGTATTCAAGTCTAACGTATTTATAGAGGCATACATTTTCCTGGGCCAGAACTCACTTCCTTAGATGCACGAAGTGCTCAGTTAAGTGGATAAGTAGATAAACCCTGAGAAGGGGAGGGTGGATTTCTTTATTTCTTTAATGCACGGAAGCCAAAAGATCAAGCAATGCAAGAAGCGCTGGCGAGCGTGTCATGGCAATCTGCAGCACCAAGCCTGACCCGGGGTTGTTCGGGCACCGTGTGAAACATTTCATCCAGGGCTTCTCAACTGAAGCAATGTATTCTGTGGTGTGCCAACAATGCCTTCACGCCACTTCAGTGGGCCACAAAAGCCCATCTCTGTGCAAGAAAATATGGAGCCACCATTCAGACATTAAAACGTGGTTTTAAAATGGAAGGGTTGCATTTCTAGCTGTCCAGGAGACTGAAATCCTTCCCCCCATTTCTTGTCTGAAGCATGTGACAGATTTGAAAAGGCGAAAAATGTTGAACAAGAGGACAGCAACGCTGGCTGTTTCAAAGGCCTGCATGAAGCTGCCCAACTGAAATTTGTTTGCAAATTTACTTAGGTGTAAATCCTGGTGGACTATTATCTACTTTATTAGAAATATTATGGAGAATTTTCAGAGTTTTGTACACTACATGGGAGCAGGGGGATTGTAAATACTGATATTAGAAGGAAATTAAACACAGAAAGTGGCAAGGACATTATCAAAAGTGACTGTTCCAAGTGCCATTGTTGGTGGTAACACAAACATGCAGGTACAAAGTAAAACAGTTAACACATAACGCAAAATGAGCCAATTAGTATCCCAATTAAAGCATATAGCAATAAAATTAAACCAGTGGGTGAACTGTAACTCAGCAGCCTCTTGCTCTATTCAAATTCTACATATAATTTCCTTCCAACCTCCCTGTTTACAATTCTCTCTCTGCTCCACCCCTGTAGCCGCCACTATATCTACTGCAGCAAAACCTGAAATTGTCTGTAATGCTCCATGCATCTGATGGGAGACTTCAAATGCTTTAAATGAAGTAGTCCACAAATGCTTATGCCAGAAGAATTGTTTTCATCTTTCAGATGATATAAAACACTTTGTTGTTTTTGCTACAGTAGGCTTAAACTGGTAACCTCTGGAAATGCACAAATCTGACACTGGAACTTGGTTTATCTTGGAGTGGTTAGCTTACTATGGCAAGCCATTGTCTGCTTTCAAGGTGTTTATTTTATGTAATTGATCTTGCTACGCCTGTTGATCACCAGCCACACCGAAGTGATAGGATCTTTTATTCAATTCTTCTCTCTTTATGCTTCTGTCTTGCGTGGCCAGATCTTTTGTTTCAAAACAAAACACCACACCAAATAAGCTTTTATTTTTGTACTTATTGTGGTATTTCTGTGTGTGTGTGTGTGTGGCCCAATGAATAAAATAGGCACTTGTCTCTTCCCTTCTAGAGATTTTCAGTCTGATCCTAGGCAGTCTTACTTAAAAGAAAATAGCACTATTGTTGAGGGAAGATTAGTGCCGAACAGGGGAAGTTGTTACTATGAGATAATTTATCTGGAAAGTATCATTGTTACAAGAATGACCTGGGAGTCTCTTCCATGCAAATGTGCTTTGGACAAAGTGTTGCTGGAGACTGCCAGCCTTTTTAATTAATTAAAAATTAATTAATACTTCATCTTGACCAACTCATGTGAACCTATACAAAGCTACTCAGAAGTAAATTCCTTTAAGCTCAGTGGGAATGACTGCCGGCTAAATCTGCAGCCTCATGCATGACATATGTCAATACCACTTCGCATTTTTGGTGGTGATGGTGATGGAATATTGGGGAATAATATTCCTGCAATTATGTATGTAATAGAAATGTCAAGCAACCACTACTCCCGTGACTGCAGGGAGTGCTTGCTGAAATCCTTGCTAGTTGGCAGGAGATATATTCGACAAATTCACCATTTCACAGACATTCCATTTATTTATTAATTACTATTCAGTTTGTATTCTGCAACCAATTAGTCCAGCTGGACTCTCTGGGTGGGTTACAAAGGAGCCCAGGCGCCCACAACTTTGCCTTTTGCCCTTCGGTTGGTTTGTTTGTTTGTTTGTTTGTTTGTTTGTTTAAAATCTCTAAACAAAAAGACTCTTCAGAATTCCTTGCATCAAAACCAAATTGGCAGGAGTTTGTGCCTTACTTTCCAGTGGAAAATACGCACACAATAACAACATCGCTAAGCATGGACAACGGTTATAAATATCACGTGGGTAGGACTGGAATGATTTGGGTGAATTTATGCTTATAATCACTAAGATTAGGTCCTGAACATGTGAACATAAATTCAGTACACTCCAAGAGGGATGGGAAAATACTGCAAGAGTACAACAGCCTCTTAACAGAGGCCATAAGCCAGCCACCTAGAAGCACACTCAAGTCCTAGAATTTTATGGGTAAGTCCACTCACTCCAATGGCGATCTGTTCAGTTTATTTGAAGCACAATCCCTCACAGCCACCTAAAACCTCACTGCCCATGGGCAAGCGTGCTCATCACCACAACTGCTGCCACTTAATACAAAACAGTTTCACTTGAGTCCCGTTTTGAAGCCCAGGAGATGGTGATCCGAAGTAAATTCTCAGTTTGATTTGGGTCTGTCCCCCAGAACACCGCTAACTGGATAAGCGCAATTCTACCCAGCCTCGCAACCCAGAGCAGGCACTTGGGGCTTTCTGTTTATTTGGTGGTCCTTTTGCTACCCCCAGAAGAAATAAATCTCCTGAAGGAAACAGTGGAGAGGTAAGGAGTGAGGTCGGTGGGTTAGATTATAAAAGCCTTGGGAGCCTTTCTGGCTGCAGACACTGGCCAGGCCTGGCAGAGCTTCCTTGCACCCAGTGTCTCGTCAGGAGAGGACAGTGGCACCCACGTTAAAGAAAATGAATCAGCTTTGCACAGATTTCATAGACATGCATTAAAATTAAACATTAAAATTAAACACCACTGCATATCCACCACAAATCATTTCGATGGTTTTATTTTAAAATTAGCTTCGAGAGTTGGGTAGTTTTTGGAATGATCTACCTTCTTTCTGGTCTGCTCTGCGCACTCTGTGTGCACACAGGCGCGCGCACTCCCTGTCAAAGCTTGGGCTCCGAAGGGTGCCACTGGAGGAAAAAGAAAGGAAGATTAAATTCAGCAGTGGCGAGAAAAAAGAGGGCTTGGCTGTCTGCTGTCTGCTCAGCACAGGCAGCTAGGAGAGGAAGTGCCGGTCACCGCTGCGTTTTGAAGCAGGCGACACTGCAGGATGAAAAAGGAGAAAAAACGCAGCCCCTGCCCCACACGCTGGTTTCAACATTGGTCAGTGTCGGCTGGAAGCTGGGAATGGGGCACCGAGGCGAAGGCTTTCCCGGCTTCTCTATCTTTACATACATAGACCGCCTCTATAAGGGAAGGTTCAATGTAGCTAGCTTAGCTTACAGTCCTACCCTGACTTTATCTGAGCAGTTTAAAACCATCGAAGCTGGGGGCGAGGACCGCACCTTACTATAGGATGATTTGGCAAAATATTGCGATATATTATTATTATTTTTATTCTGCTACTATTACTGTTTTTCTTTCTGCAACAGTGTGGTAACCATGGGGCATCGCCAACACCATCGGGAAGGAAGGAAGGAAGGAGTGGAGAAAGAACGGACGACGAGCATGCATCGCCCAGCGGGCAGACGAGGGCTGGGCACGCGAAGGTCTGGCGAGGTCTGCGCGTCGCTCCCGCTGAAGCAGGCCGGCGACGGACCCGCAGCCGTGCCAGCGACAACCCCTCGCCGCTCCCGAGCGCAGCGGCGAAGCACCCCGCCAGCCGCCCGCCCCACGCGACGCGACGCGACGCGCACCCCACGCTCTCGCGCGCCTTGCGCCCCTTCAGCCCAGGAAGGGCCCGTCGCTTACCTTCCCGAGGCGGCCAAGCGGGTATTCCTGCCTGCCTGTCCGCCTGCCCCTTTCCTCGCCTGAGCGAGCTGCCTTTCCTTCCGTTCCCTTTTCTCGGTTCTTCCGGAGTTGAACAAGAAAAAGGAAGGACCCAGCACAAAAAGCCCAAAGCACAACCCCGCGAGGGACGAGGGGGCTCTCTCCGGAGCCACGGAAAGGGAGTGGCGACGAGGCTGACCGGGGAAAGGCGGGGCCGGTCTGGCCACGGGGAGGGGGCTGACCGGAGGCCCCTCCGGGTTCGGCCCCCCACCCCCCATTCCGCTGTGCACGCGCGCACCGCGCCGGCGCCCGTGCCGAGCTCCCCGCCGCAGCGCCTCCTTGCGCCTCCGGGCGCCCCTCTGCCCCGACGTGGCCCGGCCGGCGGGGACGTGGCCGTCCGGCCCGCGCGCGGGCAGACCTCTCGGTCCGAGCGGGCAGGTCCCTCTGCCGGGCAGGGTCTCTCGCCGTCTTTCAGGGGGCCGGCTCAGCTCCCCCGCCTTCCAATGGGGACACAGCCCGAGCCCCAGCCCGGCCCCTCCTCGCCGTGACGCGCCCTCCCCGGCCGCAGAGGCGGCTCCGAGTCCAGAGCCGGCTGCTGGTCCGCGCAGAGGCTGCGAGCGAAGCCGCGAGAGCCACCCTCTCATGGGCGCCCCTTAGCCCGGCGGCTTCGCTGGCGGGCGCGCCCCTCCTGCACCCAGCCGGGCCTCCTCGTCGCTCCCTCCGCCTCGCCCTCAGGATGCTCCCGAGCCCCGCCACGTCCACCCCCTTCTCGGTCAAGGACATTCTCAAACTGGAGCAGCAGCAGCAGCAGCAGCAGCAGCAGCAGCAGCAGCAGGAGCAGCAGCGCCTCGAGATCCCCCTCGAACCGCCCTTCCCCGTCGCGGCCGTCGCCTCCTGCTTGCTGGGCTGCCGGTTCTCCGACGGGGAGGACGACGAGGAGGACGAAGACAAGTTGCCCTTGTTAAGCTCCATGGCGCTGCCGGTTGCGAGGAGCCAAGGAGACGGGGGCCTCTCTCCGGGGAGCTACGTGCAGGCGATGCTGCGGAGCACCTGCGAGTCCAAGGGCCTCGTGGAGGAGGGAGAGCTGGCGCGGGACGCAGGAGCAGGTAAGTGCAGAGCCAAGCATGGCCAGGACCCGCGACTCGGTCTGCTCAGGGAAGCTTTCGCGGAGTAACAGAATGTCCCTTTTCCCATCAGCCTGGCCAGGCCAGCGCCCTCGTTCCGCCATCAGAGGGGTCCAGGATTTGCAGCCTTCAAGGGCCTGTGCCCATGATGCCAACCCCAAAACTGTTCCCTTTTCTCACCGAACGCCTGGGAATCCGGCTCTACTTGGGAGGCTAGAATAGGATGGAGAACCTCCAGGAGTTTCAAGAGCGCCCTGGGAAATGCCATTCAGAGGTGGACGAAGTTTCTCTTCTCTCTGCTCAAGTAGCCTCATTGACTCCAGAATAAGCCTCTTTGAACATCAGAGGGCTTACTTCTGAGTAAACTTGTTAGTTTAGGATTGGCTTAGGAAGCTGGAATCCTATCCCCATTGATCCGAGAGCAATGCAGCCACCCGGAATAAGGCGAGATTTACTAGTTCTCAATGATATGAATCAGATTGTTTGCTTTCAGTCCTGTGCGTGTTTTCTGGATAGAAGACCCTCCGAGGTCAATTGGTCAGGCTCCCAAATTAAGTTTCCCCAGACACGTCCATCCTATTACCTGGAAGTAGGCCCCTCGGACTTACTTCCATAGAAACCTGCCGGATTAGGCTGCGAATCCTAGCCGAGAGGGATCTTCTCCTTTTTGGCCAAACCAATCCCCGTGTCCCAAGACAGTGGGGAGAAAATGCCTAGGCCCAGCCACGCGAGGTGGCCAGCCTTCGGAGGGCGGTGGCAATAACACCAGTTTCGGAGCCCTGGGAGGAGTGTAGAGGGAAGATCCAGGGCAGAAGCACCTCATTTGAGGCCTTTGCAGGGGCAACTTCGAGCAAGTTTCAGGAAGTCAAGTCTTTGCTCCTGCACGGTCAGGAACAGGCCTGGTCTAGTCGAGCAGAAGCAAGGGACTCTTGCGGGCAACGGGAGACCTCCATGCGCTTGCTGAGCAGGTAGAAATCCCTTTCCTCCTTCCCTGCTTCCTTCCCGCTGCAAGCTGTGCTACTGAGGAGGTTTTCTTCTTTGTATCTCGAGTGTTTCTGTCGCTCGGCTCCTTTGCACTGGGCTTCCGAAAAAGTCAGGCGGCTCCCGCGCCCGGCGGCCGCTCCCTCCTTAGCAGCAGCAGCAGCAGGAACGGCCATATTCGGCAGCAGGACACCCAACTTGCTGAGATTTAAATCCTTTATGAAGAGGTTCCCCTTTTCAACAGCTGTCTGTCCTGCTGCGCTGCTCTCCCGTAACATCGGAGATGCGTAGTTCCGCTGCCAGCTTATTCTGAACTTTTACAAAGAGGAGCCCGGGCTGCTTCAGCTTCTTGAAGTCAGTGGCCCATGGCTGCAACTGGATGCACGTTTAATCCGGGAGTAAGCTCCGCGTAGGGGGACTTTATTGTGGGAAAACACGCGTTCGACTGCACGATAGGACGGCAGGGTTTTCTCGAGGCTTGACCCATCCTTGGCTACAGCCCACTGGGGCGCAGAAGGAGCTTTGAGGCCAACGTCTAGGGCCTCATGCAGAACGGGGAGCAGGTGGGAGGTGGCGTGCCAGGCCCTTGGCGCCATCGCATCCCTGCCAGGGATGTCGTCCAGCACGGGTCACGCACCCCCAGCTCAGCATCAGCTTCCTTCAGGTGCCACCTTCGGCCCGCCCAGCCCGACGGTGCAGGTGGCTTCGGCGCGGTAGCCCCGCAGCTGCGTGGAAGGCGCTCCGTTCCTCTTAGGCCTCCGACACGCGCGTGGACCTCCGCGCCCCCCGCGGCCCCCGATCCCCCTGCCCGAAGCGTCACGCCCTTGTCACGTCTTCTCCTCCGTTCCCCCCCGCCCCGCTGCCCGCTCTGCAGGGAAGGAGGCCGCGGAGGAGTCGCCGGACCGGCCCAAGGCGCGCGGCCGGAGGAAGCCGCGGGTGCTCTTCTCGCAGGCGCAGGTCTTCGAGCTGGAGCGGCGCTTCCAGCAGCAGCGCTACCTGTCGGCCCCCGAGCGGGAGCTGCTGGCCAGCAGCCTCAAGCTCACGTCCACGCAGGTCAAGATCTGGTTCCAGAACCGGCGCTACAAGTGCAAGCGGCAGCGGCAGGACAAGGCCTTGGAACTGGGCGGCCCGACGGCGGGCGCCCCGCAGCAGCAGCCCCCGCCGCCGCCGCGCAGGGTGGCCGTGCCGGTGCTGGTGCGCGACGGCAAGCCGTGCCTGGGCGGCTCGCAGGCCTACAGCACGCCCTACAACGCCAACGCCGCCTACCCTTACAACGGCTTCCCCAACTACGCCTACGGCGGCTCCCCCGCGGCGGCGTACAGCGCCGGCTACGGCTGCAGCTACCCGGCGGGCGGCGGCGGGGGCCCGTCGGTGCAGCCGCCCGCTGGGCCCTACGTGAACATGACTGGCTTCCCCGGCGGCGCTCAGCCGCTGCACCAGGGGACGGCCGGCCCTTCCTGCACTCAGGGCATCCGAGCGTGGTAGCCCCGCCGGACGGAGCAGCCCCTGCAGTGCCGCGCTGCACAGCCAGGGCAGAGACGGAGCGCCGCCCCGCCGCCCGCGCCGCCCGAACCTGCTTCTGCGCCAGCGGTGGGCCAGCTGCGTGGCCAGGCAGAGAGACTCACTCAGGGAAGCAGCGCCCCGACGGCGCCCCGCGACTCGCCAGGCTGGCTCAGAGCCCGCTCGGTCTTCCCAGCTCAGCACCTTGTCTCCAGCCAACAGTGCCTACCCAGACATCGAGGGCGCCCGGCCACGCCTGAGGACGCGGTGCCACTGACTCTGCTGAAGAGACTTCGGCTTGGACTCTTTCCCCTGCCCGGCCGCGCTCCACTGGGTTCCGCGGAGCTCGCGGGCGGGGCGGGCGGCAGTCTCCTAGAAGCCCCACACCCGGCTGGGGTTTGCCGGTGCGGGAAGGAGGCCAGGCGCAGCCGAGGAACAGCTTCTCTTGTACAAAAGCCAAAGCCGGGGTGGAGGCAACCCCGAGCCGCTCCTTTGTTGTATCGTATTCTGTGTATTGATGTAGCCACTGCTGCGAGGAGTTAAAGGATCCAATAAACCAGGTGCAATATCCACACCGGGCTGCGCGTAGCGAGGCGGAGGGCGGGGGGGGGGGGGGGGACGCGCGAGCAGAGAGGGCAGGAAGAAGCGGGTGGCTCCATCTCTTCGCCTCCCAGCCCGCGCGAGGGCGCCCCTGGCTCCAGCTTCCCCAGGAAAGCGCAGCATCCTTCTGCCGGGACGGAGGCCAGCGAAGAGGGCTTCCCAACTGCCCGCTCGCTCTTCCCTCCTTGGCGCCAGGGCTTCCTCCTGCCCGCCTGGCCCGAGACAGTTTGCTGCCTTAGGAAAAGGACACCACGGGGCGCGCTTACTTTTTCTCTGCTCAAGGGGCCAGGGAATGTAAGCAGCATACAGCTTGTCTTTCAAAGCCTGCAAACCAGCGGAGCTGCCTCTCCTACTTTTTTGGCGCCCCTTCCGAACTTTTACGCTGGCCAGAAGGCCGGACCTAAACTTTTCTTCAGCATTGGCCCCAGCACAGCGTCCCCTGCGTCCCAGGATGGCCGAGGGCGTGCAGCGCAGCTCCCCGCGCAGAGTGCCTCCCCAGCACCCCCGGCATCCCCGCCTGAGGCGGCGGTCTCGCTGCCCCGCGCTTGCCACTTCCACGCAAGAGATTCGGGCCAGTTCGAAGTCCGCGTCCCGACGCGAGGCTTAAGGCTGGACCCTGAGGAGGTCGCTCAGCAAGGGCCATCTCTCATCCTAATTCAACTCACTGGGCAAACTCGGATGCACTCTCCGCCTCCGCGGAGGGAGCGCAGGGGGAGAGAAATGCGCTCCCTTGGGTTAGTTGCCGTTGTTCCCAGACCTTCGTTTCGGCCTGGCCCGAGGAAAAGCCTCTGCCTGAGCTGAGTTTGGTCGTAGAACTCTGAACAAGGGTAACTAATCTGCATTAAGTGGAATATATGCCCAGACTGCCTGGTTAGCACGCTGGGCGCGTTAATCCGTAACTTTCAGCGAGAGCCCTGCGGAATGAGGAGCCGGGACTGCGGTCCTGCGCGCCGCAACGACTTCGGGTCCGCTAATCCCGCCGAACGGGCGTGGCTTTGTGGGCGAGGCGGGCTGTGGGCATGCGAGCCCGGCCCGGAAGCCGCGCCAGCCAGCCTCCAGCAGCGGCACGGCCGCCGTAATCCCCTTGTCCGGGCGAGGAGACGGTGCCAAGGCGCTGAATGGGAGCGCGCTGCGCGGAGCGGCCCATTGTGGCAGCTGGGCCGGCGCTGAAAGGGAGCGCCGGGAAGGGGCCGAGCGGCGGTGCTCATTGGACTGGGGAACAAAAGGGGGGGTCGGGACAAAGGGCGAGATTGACGGCCCGCGCGGCCCTCACGCTGTGCTGGGACGGGCGAGGAAGCCGCCGTTTTGTTTCCCGCCTTGTCTAGCTAGCGGGCAGAGGGCAAAGGGGGGATTAGAGGACGCGGTTCAATGCCGCGCCGCCTTGTTCCGGGCCCAGGGCGGAAAGGGGTGCCACGGGGCAGAGAGGGGCTCGGAGCGGGGCAGTTGGGGGGCTGCATGGCCCCCGCCCCCGCCGCGCCCCCCTCGCAGCAACGCGCAGGCCTCGCTGGAAGGCGTCCTCTCCAGGAGCGATGCGGCTGCCTCGTGGTAAGAGAGGTGCTGCGCCCGCGTGCCGAGCCGGAGGCACGAAGCGGGGCCTTGGCAGGGCAGAGCGGACTGCCTCGCCCGCCCCCTCCAGAGTGCCGGGGGCCCTCCGCGGTGCATCCGCCCCGTCCCCTTGTTCGTCTGTCTGTTTTGGTCAGCAAGGGCCCCGGAAGCTCGGGAGAGCGGTTCCCAGGTCAGAGCTCGAGCGCGAAGGAGGGCCGCTCGGAAGCAACTGCTCGGCGCGGGTGCGTGGGGAGCCCCAGCCGCCGTCCAGCCCTGGGAAAGGAGAACCTGACGGCTCCTGGGGAACAGGCCCGCCTGCAGACGAGAGCGATCCTGCGGATGCTGAGACAGAAAATGCCGCGACTCAGCCTGGAGAACACTCCAAACTGGACTTCTTTCTGTCCAAACCTCAGCAGGATTCTGGCCTGAAGTAATTCAGGAATTAAAGCCCTCTTTAAACAAAACAAGGACTCCGCCCGGTGCAAACTTAGAAAAAAAAGACCCACAATTCCCAGCATGGGCCAACCAGCTCTGCTGGGAGTTCTGGGCCTCTTTTCATCGGATTGCTCCTTTTGGTGGTGGGAGAAGCTGTCAACATTCTTGGTTGTACCACTTCAAATTGTAAGTGCTGAAGTGGCTATGTATTTAACATGGCCATTAATTAATATTGATAGCATTTCCCTGTATGTACATATGCATTTAAAGTATTTTATGCCTCCATGTAAATGAGGCATGGAGAAATGAAAACAGTATAAGCAATATCCCACAAACCCACAATCAAATAATAACAGAACTAAAAGCAAGCAATAAAGCCACAGCAGAAACGAGAGAGGGGGAGAGAGAGGGGGAGAGAGAGGCTCCAGCGCATGCAAAATATGCTGGGGTATATGATATGTGCTAGTTGACATATGGACACACACTTTTTTTTTTTTAACAGAGTGGGATTCGAATTTATGCCCAGCTGGAGATCATATTAAGAATGACCACTAAGGCTGGAGCCCTGAGAGCTTCATTTGGAGCCCTGGATCTCTGGGAGGCCCGCTGGCCCATCAGCCCGCTATTCCATGGTCAGCCCTCTGTTACATCGGATCCCCTTGTCTTAGCTGACATTTTGCCCACGGGTCCTTCATTTCCTGCTGCCCCTCCCTGAATCGTTTTGCCAATCCCCCCCCCCCCCGCGCGCGCCGAAATCAAATACTTTCCTGTCATCCGTACGCTGCTTTTTGCAAATAGATGGACAGCCGCACACACAGAGGAAGAGACTTTAGGACATATATAAATTAGCATTTGCAAATGTGTGTCTGGTTTTGTTTGCTTTTGTCCTGTGGGCCTGAAGGAATAGCAGATCTTTCACTACCAAACACTGCCCCTGTGGGACCAGCCCCCCTGCGCTTCAAAAAATTTTGCTCCCTGGTGGCAGAGCGAGGCAGCAGAATGGATGGTACTGTTTCAGACTAAGCACTAGTTTTTTTTTAAACGCTACCCTCTGTTAAAAGCTCCCTGAAAACAGAAAAGCATCACAGCAGACAATGTGCTGAAGCTGAGCTAAAATGCACCAGTGTGAGATGTGGAAAGAGCATTTTGGTTTCAATGTAAAGGGACATTCAGAAGCGGCAAAGTCCCCTCCTTCTGCTGCTTGGAGACTTGACTCAAAGCAACGCAAGGGAAAGTGGTAGAGCCCATGGCAGCCACGCAATCCTGAGTCTAGGCTGTCCTTGGCGATGGATTATTCTAAACCACATGAAGGATGGGGAATAGGAAACGAAGGAGTAGCAGTAATTCCAGGTTGCTTCGTACGGAAAGGCCGTGTGTGGATACATACATCCGCTTTGGAAAGGGTAAACGGTTTGGAAGCTGCCTGAGCTGTCACGGCTTGCCCCAAAGAAAACCTGGAAATGGTCGTTTGGGGACTGTGAGAGTTCTTTGTTTACTTTAACTCCATCACAGAACGACAGTTCCCAGAATTCCTCGGATGTGAGTCGTGGCGGTTGAAGCAGTCCGGGAATGAGACGAGAGTATATAAGGAAGAAGGCTGGGGAGAGAGAATGGGAAAGTAGAGCTCCGCGTGCAGAGAGGAACCGCCAGGGGGCGCTCCCTCGAAGCCCTGTCGAATGCCGGTTAGAGCGAGTGGATGGATGGGTGAGCGAGTAGTAAAACGGGATTGTGAAAAAGCAGAGAATACATATCGGGCAATTCTATTTGTTGCCCTCCGAAGGAGAAGCATTAAGGGATCCCTTGGGGATGTGGGGTACTTCTGGGGGTCACTGATCATCATTTACTTTCAGGCCTTGACAGATCCCGGGAAATTCAGGGAAAAGGAAAGAGAGACTATCACTTCTCCACTCAGGTGAAAGCTAACCAGACCATGCTTCTGAAACAGCCTGGCAGGCACCAGTAGTGCTTGTATTAGGAAATGTAACCCAGGCGTGGACAACTTGTGGCCCGCCCTTCAGATCAACTTGTGGCTGGTCGTTGATCTGCAACTTCTGCAGGCCTTACTGCTGGCTATGCTAACTAGGACTGTTGGGAGTTGCAATCCAGATATATTTGGAGGGCCGCAAGTTGTCCAGCTCATAATTTACCTGGATTCTCTGTCAATTCTCTGTCCCATTCTGTATGAATAATCAGTGAGGTTGCCAAAATAGCTCCATCTGTTGCGTGCAGCAGATTCTGTAGGAGTATGAGAAATATTGAGGGCCGGTGGGGCTGGAACAATCCAAACTGAGCAGCCATGGGAAATGGACTGACAGGAGGGGGTGGGGGATAAGCTATTTGTAGAGGACAAGGAGACATGGAACATGGAGTATCTTGTACTCTGCATCACAATTTTTTTATTTCAGGTTCACTTGTGGGATTCATTGCTTTAGCAAACTCCTCCCTGCCCAATCGCAGCTGGAGGAATTAAACATTGGTGCAATTGTGTGTCTGGAGCACTTGGGCATAGCTTGCAAAATGATGCAGAGGTAGGATTGTCATTCCCTTCTTTTCTTTCCTCCAGATGGTAAGGCTCCATTAACCATTTTCTGAGAAGCAGAAATTTAGCAGCAGCTGGATTATGGGATCAAAAGTTCTCGTGCTTGCAGTTTCCTGTTTCTGGAACTACATCAGTGCACATTAGCTGGGGGGTGGTGGGCAGAGGTGGTGGCCAATGGCCATGCTACCTGGAAAGTATGGGAGCTGGTCTAACACATCTGCAGTGTGCCGTGTTGGGAAAGGCTGCTCCAGACCACTGGGAGGCCCAACCAAAGACTAGAGACACTGCTGGATATCAGAAGTTATTCATTAGATATATATCCCACTTTTTCCTTATAACAAACTCAAATTGGATTACATCTTTCTCCTGTTCTCAATCTTACCCCCAGAACAACACTCCTGTGAGGTGGGTTGGGCTGAAAGTCTGTGACAGGCCCAAAGTCACCCAGTTGGCTCCAGCGCCTGGGGGGACTAGAACTCAGATCACCTGAATCCCACTCCCATGCTCTTAACCACTACACCACCCTGCCATCCAATGTGAAAGTTATATTTTCATCCAAGAATTGGAACTGGCTAGGTCAAGGGCAATGAAGAGTTATAGCTGGAAGAACTCTGAAGACCTGTCTTTACCTTTCCAGACCACTCAGCATGGCCCAAATCTGCCAAGCTTGTGAGATGCCAAACTAAAAGCAGAGCTAACTGCTCTGGAGTGCAGCTCTTTAAAGTGCAGTCCCATGTATGTCTAAACAGCAAAACATCTTTTACAATTCTTAGTAGCCCTCCACCAATCATAAATCATACTGGTGGGGCATGCCAGAACTGTTGATGTTCTCTAACCATGCATAGGATTGCACTCTTAAGAAACTGATTTTGTGGTTAGGTTTAGCTTGGGTTAATTGGCTTACAGGGTAATGTCAGAGGGTGTCAGAGGGTGGAGGCACCCCTTGTCTCTCCCTATTATGTTCTCTTGTCTGCCCCCAGCAACGTGCCTGAGAGGGACAGAATGCTTTTGCCAGGGATCTGCACAGATCATTTGTGAGGGCTTTTGAATTTAGGCTGAGGGCCAAGGGTGCCCAACCCTGGACTAGCCAAACAAAACTGATAATGAAATGCCACATTCGATTTGAAGCAGCAGAATCACCATGTACAGAGAAGCTACCCACAGGTATTAGGAGCTCTGGACCAGATTCATAGATAGTAAGAAGCCTAATAGGAGAGGATTTTATCACATGTGGGTTTGGGTGACCAACTTAACTGGCCTTGTTCTTCTCTCTTCAGTAACAACAGCCTAATACAAATGAAGCAGGCAACTCCTCCCCACACTCCTTATCACCATGCCGGGGGAAAAACAATTTTCCTTAATACATTTCTGCATGTCAGGTTGTTGTTACAGGCACAGGGCCAGTCAAGATGTTGACAACTCTTAAGCTACACACAACATTCTACCCACATCCATAGCCCTGAGGCTTCCTGAAAGTCACACGCCAAGAACTCCAGACCAGCATCCTGGAATATTACTAGATTTAGAGCAACAATTAGCGCAACCTTCTAGGTTAATTTGAACATCCTTAAGGGAAGATATGGAATGATAAGGCAGCCCCAATGGAAGTGTCTTCTCTATATTCATAGCCAGGCAGAGGGTCTGGATGTGATTTTACCGGGTACTGTCAGGAGGTCTGAGCACTCCCAGAACACCAGGGCAAACAGGGCAAACTCTTACATCCTTATCAGCCCTCACTCACACCAGTAGTTATGGTATAAAATTAGTGGATCAAGGAAAATTACTCCCCTGCATGGACACTTTGTGTCCGGCACTTTAAGGACCAAGATGGGAGTTTGCTTGGGCCTAAAGTTCACATTAAAAACATAATCCCACAGATTTGATATCACAGTTAGCCAAAATGGTAGTGGCTCACCTGTCTTAAGTTGGTGATACCTGAGGCAAAGCTTATGGAGGACCACACCATTTTATAGTCTGGGGAAGGGAAGGAGTCAAACAGAAGCCCGGGTTCAAAAAATAAAAAGTGGTGGGGAGGAGAAAGTAATTCCCCTGCCCCCTCCTAGATCATGAAAGTTGTCACTGTGATTGGGCACATATCTCACTTCAAATATTAAACTTATGCAGTCTCCCCAAAACTAACATTTACAGTGTCACAAAGACACTCTTGAGAAGGAGCTATGCCATGTTTGATTTGATTGAAATCCCTTTCACAAAATGACAGATGACAATCCACCAAACAATACGGCTTGCTCTTCAAGTTGTAAGTCAGGAAAACAAGCACAGTGGCATTCAGGAATGAAGGTCAAGGGGCCATTGAAAAATCTAGATATGCCTGGGGAAAAACCAGCAAGACAGCCAAAAGCATACAGTAAGATTATGGCTTCAGGATCATACTCACACATCAGAAATCCCTACCCTGGTCCTTGAGATCTGTACGATTAAAAGACAAGCCTGAAACTATGATCATAACGTCACGCTGTATCCTTTGAGCAGCTAGTAATATAAAAAGCAGCATGTAAATGCACACCCTTGTAAGGTCGCAAGAGCAACTATATTATGTATGATCAGCGTGTGAGTGTGCACAAGACCCAACTTAAACATTCTCCAGGGAAGGGATACAACTGTGCTGCTGCAACAGTAGCCGCCACAGGTGAGGATTCTGTCCACATTCATTTTACCAGAAGTACAAGGGTTTCCTGTCAAAGCCTGTATCTTGACAGCTAACACTGGGCTGCATGTCTTACAATTGCAGATGGTTATGTCGAGAACACCTGTCCCTGCTCTTCAACTACAGCTTAGCAAAGAAGTCTGTCAGACTTTCATACTTTGGCCTTGCAATCCTGTGTGCCAAGGACTGGAGGAACACATGCATACACCTGTATATGGAATTCTCCCATCACAATGTGCAATACTGGAGGTTACTGCAAGCTGCTTGGATGGATACACCAGGCTGAAACAGGCACTGGTTCTTTTTCACTGCTACTGTCACACACACTTGGATTAGGCAGAATTTAAGTCAAGCTGGTCCATAGGTCCATCTAGTCCAGCATTCCATACAGTGGCAAACCAGCTGCCCACAAAATTCCTCAAGCGGGAGGGGTGCAGGACCCCCCACTGTCCAAACTCCTCAGCAACTGGGGTATGCAGGCATGCCGCCACTGGCGAAAGAGGCAGCACGTGGCCAGCAAGGCTGGTAGACACCGACAGGCTACTCCTCTCGTGAATCCGTCCAATTCCTTTTTAAAGCCATCCAGACTGGCAGCCGTCACCACTTCCTGTGGCAGTGAATTCCAGTTTACCTATACACTGTGTGAAGAACTTCCTTTTATCTGTCCTCAACCTCCCACCAATCAGCTCCATGGGATGACCCTGGGTTCAAATGTTAAGGCAGAAGGAGAAAAATGTCTCCTCCTCCACTTTCTCCACACCATGCATACTTTTAAACACCTCCTTCATGTCTTCCCTTACTCGCCTTTTACCCAAGCTGAACAGTCCCAGCTGTTGTAGCTGCTCCTCATAGAGGTGCTGATCCAGCACCTGACCATTTTTGTTGCCATTCTCTCTACTTGCTCATCTTGTAAAAGATGCTGCATTATAAAAGCCTAACCCATTCCTTCTCCCAATCACAAGAGGAAATGATATTTATCATCCTACTACAAGGGGGCCCAACTTACCTGTAACAAAGAACCGCTGACAATCAGAAGCAGAAGAGGTGACACAACAACAATAGACATGGGCCATGATAATAAAGCAGACTTTATTGGAGGTGCCGAGGGCCACAGAAACCAAAGCCTTCGCACAAAGCACGAGGGGTGTGTGCGTGCTGCTAGACAACAGCTCAGCTAACACTTTCCCTGCCTCTAATCTCCACTGCTTCATAACTGCAGCCATTTCTGGGTATGCATCCCATCACCCCACATTCCAATGTGCTCAGGGTGACTCCTAGGCAGTCGTCCTTCTTTTCCGGAGAGTACGGCCATTAGTGGGGCACAAGGAGATGCTTCTTAGGTAACAGGCTAGAAAAAGGCAGGCCAAGCTGCTGCTTGTCGCATACTATCCATTCAGAAGGCTGATGGGCTGTGCAAAATGCAGCAGCAGGCAAGAGGCGGCATCAGTATTCCAAAGGCTTGCTCGTTATCCGACTCCGGCACCTGCCAATCCAAGGGGAGAAGTCAACACTTCACTTCCCGGCCAAGCGTTCCTCCTTTCGCTTTGTGAGGATGTATTTGAAGAACTCATACACGGACCAGGCAATGGCTGTAGATGGCACCTGGTAAATGACACGGGCCTGCACCCCACGGAAATAGGCGGTCAGCCCGCCCACGTGGTACACCGTCCTGAATGCATGCGCCATGCCTGTAATGTGCCCGCTGATGTTGGTATTCAGCGCCAGGGCTTCCTGGGTGTTCAGCAGTGTCTTGCAAACGTCCAAGGGGGTGGTGGCAGCAGCAGCGATGGCACCTGCACAGGCACCCGCCACCATATGGGAGCTGGGATTGTATTGTCTGTGGGGGTTGAGCTGTTCCTGTAGCGATTCATAGGCCATAAAGTGGATAGCCTGGAAAGGGATGTTCATGGTCAGCTGAGTGGTATAGCTTCGGTAGAACGCTCCTGCCCCTTCATTGCACCACACAGCTCGCACACAGTCCGTCACTCGCTGGTATGGAGAGTTGTACATCTGCATCCTCTGCTTTATCACTGGAGACAGGTGAGAGCAGCCGCCCAGCCAGGAGGAAAAGGTGGGGGAGGGGAGGGAAAGAAAGTCCGTAAGTGCAGTGATCTGACTCTGTGCATTCTGGGTAAACACCCATGGATCTCATGCTGTAGCCTCACATCTGCCTTGGTGTTATCTACCAGCCCAGTAAACCCCCAAATTCCATAACGCAGGAAAACCCTCTGATGCCCCATTCCTGGACTGTCACACACTACTAAGTAAAGATGGGGATCTACTGATCCATGCTTGGATTTTGCCTACAGAATGCAGGGAACACATGTACAGAAAAGAACAGGATATAATATTGGCTTAATGTCATTTATCAACCCTGAAGCAGAAACAAACAAACAAAAAAGAACACGTGGCCTTTCTCCTTCCAGTCAAAGCCTCTTCGACAGCCTCCCAACCCCACCATCCGATTATCCTTCTCATAAATGGTGCTCTCTGCTTCCACCTTTTCACAAACAATCTAAGAGCACCCTCTGGTGACAAAAGAGGACCACGAGCTGCTTGAAAGCCGTGGCATAGCTGGGAAGCAGGATTACCTTCTGCTGGGTTCATGGCTGCATCATGAAGCAATGTTGCCACACAGCCTGCCGCGCCTGCAAGACAAGGACTGTTACGTGTGAAAAAAAATGGACAAGAGCTCCGCAAGGGTCCTCATGGGCTCCAAGAGTGTGCCAGAAAGGGAGTGTGTGCATGGGAATAGGGATATTGCCCTCCCCAAAAGAGAAACAAAAATTTTACTTAAAAGTCAGCAGGAATTTTCAGAGGGGATAGCAGAAATCATCAAGGCTCTAGTGTAGTTTCTTCAACTTAATCCCAATACATAATGGAAAAAGGGGGAAATAAAATGTCTATAAAACTTTAATTAATGTCCTTAATTCCTAAAGCACAGAAGAGTCAAAACCATCCTGCAGCTGTTTAGGAGTCCACCACTCATCCAACAGACTTCAGAGGCAGATGAGTTAGGTCCAAACGTCTAGGGATCCCAAGCCAAACACATCTTTCTATTATCTGTCCAGACTATCAGAGATGAAGGAGGAGGATTAGAAGCATGATATTGTGAAGAAGCAGAAGTAAACAGATGAACTCTAGAGCACATGCTACAGAAGCCCAGGATTCTCCCCACTCAGAAATTAAGTTGCTAAAGAAAGTTATCATTACAGACAAACAGAAGCACACAAAATCTCTGGAACATTTGTTTCAAAGGAACAGCACTACATAAAGACAAACAGCAATCTGCCCACCCATCCATCACACCTTGATCTCTCAGTGCAATCATGAGCACATCTTCCAACTGCCTGGAGGAAACATCAGCTACTTGCCCCTTCTCATGTCCATCCCATCCACGTATCGTTTTACTGAGACAATGGCAAACCTGTACCTCCACTGATCATGCTTCAGTACCACTACCAGTTAAACAGCACACAGTGTCAGGGAAGTGCCAGTCAGGATGAGGGCACAAAAAGCAGCAATCCCTGATGTCCAATTCCCCCATCTCACTCTCAGCCCCAACTGGTAACATGGGGACCCCAGGATGGGGCAAGAAGGCAGGAAGGGACAATACCGTTGGCCACGTGACTATTGCCCCCAGCATGGATAATGTCGGTAAGTGTCTTTTTCAACTTTTCGTAGCAGGCGAAATACAAGGCATGGGCAGGGCCAGCCCCTGTGGCTGTGACGTTCAATCCACGCATGGGTCGCCAGATCCCTTCAGTCCGCACGATCCGCCACAGAGCCTCCAGCACATTCCGGTAGCGAGCAGCAGGTTCTGGTTGCAGGCTCTGCATCCTTGTCTGCCAGCGCAGGGAGGGGAGCAGGTTAGATATGCTGAGGGATTGACCCAAATGCTCTCCCCACCCAGCTCTCCCCACCCGCTGCTCTATTTTCCTCAGCAGACTGTGAGCATCCGAGCCTCTACAGTGGCTCCGCACCTCACACTCTTCCTGTCAAGTTGCAAGTGCCCTTTCCATATGTATGTAGATTAGTGGGATTTCAAGGGGGGCTGCTATTGGGCCCTGCAGCACCCCGCCCCCAAACTAAAAGTACAAACCTATGCATGTTTGGACAGAAAAAAAGTCCTAAATCTCCTAGCACTTCCCAGCCATGGTAGCTGGAAATTGCTAGAAAGTACAGGGGATTCTTTCTGTCTAAACATGTGTACCACTGTGCCTTGAATGACATAATTCCTCCTACCTAAAAACTGAGCCCAAATCATTGTGCTGGAAAAAGGAACAACAGTATGCCTGCAAAACCGTCCAGATTACAGTCCAGGAAATAGTTCCTACTTCTCGTCTACTATGGATGACATTGTGTAACTGTCATCTCGAGTTTCCAAACCAGTCATCATTGACACTTCTATGCCAAACCGTAAAAGAATCAGATACTTGTTGATTCTTCCCTCCCTGCCAAAATTCGCATTCTCTTTCCCGCAATTTCCGCCCCTTTTTTCCCCTCGGTCAAGACTCATCGCTTGTTGAGTAAATTCGGATCGAGCCAAACCGCCCGCCAACATACAGACTGAAGTGCAACGCTGCTGCATAAGATATACCTGCTGTTACCGTGCTCCGCGCTTGCCAAGAGCCTCCTTGCAATGACTCTCGGGTCTCACCTCAGCTCCGCGCTCAGAACAGCTCCTCGCCACCCATCCCGGCCCCGATTCCCGCCGCCGCCGCCACCCCCGGGACCGCGAGGGCAACTTCCCGCCTGTTCTCACCTTGACACAGTCCACCGGGTACATGAGGCTGTGCTCCAGCACCCCAGCCACAGCCCCTGCGAGCATGTGGGTGGAGGCGGCGGAGCCGCGTGGGAGGGCCTCGTAGTCCGGCTCCGGACCGGCCTCGGTGTCCGTTCCAGGTCCCCCCTCCCCGCCGCCCGCCGAGAGCCACGCCCAGCCCGAGCCCCCCCCGCCACCCCCGCCCAGCAGCAGGAGGAGCTGGCGGCCCGGCTCCGCCCCGCCACGCTGCCCGGGCCCAGCCGCGCCGCCCGCCCCCAGCTCCATGGCGCCGCCGTCGAGTCCGTTACGGGATGCCCACTCGGTCCTGCGGCTCCCGCTCTCTCCAGCCCGCCTACGGACACCGCTCATTGGCTCCTGCCGATATTCACGCCGCCCAAGGCCAGTACCCGTTGGTCGGCTCCGGCTCCGGTTAGCTTCTATTGGCCAATGGCAGTCAGGCTCCCGCCTATCAGAAGAGATGTTGGGCAATGCCTCTTTGACCTTTCGTTCTTTGCTGGTTCCATTGGCTATCTGTCCTCTTTACGCGGTAGAAATCGGAAGAATCAAAAATTTATTGGGTAGCATGCCTGCCATTTAAAATGACAGGCTGGCAATATGGTCTGCGCAGTTTTCTATGGCGCGTGGGGTTTGTTTGTAGATACTAGTTGGTTTCTCTTTAGTGCGGAGTTGCTATGAGAAATCTGGGTTCAGTCTTCCTCAATCTCTCTAGATGTGTTCCACCACAGGTTCCATCATCTCCTCCCAGAATAATTATTAGTACTGGGAGGAAGGATGCAGGGTGAAGATTGATCGGGACCAACAAGATGCTTGCGTAAGTCTTTGATCAGTTCAGATTAGAATACGCTAAACTTTTAAAAACAACCTTTCGCAAGATAGTGCCCTCCGAATGCCTTGAACTACAATTCCCATAAGTTTTAACTAATCCGCTTCAAGACCTCAGGCTGTGGAAGGCTGGTGTATGAATTGAGCAATATCTGCGTGACCTAATTCAATGAAACATGAGGGAAAAAACCTCTCCAACCCTTAGCCGGGACCTGTCACTTGGTTGGCCTACGCATTGTGACGTATGTGCTGCGAGTCTTACTGAATGATGCTTGAGGAAGTATCACATTCCGGTCTGGAAAGTAACATTCTCTCTGAATCCCAAGCTGATTGGCTGTCCGAAGAAGGAGGTGGAGCTAAGGAGCCCGAAGCGCCGAAAGTAACCCGATAGGTTCCGCTACGTCAGTTCCAAACGGGCTGCCTCATTGGCTGCTGCTGAGCCCGGTCGTCCTGGGGACGTGGCCGGAGCGTTCGCCGCTCCAGCAGGTTCGGAGCGGCGAGAGAAGAGGTGAGTTTTCTTCTGCTATCACTGGAGAAATGGGCAGAGAGCCTGGGGTGGCGGGGCAGCGGGGTCGTGTCTGTCCGCCGCCCTGGTGGCCAGGCTCAGTGTTCGATCCGGTTAGCCTCATTTGGAGTGTGAAACTAATTAACCGGGGGTTAATTTTGGCCTTTGCAAGGCAGGGAACCGGCACTCACTTGGCAATCTCTCCCTGCCTTTTTTGCTTTTTCAGGGTCTTGGATCCTCCCGTGACTGTAGGGGAAAGAGATGCACCTTCCTCCCGGAGACCGTAGAGGAAGCTAACCGAGGTCGGGGAGTGGGCGTGCACATGGCCAGGTGAGATGGGCGGCCCGCTCTTCTCCAAATGGGCCACGGAACTTCCTTGAATGCGCAACATCCCCCTTGTATTTCAGCCTGGCTGGGCATGATAGGACTTGGGAAGAACAGCAGGTTGGGAAAGCTGTTTTGTGTGTGCACGTGTTGCCAGGTTAAGATGGGAAGCAGACAATGATGCCCAAGACCTCAAAGAGCCTTTTTCTATGCTTCCCCCCCACTCCCAATTACAATGACCTTGTTAGTCACCCAGCTTGCTCCATGTGGCTGTTAATCTTTAGAAAGTACTGCTGTGCCAGAGCACAGCCTGAGTAGAAGCTAGAAGTTCAAAGCTCAAGCTCCGTGCTTATCGAACAAGGTAGAAGGGCAGCCTGAGTGCTTCCCTGTGCTTGTGGAATGTGGCTACTGGATGCCAGAGGGGTATCCTTGTTCTTCAGGCCCCACAGATGTGGCTAAAACAAGAGTGGGAAAAACACTTCTTCCTTGGCAGAGCTTCTAAGGCAAAAGCTAGGGAAAATGCACCACATACCTGCTACCTGCACTTCCATGGTGCTATGTAGGTGGTTACTGTAACTCAGTGCATACTCACATGGCAATGCAGCCCACTGAACGCAATCATGTGCTTCTGTCTAAACATATGTGTTATAGTGACTAAATGAGAGCCATTGCAATCTGACCCAGTTGGCTAGTTCAGATTGTCAATGAGATAAAACCTATTATTAAGACTATGGTAATCTATGTTATTGTGGATTTTAGAGCCCAGTTCTTCTTTTTTACAACCTTGAATGTGCTTCCTCCGTTTCTAACCTTCCAGCTGTGATCCATGTTATTCTCTTTGTGAATGCTGGAAGCACCTGTCCTCAGTCTTCTTGTGGTCAATGTATTTATATTTCATTGACCAAGTCTCTTGCCAGACTTTAACAATAGAATAGTTACTCTGTTCTTTTGTATTTCTTTCTCTTCCAGAATCAGTTTTTCCTGCCTGTGTCCAGCAACTTGGCACTTCACAGTGCCTTCAGTGAGCCTTTGTCTTCGTCAGCGGTTGGCCCTACTCAGCCTGCTGCTTGGAGTTTGCATCCTGCTGCTTGTGGCAATTACAAATTTGTGGCATTGGAAAGTTGATTCTCGGGACAGGCAGTTTGAAAGGTGGGTGAGCAGGGAAGCAGGCTGGCATGGAGAGCCAAAAGGATGTTTCCTGGCTTGGTTTTGCAGATTACATAGCATAGGAACAGATCTGTTATTTTTCTGGCAGCCAGCTGGGCATGGACAAAGACAGAGAGAAAGAGAAATGGCTGGGGACTGCCCCCTGCTAGCTTCAGCCCTTCTTGATGCTGGTGTAGGACCATCACTATTTATTTATTTATAAATACCCTGACTTTTTTTCTTTTTAAAGCACACAGAGTGACTTACATCATTCTCCTCCTCCTGCTCTCAATCGTGTCCCCACAACAACAACCCTGTGAGGTAGGATGGGCTATGACTCAGTGATGGCCCAAAGTCACCTAGTTGGCTCCATGGCCGAGCAGGGACTAGAACCCAGATTGCTTGAGTTCTGGTCCCACACTCTTAACTACTACACCACACTGGCTCTCACACTCTTGATACAGAAGAACTGAGGAACTATTTATTTTATTTAAAACATTTTTATGCCGCCCCCATCGCAACGAAGCTTCGGGGCGGCTCACAACAGAAATAAATATATAAATAATAACCATATAACAATAAAAAATTTATTTAAAACCCCCGGTGCATCTCGGCTGAAAATTTACAATCCTATAAATACAAATAATTTAACAATTAAAATAAGTATTAAATGAAAAGGTCTTAGCCTGGCGCCGAAAAACAAATAACGACGGCGCCAGGCAGACCTCTCTGGGGAGCGCATTCCATAGATGGGGCGCCACTGCAGAGAAGGCCCTCCGGGTACGCACCCTCCTAATATCATTCACTGTCAACCTCCATTGGCTATTAGCTGAGTTTTCGTAAAGTATTCTAGATCACATAGTAGTGCATATTAAGAGAAATTGCCTTTGTGCACCCTGCGAAATGCACCAGAATGGAGAGATTAGTTAGAAAATGAGCACAGTGCTCTGAGAGAGAATGGGGCAGCTACAGCCATTCCTTTTCACAAGTAAGTATAAACAGTATGATCTGAAATAACTCTGCACCATCAGAAAATCTCTGCACACCTTGGAAGATGATGCCTGATACAACTTGTTTCTGCTGTTGACAACTCTAAAATAGAGGAGAACTATAGGAATAAAAATAGTCTAAGGGTACAATCCTGTGCATGTTTAGGCAGACTCTCTCCCTAAACATGTATAAGATTGCACTCCTGAGGAAGCAATTCCCTAAAAAGGCAAAACCTTTCAGACTAGAAAGAAGCCCATCCTGCGAGGGAAGTGTTGCTTCATATGGGGGACGGGGGGGTGGTATCTTCAGGGTGAGAGGGTATTGTGTGTCCTTTAAGCAGAAGGGTGTATTCTGCAGATACTGTGCACAGTGTGGATTCTGCATCATAGAATCTGGTGCTTTGCCAAAGGGCATGGCTCATTTCTTGTCCTTACGGCAGCTAGCAAGAGAGGGCAATTTCTACCTCCATCCTTCCTCTCTTGTTTTTTCACTGCTCTAACATCCACCTGGTCTTCATTAGAAAAATAGAGTTCTAAATTTGTCTCATAGTGCAAATATATCAGCAGAAGGAGATATGCTAAATTGAAAATTGCAGAAGTGGTGGCAGGTCATGTGTCCCAGTTTCCATCTTGCTGTTGGATAAGAGTGAGGAGTGTCCCCTCCACCCTCTGCTTCCTGCTCTGATAACTGTGGTGGGAAGCAGACACCTGGAGGGATTTCAGCTGCTATTTTCCCATCAGCAAAGCTCTTTTAAGACTGAGGAGGAAGAGGAAGGAGATGCCAAGGCTAAACTGCTCAGTCTTACCACAAGATCAGGGCTGAAGAAGATCTTTCAGTTGGTGGGAAAGCTGGGAAAAAATCAGTGTCTGCATCAAGGACATTGGATCAAGTGTCAGGAATTTTGCATTTTGGTAGGATTCTCACCCCCCCCCCCCCCGATTTCCACACAAGGATTCTCCAAATCTCTTCTGGACAGAACCTGGCTAGTCTGCTTTTCTAAGGTTCAGTTGGTGCTTTACAGCTGGGATAAAGGATACGTCGCACGAGCACTTTTTCAAGCTGGTTTGTCCATCCTTTTAATGCTAGGTCTGATATTTACCAGTATTGCAAGGGATGCAAAACCTAAGGGCCAAATTCCATTATGGAAAACTCCTGGGCTGCATTACAGTGCTGAGCGGGCTGAAATCAAAAGTGGCAGGTCTAAAGGCAGACGACATAAGGCCAAAATACCAGCATAGTTTAACTCAAAACTTTTACTGCCAGTTAACAAAGTCTTAGAAGAGACCTTTCAACCTTTTTGAAACAGGAGAAATCTGCATAAAGGTGGGGAAACTGCCATGCTATCAACTGTTGGGGGTGAAAGGGGGTGGGCCTATGAGAAGGGGTGCCTGGGCCTGAGACTCTGCACAGCTTTGGTAAAACTTTATTTCTCTTGGCTGTACCTCAGAAATTCTGTGGCTGTCACCAGGTATCTTACAGCGTGCCTGACTGTCCCCACAAAGAATCCATCTGCGCGCGCGCGCGTGTGTGTGTGTGTGTGTGGTGGGGAGATGGAGGCACTTTTGAAATGGGTATTTCCTTTGAGTATGGCTTTTTTGACACCTCCCCCGCCGCTGCCTCTCTATGCACAGTAGTCTTCCCACTTCCGCCTTGACCAACTTTCTTAATATTCTACCTTGTAAGATATATAGCATTTCATAATGGCCTGTTGGCGTTTTTAATGTGAAGCATTATGCCAGCCTAGAGTTAGGAAGGAATAAAGGAAGTTATCTCTGTTGATGATGCTAGGGAGATAGGAAAGCATAAAGGACAACACGCTAGTTGTAAAGAAAGTAAGAGCTAAGATCTCTTGAGATGTATAAATAGCTCTTGATTGTTGTCACTATATTGCAGTCTTATCCAGTCAGAGGCTCTCCAGATGTTTTGGGCTACACTTTCCGATATTCCAAAGCATTAGCTGGGCCTGATGGGAGTTGAAGTCCACAACATGCTGAGGCCACCAGTATAGAGAAGCCTGTTCTACTGGCTGAATTACTGAAAGTTAAACTTGCTAAGCCAAGTCCTACAGCTACCCTTATGTGGAAGGGATGCCTTGAAATGTATGCAACTTAAGTTAGTCATGACTAACTTAAGACTCGTTATTTTTTAAGTGGGTTGACTCTATATAGGGCTAACTTTGGATATAATTCAGAGAGGTAATTAGTTACATTTCTGTTGGTAACAGAACAGACAGCAACTCCCTAAGTAAAGGGATAATGGCCTGTACATTCCCATAGACAATACCACCTTATCCCCCAAAGGCTTCTTGGAAAGAAGGGAGGTGATTTTTAAGATACTGGTTTAGGATCCCTCAATCTGATCCAGACTCTCACGGTCTGGTGGAAAATGACAGTGCTTCTCTGAAGCCCACATTTATTTAATATGCAAAGGGGGGGTCTCCAGCTGTAGTTCATTTTTAAGATTAAAAAGTCTAGACGTGTAGATATTATCATTTTTAAAAGGGCCATTACGATAAAGGAAGGGTAAATGCTTTGGCAAGGATTAGTCATTTGTATCTGACAGCCACCTCAAACAATTGCTTTTCAGGCGAAAGGACGACTAGTAATTCCTTTTGCATTCACATTACTACAAGCATATGTGATTCTCTAAGTCTGCCCTTGTGTATGGCAGGTTGTATTAATAAAAAGCAGGGTGCTTCTTAAATGAAAGGCTTTTTTCCCTGGTATGCTATATCTGCATAACATCTTGAATGGTAGCACTTCTATTATTGTTAAATTTCCCCTTGCTTTTCTTCCTTCATGGAACTCAGTCAAGCATTGATAAGGTTCCTACATTGTTATAGAACAGCACAGCATCTATAAGGTTCTCATTCCAGCAGTGCCTAGTACTTGTGTCTTTTCTATCAAGGCCACTGGTGGGCCTGAAAGGTACATTTATTGTATGGCTTAGAGGAAGGGTTGTAGATTAGAGTAGAGCCCATGCTTTTTGTGTGAAAGCTTCCGGGTTCAACCCCCTGCATCTCCAGGTAGGGCTGGAAAGACCACTACTCAAAACCCTGTGGAACTGCTGCCAGTTAGTGTATACAATACTGGGCTAGATGGACCAAAGATCTGACTTGGTATAAGTAGCTTCCCATTTTCCTATCAATTCAGTGTTATGTGATACAAGCTGAAGGGGTTTTCACCTTGGAGCAGACTACAGCTAGTGGATAAGCCTTTTTCAATGTATAGCAGTGTCTTAATACTACAAAGTCTTCAGTTTCTAGTCCTACAGTACTTTCCCACCATTACTCTCACCAGAAGAAAATGAATAGTTGTCCATTGTCTTTTGATTATCATGAGGCGTCCTCCCTCTGGGAAGCTCCATACCAGCTGGACAAGTGCTTGCATTGTTATGTAAATTGGAATATTATACTCTGTGGCTCCTCTGGAAGTCAGTGGTTTATGTATGTGTGTCTGCTCAGAAGGCAGCTTGGTGGGGCCTGGCACTATGGATGCAATCCTATGTATGTTTAAACAGAAAAAAACTCCAACTCCCAGCATTCCCCCAGCCAGCCATACATGAGATTGCACCTGAAGTATGCCTCACTTACTCTCCCCTGTAAGTCTTGACCTTCCACTTCTCTGACAAACACCACTCAAGTAGGCTTCAGTTAATTTTCAGGTTTCCTCTGCTCTGTTTCATAAATGCTGGCGGACAGAAGTGGAACAAACCATGCTAGGATGTCAAGAGTGGCTCCGGAGCCAGAAACTGTACTGACTGGTGCATAGCTGAATGTCTGGGGAAGTTGTGTCTTGGCTTCTGGAAAAGATGACACAAGATAACTAGCATGGGGAATGGTTTACTTCCACCCCCTGTTGTGTTCTATCTGGTGCTGTAGGAGAAATGTTAGAGGTTGTGCTGAGCCAGAATTTCCTTCAGTGCAAGAAAGCGGAGCAGAGTAGTAAGAATTGTCACAATGTGAGCCCTCTGTCTGATGGAGTCATTTAATTAACTCCCAGGTTCAATTCCTTGCATCTCCTGGTAGGGCTAGAGAGACAAGTACACAAAATCCTGTAGATTTGTGAATAAGGAGAGCCCTGCTGAATCAGATAGATTGTCCAACCAGTCCAGCATTCTGTTCGCATATCTGAATTCTGTGTTTTCATCCATGGCTGTTGAGGCCATGAGTGCATGGCTAAGGAACCTATGAGCTGGGGCAATATCTCTAGTCTTCATGGAAAGGGGAAGAGGGCTATGAAGGCTGTCTGGAATACTTGGTGGGGTGGGGGAAAGTCATTTCTTAATTGGGGAAAGGGTAGATCCTGCTGAGACCTGCAGGTGAGGTTTCCAGGTTTTATCTTGGAACAAGAGCTCTGTTACACAAGTGGAAGGGGAAACAAACAAAGAATGTGCTCACACCCCTTTTTGCTCTTCCTTTCTGTGGCCCTTTCAGCTGCTATTAGGTCAAAAGTCTTCATTTCTGTGGTTTCTTCTATCAAGCCAATCTCAAAACTCTTTGGGTCTTGAATGTCTATTGTAAGTAGTGTGGAGTTGGGCCATTAGACATAGGCTGGATAACCAAAACCTAAACGAATACACATACATACATACATACATACAGACGTGTGTACTCATTTGCACACAGAGGAAGAGAGAAATTAATGAGCAGTGGAGTACACAGACAACCAAGGATAAATCCATCTAACTAACCCAAGCATAATGTTCTTATGCAATCTTAGGCCCAATTTTCTCAAAGAGTGCTCTAGTTTCAGAAGACTCTTTGTTTCCTCTGGAGCTCTGGTCTTCTTTCCTTCCTGCTTGCTTTGTCTGGCTCTCTTTTTCTTTTTGCCCTTCTGTATTTTGCTTTTATTTTCCCAAGCCAGTCCTTTTTTTCTCTCCCCAACAAATCAGGAGGGTAGCTTCCTGTTCATCTCTATCAACTACATTTCTGTCTTCAAAGTTAAAGTGTTTTTTCTCTCTCCCACTGAATGTTATCACCTCCTGCTACCTGAACAAAAAGTCCTGATTCCTACTTTTTATTTTTTATTGTTTTCCTAAAAGAAATAAAGTACAAAAGGGGAAAAATTAAGAGAAATGTAAGAATGTCAAGGGATCTTACACATATATAACATACACATTCATAACCTGCAAATTCCCCAAGAAGTCAAAATTTTCTATCTTTCTGTTAATTAGTACTTTGTTGAAGCTCACAAAAAAGATGATAGTTCTCTAAAAAATAAACCAATTTTCCAATCAATATTTTAACGAGCTTCCCTTTGTTCTATATTAATTAAACTGCATATAATAGAATTTCCATTTATCATTAAATTCTTCAATTGGTCTTCTGTTTATATAACCAAATTTTGTCCTCACTGCATACTCAGCCTGATCTCTACTTTTTAACCTCTAAAACGTTAACTTTTTGGCTGAAGTTGATTTGCACCTCTTCCAGAATTATAATAACGTGATAATATCATAAAACCAAGCTGAATAAATAAATAAATAAACTCAGGACAGTTCTGTTCCTTCACAGGCATAAAGGAAGATGGCAAGACTTACTTGCTCTTAAATTCTCAGAATAAGAATGAAGCTGAAGCCTTTCAAATGGATGGTCATTCCACTTCTCTAGGACAAAGTATCCTACTCACAGAGTCTTGCCTTCTTTTCTCAGGCACCTCCAGAGCTATAGAAAAGTTTCATGGAAGGCCATGTCTACCTTTTACGTGGTGCTAAGACTATGTTAGGTTTTGGTCTCAGCTGCCTACCATTCCAGAACGAAATCTCCCTTCTTCCCTTTTGCAGGTATTTGGCACGGTTTCGCGCCTTAGAGGCAACGGACACAAAGAACCCAGCTCTGAGCTACGGAGTTGTTGTTGACTGTGGGAGCAGTGGGTCTCGGGTTTTTGTGTACTTTTGGCCACCACATAATAAAAATCCACATGACCTGTTGGACATCCGGCAGATGCGAGACCACGCTAACGAACCTGTGGTCAAGAAAATCAAGCCAGGTTTGGATCTTCCAGATTACTTCCTGTTACAGGAGCCCACAGGAACTAGGGGCTCCCCTGGTTGGACTGAAGGAGGGTGCATTTATGTGCATGCTGCTGCTCAAGCTGTTCCTTTTGCTTGGACAGGGATCTCTACAGTAGCCAAAACTCCAGAGAAAGCCAGTGAATACATGAAGCCATTGCTCAGCTTTGCTGCTGCCTATGTACCCAAGGCCAAGCACAAGGAGACGCCGCTCTACATCTTGTGCACTGCAGGAATGAGGCTGCTGCCTGAATGGTGAGCGATCCGCATCATTTCTGCACCTGTGTTCGCAAGCACTTGGGGCCAAGGAGCAAGAAATGCTGGGCCACGAGGAGCAAAAGAAGGGCTTGCATTCTGGAGTGGGGTGGGGGGAAGACAACTCCCACCCTGAAGAGGAAGACTGCTTGGAGCAGCCCCTCATATGACAAAAATGCAACAGGGCTGCAGATTCCCTTTCTGGTTGGCTGGGTGCAAGGCTTGGATGGGCGTTTTAAAAACTAAGCCGGTTTCCAAGCCTTGTGCTTCATGGAGCAACTTGATTGCTTCTTCGACCCTATTGTGAAACCTCTTATCAAGCCTCTCCCCTGCCCTCCCTTTCTAGCAAGCTGACTGTTAAATCCTACTCAAGAAGTTTGAGCGTTTGCAAATTGCTGGCTGAAAAGAGACCAAGGGGGAAATACTGGACTCTTGCACCTGAGATAAAGCAACAGGGTTTGCAGGGGGAGAGACAAATGGCTCTCATTGCAGAAAAACTAGAGATGCTTATTGTTTTTCAGGCAGCAGACCGCCATTCTGGAGGACCTGGTGAGGGATGTGCCCTTGGAATTTGACTTCCTCTTCTCGAAATCGCATGCAGAAGTGATCTCAGGAAAGCAGGAAGGTGGGAGATGGGTCAGAAAGGCTCAGTCACTCTACCTGGGGGTGTTGGGTTAAGTGAAAAGGGACAGGGCTAGGGTACATGGGTAGAGATGAGTGCAGAGTTCAAGCCAGGATTGAGGGGCTCAGCCACTTGCTTCCTGGAAACCTGGCTAAAACAGGCTGTTACTTAACAGAGGCCATGCGGTGGGAGTGAGGAACACTGTGGGTAGGATACAAGCTCCACCTGCAGCTGGCAGGCCTGTCTCTGGGCAGTACTTCCTCCTGCCAAGTTTTTCAGGAAGCCATATATGCAATGTATCTTCAAGGGACCTAACACTGCCTGTGGTTTTCCATTTCATCTGCAGGGGTCTACGCTTGGATAGGCATCAACTTTGTCCTGGGGAGATTTGACCATGAAGAAGGTGAGGCCAGGGCAAAGGATGGTAGAAAAAAGGGCCAAAGGTAGCCTTCCCCACTCCAAGCAGCTCAGGCCACAATGCCCATCATCCACCCAACATCCTTCTGGCTGTGAATGATGAGAGCTGCGGTTCAACACATCCAGAAAGCTGGGCTAATGGATGGGCACCGGGTCTCCCCCCCCCCCCCCCCCCCCACTTTTCCTTATTTTGGGACTGCCCTGCCTTGGCTGCTCAGTTCCCAGCAGGATCAGAATTGAATTGGGGATACCTGAGTTCAATTTTTCCTCCTTCCTCCAGATATTCCCAGAGGTCCTCCAGATATTCCCAGAGGCCTACCTTAAGCAGTGAAGGGAAAGGGTCCTTTTTCCAAAATCTTGGTAACTCACATATCCTCTCTTTCTCTGGGCGTGGGGCGTATGCTGCAGAAGAAGATGCATTGATCTCTGTGAGCCTGGCTGGCCAGGAAGCGCCCCTGGTACGGAAGAGGACCGTTGGGATCCTTGACATGGGAGGTGCCTCCCTGCAGATTGCCTACGAGGTGCCCATCCCCACCACCTTCTCTTCTCCACAGCAGGTACGTGTCTTGGTGAGAGAAGGCCCAGGAGGGTAGCCATGGACATGTCCTGGACCTTCTCTCACCCCCTGCCTCCCCCTTCCAGGAGGAAGCTGCCAAGAGCCTGCTTGCTGACTTCAATCTCGGCTGTGATGTGCAACATACCAAGCACGTCTACCGGGTCTATGTCAACACTTTCCTAGGGTTTGGAGGGAACATTGCCCGACAGCGCTATGAAGAGCTGCTGCTGAATCGGACCTTTGCCAGCAACAGGTATCCTGTAGCTCTAGTTCATGAGAGCGTACTGGTGTTGCAACAGAGCGACAGACCATGTGGAAAGTAGCACAGAATCACCTTACCTAAAAGCACAATAGGAATGCCAAGGGTATGGCACCAAATATCAGGAGGGTATGATTATTGCTATTAGGATGGTAATAATACTTCCAGACCTTCCTGGGGAGCTTTAATATCTTGCAGAGCTTTTAATGACAAACATGGCATAGGAGGCTTTGGGGCAACGGTGGGCCATTTTGTTGATTCCTCTTCCGCCTTTTGACAGTAGATCTAAATAAGCCTTCCTGGTAGATCTGTTGACTCCTTAAAAAAGGCTTTTAATTCAGAAAATAAAGCGTATGGCAGGCAGGAGTGGGGAACTGGTTGCCTCCAGCTAGTGTTGGACTACAGCTACTGTCCTGGACCCCTGGCTGTATTGACGGGCTGATGAGACCTGGGGTCTAACACTTGAACAGACCCAGGTTTCCAACTCTTGGTTTATGGGTTCAAAGCCAGCCAGCTTGCTAATACCTGTGTTGTGACTATGCCAAAGCAAAAGCCCTTTCATTTAGTGCGCAATGAAGAATGTTGTCTTCCCCCATTCACACCTTGCTAGTTCTGTCCCTAATGTGCTTTGACTTCAGCACCCCCGTTTGTGTTCAAGGGCAAATCAAGTCTGCAGATGGTAACCCTTTTGCAGGCAGGGGTGGGCCACCTGTGGACACAGGGCAGGTATTCATTTTTGCACACCCACACATATATGCACTTATGTGCATACCCCACCGACAGGGTGTCTGTTACCCGTAGGGCTTGTGGTGCCTCCGAGAGGAGGAAAGAGTGAATTGTTTTATGTATTTGCCGAGAAGAGCTGGGCCAGTCCCCTGAAGGACAAGGGGAGTGGGAGAAGATGCTGCTGGTCTGCCTACATCCCTTTTGCCTGTGTAGGACTGGTAAGGACTGCACTGGCTTTTGGCAGGAGCTGGCACTGCCCGTCTTCCCTTTCTCAGATCCTTAGGCTTGGGCTCTGGTTGCAGGTTGCGGGGCGAGCACATGGGGGCAAATCCTGAGATGCCCGTCTTGGACCCTTGCCTGCCTTCGGGACTGGAAGATGTTGTGGACAAGGGTAGCCAGACCCTGCACATCAGGGGCCAAGGAGACTGGCAGAGCTGTGGAGAGCAACTGCACCCCCTGCTGACTGGAGAAAATAGCAGCCAAGTCACTTTGAGCAATGCCTATCAGGCACCCATTGATTTTATGAACAGTGAATTCTATGGGTTTTCTGAATTCTTCTACTGCACTGATGATGTCCTGCGCCTGGGAGGACGATATCATAGGCCCACATTCGCACAGGCTGCTCAGGTGCGTGGGACTGAGGGGCTGGGACCAGTGTGATCAGCTTTGCTCAAATACACTTCCCACACGTGTGTGGTTTCTATGCTGATCTTTTCCCCACTGTCTTTGGCCTCCTTCCAGGATTACTGCAGCCTGAGCTGGTCTGTGCTGACCCAGAGGTTCCGAGACAAGCTGTACTCATCTCATGCAGACCTCCATCGTGTCAAGTAAGAAATCCTCCTCTTTTGAGAAGCTTTACCGTTAACCTATAATCTGCACTGTGGGAGGAGAGCTTCAGGAATCTGCTGAATCCCAGGCCAGCATCTTTGTGATGGAGCTCATTTACTCTGGTTGCAGGTATCAGTGCTTCAAGTCAGCCTGGATGCACCAAGTCCTACATGAAGGGTTCCACTTCCCCAGGGATTACTCCGGCCTCCGCACAGCTCAGCTGGTGTATGACCGTGAAGTGCAGTGGACACTGGGTGCCATTCTGTACAAAACCCGCTTCCTGCCACTCAGGTAATGCAAGGTGCCCCACTGTGGCCTTCTCCCACCTGCTCCAGCAGCCGCCTCTCCTAACACTGGCCTCTAGGAAGAGTTGTAACTTCCAGGACCTTGGAACAGGTTCAAGGGATTGTGCTCTACAGTCTATGGCTAGATTCGCATGCCACAACAATCAACCATGCATGGTTGCCAGTTTTTCTCCCCCTTGATGGACCATACAGACAAGTCATTTCTATGTTATCATGGTCTTGATCCTCCACCTTAATCTTCCTACTGTTGGCATATTTCCCATCAACACTGTCCCTGAAATTCAATCCCAACCTGCATTGCTCCCTGCCTATCTTGCCTGCCTCTTCCCCATTGAATCATAGATAGAGCAATGGACGACTGGAGTGGTTCCTGTAGCTGCTACTCTTTCCAGAGGATTCTGTAGTAATTGTATACTGGGGCAGTTGACACCATGGTCCTGGGTTCAGACAATAAGTCATGGTGGTGCACATAAGCCATAGAATAAACCACTGTTTCTCACCATGGCTTCTAAAGACCAAACTTACGATGGTGAAATACCACAACTGGGTTCAGACAACACAACAACCCAATGATGGTCAAAACAACAACAGTACCATAACTTGTCAAGTAGTCTGAACCCAGCCTTTTTTGTGCTTGATTGCAAAGTCTGAAGTTTTTTCTAAGTAGTTGGATAAAGCAGCATTGCTCAGGTGGTAGAACCTTTGAAAGGAAGAGGATGTAAAAGGAAGAAAGTATGCTCCACAGACCTCTGTTCTGTTTTAAGAGTTTTCAAAAAAGAAGGATCTCAGGGAAGCAGAGAGTCCTGTATGAATAGGAACTTGATCTTTGATCAACAAACAACACTGTTGGTTAATCATAAGACTCCAGTTTTAGATTTTTGATACCTCCTGTCCATTCTCAATGGCTTGTGGGACATAAACTGAAGGCAAGTCAAGCCCTTCAGGAGACTTGAGACTTACCTTTTTAGTGGAATAAATGCAGTATATGATTGCTTTCTTTTCTGTTGTTGGATGCAGCTCATGCAGTCCAGTTAAGAATAAGTTGCCATTTGACCTTTGGGCCTTATCAAGATGTAGATTCTGGGTTAGGACTTAAAGTTCATATTTCTGCTGATGGATCATTGCCCATTTCTTAACAAGCCAGCTTTACCCATCAAGCATCTTGCCTCAAACTCTGATTTATGGGAAGGCAGACTATGTACTACACAGAAGCATTCAAAAGAGGCATCAAGGGAAGACAAGTTCTATAATGTCAATAGATTTATAGAGATTTTATTCCACCTTTAGTTACGTGATACAGAACCTCAAAGAGCCTCTGTGGACTACCAGATAGTAAGAGATAGGAAAGGTGTCTCAGATCCTACAGTTTACAGCTACTTGATGATCCACTATTCTGGCTATAGAATGTCTGGCTATAGACACTTCTTTTAGTGAAACCTCAATTTCACAAAAATGCTAGCTACAAATTTGAAATTATGTATCTTAGTGGAAACTTGGTGTCTTTTACATTTCTATCAAGGATAGGTTGGACATGCACATGGTAGGCATGTCATGAGCAGAACTGGCTGGAGCCGTGGGTCAGACTAGATGGCCCAGGAGGCTCCTTCTGACATGCTCTGTTTCTATGTTTCTACATTCCAATCTGAGCTTGTCTGATATTCTAAATTCTAGATTTGACACAGAAACTAGAGACACTGAGAATCTGTACGGCCACTGGTGCATATATGTTGACTTGCGGGGCAGAGGAGTCCTTGCATCTTCGAAGAAATGAATGGTACAGGAGCATCAGCATTCTCAATATGCAGCATTTCCAAATAGAGGGCGACCTGGGATAGTAGAATGGCTGGATACGCCACAGCACACAGCTTCAAACCCCCACTCAAAATTTGCTTGACCCAACTTCACAAAGTCCTTATAGCCAAATGTGACAGGGAGGAGGAACGCTGTATATGCCCCTTCGAGTTCCTTAGAGAGTGGGGAGCATATGGTAGATGTTTGTGATGCACAGAAAGAGTTGCTGGTTGTGGCAGTCCACTTCCTCTTGGCGGAGTTCCTTGGTTGCTTGAGAGGTGCTCAAGAAGCAGAATTTTAGCAAGTGAAGGGCTATTGCTGCTTAATTACCAGCTTATGAAAAGCACTGCTGATTAATGTCTGCATCTCAAGCTGCTAGGTGCCTCCAAGCTTTGCCATGTTTAAATGAAGTGGTAGGCCCTGTGCTGATCTATCTTTCTGTTTGCAGGGATATCCACCAGGAGGGCATCCGTCAACCCCACAGCTCTTGGCTCCATCTCTCCTTTGTCTACAATCACTATCTCTTCTTTGCATGCATTCTAGTGGTGACACTTGCAATTGGACTCTACCTCCTCCGTCTGCACCGCATCCACCATCAGCAGCTACACGCTGAACCACTCGACCTGCTGTGGTTATCAGAAGTGGTGCCACTGTCAGCTCAGGAGCAGGGCTCCTGACGAAAGAACTACCTCTCTTTGAATGCCTACTGCTGCCCCCTTGGCAGAGGTTTTTAACAGGCCCAAAGCTGTGATTCTTTTATATTTTTAGACTAGAACTCTGTAGCACTCCGGCATAACCCCAGGGCCAGAAACATAAAAGTGTCTGCTCAGATTTGCCCCCTACCCTGAGTTCCCCCAATGGACACCCAATTTTCCTCTGTGCTCAAAGGACCAGTTAGTTAGTATAATTGTGTTACGAAAGGGAGGACCAGTGCTGTTCTCTTGTATTGCTAATGGGGCAAGAAGTAGCATTTCTGCAAATGACCAAAGAAAACTTGATTTACTCAGGAACGGGAGGCAGAAAGACCTGGTCTGGCTAAGGGCTGTTATTAGGACTGGACAGTTCTTCCAGTAAGGCACCTCCCAGAAAAGAAAAGGAAATAGTTCCTTTTGGTGCTTCAAATCTGACTTAGGCCTCTCTGTCTGCGGATGTTGATGCCTGTGAGAAGACCAAATGCATACATACAGGATTCCTTAAGGATAAGGAACATTCAGGAAGGAAGGAAGGAAGGAAGGAGAGGCAACTCTGCTATTTTCTGCCTTGGCAGTGGAACCCACTTGATTTTGCACATGCTTGCAGTCTCAGATCCCACGCTGTATGCATCACTGGATTAGCTGCTACTGCCTCAGAAGTGCATCTTTCAGCTGTTCTTGGTTCCACAGAAGACCACCTCAGATTATAGACCATGTTAGCTGCTTTTCAGGAGGACCTCTAGCCCTTTGAATTGGAATCATTTGTGGGCTAAGTCACACAATGTATTTGTTTCCAGACTTGAACTGCAACAACTGTAGCAATAAATGATGTGTTGAGCTGTTCAGCCACAGCAGATTGATGACACTTGTGCTTGTGGCTTACTGCATTTGGTCCATCACCAGGAGCTACAGTAACCATTAATGTTTGCTTGTGTTTTTGAGTGAACACCAGCCTTGCCCAACTGGGCTCCTTCTGGATCATCCCCAAACCAGGCTAATTAACTCGGGCTCAAACAGCTGGAAGGTTCCAGGTGAAGCACATCTGATCTACTCAGTATTCTGCCTACAGAAAACAACTTGCTTTAAACGCTGCCTCAACCAAATAGAATAGTTTACTTCCTCCCACCTCCTTGTTTGGAAAGGTAGCAGCATCCTAGAGCACTTTGTTGACTTCCTTGCCAAGACCTGCAGCCCAATTTTGATTTCTGTGTGGTATCATTTGAGTGGCATGGGAGAAAAGGCATTACCCTAGATGTCTTTCAAGCACTTCTCAGCCTGAGAGAATCCTACAGCCAGTAGGAAAAAGGAAGATTGGATCCTAAATTTTTTATTTTCACAATACAGTTTTCTACCACATAAATACATATACAACCAGTAACCCATACATAGGAAGAGGGAAATTGAGGCCAGTGCATGCTGGCACAGCAGTCTTAGACAGACATGCTTGTGAGGCCAGTATCACCATTGAAGTGGGAAAGAGGGTGCCTCCCATCTCAGCAAACGGAATGTTACAGAACTCCAGCAGCAGTGGTTCAGTCTTGGGGTTAACCACAGGACTACCAAGATGCAACTGGATACCCCAGTTGCCAAGGGAAGAGCATAAGTTATAACTACACAGAAATGTCCCCAAGATGCATCCATTACAAAAGTAAGGAAACGAGGGTCAAACGAATAAAATGGTCTTGTGATGTGCTTAGATCTTGGCCTTATTGCTGTGGGGGACTTCAGGCTGTAAATAAAAGACCCATTGAGTTTGTACTGTTAGGGGCAAGGGCAAGAGCTGCATTTAGCATCAAAAGAAAGCCTAGAAGAGAAAGAGACAGAAATATTCTCAGTACAGAACCTGAAGGTAGCCTGTGTTGAAGCAATTTACTTGTTGCCAGGTGCACACATGGCTACTGTCCCAGAAAGGCAGAAATCTATCCAATGGAGACACTGGCAGAAGCCAGTTGTCACATTCTGGTTATGTTAGCTAAGCCTGGGCAGAGGAACCTGTGGCCCCTTGGAATATATTGGATTCAAACTCCCATCAGCTATCTGGAAGGCCTGAGGTTCCACACCCCTGGGCTGAGTCATCCAACAGTTACATTCTTGAAGCAAGTAAGGAACTAGACGTGAGTTCATTCCTTTTGCTTCCAAGCCATCAGTGGGTTACAACTGAGATAAATACACCTGTGCACAACAAGTCACAATTCTGTGAAGTATTTGCATGGTGGGTGAGTACCTGTTGAGTCGTCTGTAGTGGGCCCAGGTCACTCCCACAGGAATTGCACATACCAGATGGTTTCATTCTTCAGCTGTGGTCCAAACAGGGGATTGGCTTGAGACAAGATGGCTATAAGCCAGCTGCAAGAAAGAGAAAAGGAAGGCAACACACAAACTGGGTCACAACTACTTTTGCACTAGTGCTGAAAGTGCAAGGCTCAGATTGCCAGTGGACCAATTGTTCTTACATAGGGGACTATCTTTGTGGCAGTGGTGTATGAATTGTGGTGGCTCAAAATAGTGCAAAGTAGCCCCAGTTCTTTAGGTGCCAGCAAAATAGGTTTGTTTTGGGACACCATGCTTAAAAGTACTTACCATAATGACAAAGCTCTGGGCTAGACCATGATGTATGTTCAGTTCCAGATGCCGTTACAACAGCAGCCCAAAGGTTATTATGGGATTATTTATTATTTAATAAATTATTATGGGATGTAAAGCCAAAAATATTTACATGTGTTGGCCTTGGGCCTCATATATGAGAAGTGGGTTAAAGTTTTGAGTCAGAGGCTCCTGGGACATACTGTAGGGCATAGGGCTCCAGTGACAGAGATCAATAATTTGAAATCCTCCTCCAGCTTATTTTGGGAGAAAGCTGCAAGCACGTTTCAGTGTGTCAATGAGACTTCCTATCCCCCCTCATATGGAATAAAAAACATGGAACTAACAAGTATTGTCAGCATCGTGAGACCCAGGGTTGCTTAGCATAGAATAATCGCTTCTATCCCACTTTATTTGCTTTATTCCCAAAAAAGTGCTTGTGCTATAGCAACTGAGAAGATGGCAGATTTCCTCCTAGGCACAATTCAGCCCTCTTCTCATGCGCACATCAATACTCACAAAAGATAGCAGCAAATGGCAGTGGTCACCAGCATAGTGATAATCACTCTGCAGAGAAAAGCACACAATACTGAGTTACTGAGGCAGGCAAAACCATGTTGGGAGCACATACTGAAAAAAACACCATCATCATCAAAAAAAAAAAAAAAAAACCTATCAGCCTTCCCAACGTGGGGCCCTCCAGAAATGATAGACACAACTCCAAGTTGGAAGAGGCTGCGGAGGTGGTACAGTGGGCTTTTAAAAAAATGTACTCCCACATAAAAACTCCCTACAGGAACCTAGCATATGTTCTAAACTAGCCCTTTGCTTGCTATGCTGGTTTCTTATTTGCAAGGTTTCTATATTTAAAGAAAGGGAGCATTAAAGAATATGTTTCTCTCCACCCGAAGCCCATTCTTCTGCTAGTGGAGATATGGCTTCATTCAAGGCTGGCTAGCTCTGCAAAGGTCAGTGGTGCCAATAGGCAATTCTAGATCCTGGACCCTGGTCTTATGGCGACCACCTCCCCACTTTAGATGGACATGTGCGTTGCTTCAGCTAACTGTTCTTTCCTCCTATGCTCCTATTCCATGTTTCACAATTGCTTCTGAATTCCTGATGTTAGAATAACAAAACTGTTTGCCAATCATAAAAGAAAAAGAATCATCTGAGCATATGCAGCTTTGTATTTTAGGCACTTTGATCACATCACCATCCTGACTACAGGAATACAGTGGAATTTGTGTACGGCACCCCCCGTCACCGCCACTTTTCGCCTGGTCATTTACGGCTCCCTTGCTCTAGAGCCCAGAACTTGAACCCCCAAGGCCCACCCCTAATTGCACTACTGGTTTCAATGGGGAAGAAAGGTGGGCGAGTATTGGAAGCAGCGCGGGAGGGAGCTTGCATGACTAAGGCTGTGAGAAAAACCTGAACCGGGGGTGGCTTTCCTAGCGAGTAACCATGAGCGACCCTGAGAAGGATCGAGCGGATTAAGGTCGTGCGAAGGAGGAGGAGGGAGCGAGGGTGGCAGGGTAGGGCAGAGAGAACCTTACCCGCGATTGGGCCCCTTCGGCACCAGCCATGGCCCCGCGAATCCCACGAGCCCCCAGAAGACGGAAAAGAGGACCATCGGCAGCGCAAAGCTGTGAGCCGTCATGGCAAGGCCGCTTTAGACCGATGAATGGAGCCGACGGGGATGCCTCTCGCTCGCCGCGCTTGACAGCTAGGGAAGGCAGGTCCCACCCACTGCCTCGCTGCTTCGCACTCCTATTGGTTATCTGGATAATCACTCCGTCTGGCCCCCAGCGTGAACCACAATTAAACAGAGCGCCGCGATCGTAGCTGTGATTGGCTGGCGCCGGCTCGTTCGTCAGCCTGTTTTGGAGGTTGGGCCCGGCGTGGAGGAGGCATTAGCGCACGCCCCCTGCTGAGGTTAGGGGAGCCGGGGACTGCTAAGGGCAGCGAGGAAAGGGAAGGATTAAAACGCACCTCCCCCACCCTCCTCATGCCGCTTGCAGGACCGTGCTTTCGCCTCACCTACATGGATGCCGTGGCCATAATTTACCTAGACTTCAAGCAAAGCATTCGACAAAGTGCCCCATGACATCCTGATCAACTAGCAAAAAGCGGCTCGGGAAAACAATTAAGGCGGCTCCACAACTGGCTAAAATTGATCACAGTGAGCGCTCATCGAGGGCATTTTCTCAAGCTGAAGTAACAAGTAACAAAACTCAGTCCTCTGACCAGTGTTTTTCAACATCTTTATTAATGATCTACAGGGGGAAGTCTAGGGACTGATAAATTTGCAGAAAAAAATGATCCATGGTGACCTAGAACTTCTAGAATGCTGGGTAGCAAGCAACAGAATGAAATTCAACAGGGACAAAAGCCAAATTCTTCACAAAGTGGGGAAAAATCCAAATACATTAATACAAGATGCAGAATACTTGGCTTAGCCCTGAAAAAAACCTTAAGAGTTATTGTGGACAAGCTAAATATGAGCCAGCAATGCAATGCAGCCACAATAATGGCAAACAATATTTTGGGATGCATAAATAGAGACATCAATTCCACAACAAGAGAGGTCTTCTTTATTCGGCACTTGTCAGACCTGGAATACTGTGTTTGGTTGTGGGCAATCAAGTTTTAAAAAGATGCAGAAAAACTAGAAAGGGTTCAGAGGAGAGCCATGAGGATTCAGGGTCTGAAAACTAAGCCCTATGATGAGAAGCTGATGGAGCTAAGTATATTTAGCCTCAAGAAGAGAATACAAGGGGATATAGCACTCTACTAGTACCTCAAAGGTTGTCACAAAGAGGAAGGAAAAGACCTCTTCTCACTCATTCCCAAGAACAATGAACTCAAAGTGCAGCACTCCAGATTCAGGCTAGACACCAGGAAAAAAATCCTAAGTGCCAGAGCAATACAACAGTGAAACCAGCTGGCATGAGAGGTTGTGGGCTCTCCTACACTAGAGACATTGAAGGTGAATCTGAACAGTTATCTGAATGGGATGGTGTGACCTGGTGTCCTGCACCAGCAGGGAGTTGGACCCGATAGACTTCTTGGCCCCTTCCGACCCTACTATTCTATTGATGTATGAATCTATGTACCAAACCACCTTCTCCCTGTTTCAATAAGAGTAGTTCCCACTGGGAGAAAGTAGTCTCATACTTTTGAGGTACAGAAAGGCAAACCGTTTTTTCAGTGCCTACTAAAAGTACTTCAGCAGTGCTTCATCGCCATCCTCCAATTTACCCAGCTCCTTACAATTAAATATGTCAGTACAGCCAAAACTTGCAGGTGGGTGTCAGCAGGAAGATAGATGGCATAAGGCTATTGACACATAAAAAGCAAAGGTTTTAAAAAGGTTCATCAAGAAGCACATTTTAATTAAATTGTAGTAGACCTGAAATATTCATAAACAACTCCAGCCAAAGCAAACATGCTACAGATTATAACTATGTCCTCCCTCCCTGCCCCATATAATACAGTCTTGAAATGTAACCAATGCTTCAGCATTTGTAGTTAATCCTGGTGTCTCTCATACTATACAGAATGTTAGAGGGAGTACTAACACCACTTAGATTAGCTCCTGACCACAGTTTCAGCAAGATGGTACAGCTGAAACAACCATACTTCTTTCCAGACTTGTTAAGCATACACCTTAAGTGAAGGACAGCTCAACAGATGGCAGTTCATGTTCACTGCAAAAAAAAGTATTCCAGATCATGAAGTCAAGGTGCACAGTCCTCCTCTTCTTATTCAAATTCAGACTTTCTGGCAGAGTTGCTTACAGCATATGTAGCAAAAACAGCAACCCCGGAACTGCAGCACCAGACAGAGAACAAGGCTATTTAGGAATCCGCCTAAGTTCATGAATCAGCCACAGAGCCATACTGAGCAACACCAAGGAACCCGACTGATGAGTGGCTGCTAAAGGAGTCGGAACATACAAAAGTAGTGTGCTGATGCCCAGGCTGACCTGTAAAAGAGTAAGAAAAGCAATGAAGTATTAGAAGAAAAGTATGTTTACCTACCTCCAATTCAAAAGAGTGCCTGTGTGTGTAGACTTGCATAGGTGGTTACTATATCAGTGCACACTTTTCCCCTACCCTATCTTCTATTTAATATAACCTGCTAGCAGAGTAGTTCACTGTACGTTGTGATACAATGCTAATCAGGTTGCTCTGGCAGTTCCTTCTTCATTTTCTCAGTTTAAACCCAGAAGGCAAAGAGAAGAAGAATGGGCAGCCACCTCAGCATTGCGCTATGTTTCCATGGTTCAACATGATTGCATTGCATGTTTATGTCTATCTTTTGGTCTCAGAACTTTAAAAAAAGCTGTACAATGCCATGGTCTTTGCCAGACCCAGTTTTAAATGCCTGTGACAAGACTCTAAAGACAGCACTACCAGGTACAAATAGACAGACAACTGGGAAGAGGAGGATGCTTGTCTTTTCAAACAGAAGACACTACTTGCCTATTAGGAAATTACATGGGTGTGTTGAGGATGGAGATAGTACCTGGAGGTAGGCTACAGTCAGTAAAGAAGCAACTGCAATTCTAGTTCTGCGTGGCAGAGGAATCTTCCTGGAAAGCAGATATAGCCCTGTGACAGCTGTGACAGACAAGACTCCCTAAGGGAAGAAGAAAAAAAAGCACTTATTGAAGGAATCAGAAAACATTTTCAAATAGCATCAGAAGGCACTCATTCTTTCATATTTTTAAGAGAAAGCTAGGACGAGCATTACACACACACACACACACAGTATCCCTAAGTCCATCCTTCTTAACATCCACAGGTCAGGACTTGTTGACTGATCCTTCTACTTCAACACTGGCTCCAGCAGTTCTCCAAATCATATAGGTCTCCTTTTATGATCTCACCATTTCTTCCATGGCTTATATGCTTGCATTTTCTATGAACATGTGGGTCTCCTAGGGATATGGTAAAAATATTGACAATACCAAGTACATGTTTTCAGGAACAAAACATGTAGAGCTGAGTCATCATTCTTATAATTGTAAGCGAAGGTGATCTTCCTTTGCTATGCTATTGGTTTATCTGCCACCTGGAGCAAATTCAAGAGGACTGTAGTAACTGAGACACCAATTAACCACTCAAAGGTGACACGTACTAGAATCCTGTGATCAAACTGCACAGTTGTAGGATTCTCAAGTATGTTCCTCAGCACTGGGGAAAAGGCAAGAAGGTCCTCCGGAATCCAGCGCTCTCCCATCTTAGGAAAGGAATTGTACACAAGACCAGCATCCAGTCCTGCCACAAAAGCCCCTGTAATTCCAGAGAAGAGAGACTGACACACCGGGAAGTATACACATGCAATAGGATTAGCCACTTGGGGTCTACAGCCTTCCCCATGTAGCAGTTTCCAGTGCTGGGTATTGGCACTGCAGGAAAAAGCACCTTCAAGCTGAGAAGTCCAGAACCTCCATGGAAATTGAGAAAAGCTCTCAAGTCCCCATGGTCCCCTAGGCCATGCTGAGAACTTCCTTTCCACAAGGAGAAATCAGTGCTGGCAAGAAAAACTTTTACCTGAGATGGCAGTGAGAAAAATGAGGCCTGAAGTACCATAAGCGAACCTTCTTAGGTGTAGAAGTTGCCAGGTTTCAGGTAACTATCAAAATATAAACAAGAGGAGGATCAGAGAGATATGCAATAACCTGTTTCAACATTCTATGGGGAACATGAGCAAAGAAACTAAATGTTCCAGTTTTAGGACACATGTGAACTCAGTTTACTCAAATGTTATAAAAAATCATGAGGTGTTTTTAATAGCTATCAGCCAAAATCTTTGTACTCAGTTTATTTCTGCTGCCAAATCACCATACTATCAAGACCAGAACTGCAGGGTAGAGGTGTTTTCTTCCCAGATGTGCATGGAAAGAGAACATAGCCTCCTGCTGCATTACCCCTAGTTTTAAGCATATTGATAGGATGGGGCATTACTAGACTTTTTCTATTCTGCTAGCTCACGTTCCTTGGGCTCTGAGAGGACGGGCCTCTCAGGACACACATGAGGGATGCATGCTACTGCACAGGTATAGGAGGGATGGGAGGAGAAAGGAGCAGAGCCATGAATCCTGCTGTGATACTACCTGCTAGAACTGACCTACCAGACACCATGGTGGCAGGGAGGAAGGGATTAGTCACATGGTTTACTGGGGAAGGAAGTGGGCCAAAAGGGCTTATCAGCTCATGCCTGACCCAGGCTGCTGGTCCATGTAATGCTACTTCTGACTGACACTTCTATGTCTAGTGTCAGATCCTCTCCTTAGCTTTCTGAGGATGGATGAGTAGGCTAGGAGTTATGTCTGGAGAGGATACAGTCTAGACATGAACCTGGGAACCACTGCATGTAAAATGGGAGCTGTTCCATTTGGGTAGGTCTCCTCCTGAAGAACCTGTGATGATTGTTTGTACAGCCACGTCCAGAACCAAGGGCATAGCAAATGCTCCATGACGTGTTAAGTTTCTTGTCTGCTGCTATGGGTGACCGAGTAGAAAGCTACTCTGTGGAGTCTGCAGTGTGGAGAGGAGTGCCAGAAGCTCAGTTTTTTGTGACACAACTGGTTTTGGCCAGAAAGGCATAAACGGGGTAGGGATACTTTACCTCTGCCCTCTGTTCTCTTCCTTCCCATGTTATTAGCCTGAAGTTTCCCTTGTACCCTATCCTCTCCCTCCTGATGTTCGCTTTGCATAAGAATCTGCCTCTTGTTTTGTATGTATGTGGTGATTTCTGAGTGTGTTACAGGAGTATTCTGAGGGAATGTTCCACCACCTTGAACTCACTGGTGTCCCTTCATGTGTGGGCATCATCACCAGCATGGTCTCTGACACGTGGACTTGGGTAGTGTTTCCAGGGATGCTGTCAGGAGGCCTTTGTGGCATCTATTTTCTGGTTGTAAGCTTTCTCCTCCCCAGCTGAACACACACAATACCAGCTGTTACATATCTCCCCATCTATGGAGTTTGTGCCTCAACTTGTTGACTATGGTTTCCCATCCACCGAACATAAATGGTGTACAGAATTGCTCTGCTTGACTGTCACTCAAACATACCATCTACTTGTCCTGCTTTTCATATACCTTGTGCCGTGGCAACAACAATGATAACCCGGTCCACAGGCTGTAGCAGTAAAGAACAAGTGCAGATCCCAGGTGTGCAGCTAGTCGGTACTGACTGACTCGAGGAATATCATGTGAATCTGGCTTTTCCTCTAGACCACTTTTCACCATGTACCAGCCCAACAAGCCCTGCCAAAAAGCAACAGAATTGTAGAGGTATTAAGCAAAGTCTACTTCTAACCCTGCTAATATCATGTACCCTCCCTGTCAAAGAAGCCAGATCTAATAACACCTAGGCAGAGATCCATTTCTTGCTATTCCATCTTGCATCACACTTTTTAGAGGACATCCTGAAACTCACAGCAAGATGAGAGAACAGAAGACTTTCATTGACTGTCCTCTTTCCTTCTTTTTGTACAACCACCCCAAATGCCATGATCTGGAATTTCTGCAGGGCCACTACACATTTCAATTTCAATTTACATACAAATCAGCACCACTGCCTTTTGTGCCCCATCCTCATATTTAATGATTTCAAAGTCCCTGTGACTTTTCACACCTGGAAGCAGACAAGTCCACAAAGAGCAAGGACATGCCCCTTCAAGGACCGGTTCAGGTAACCTTTCCTCCAAAAGTAGGCTGCTGGAAGGATGTAAGCCAGCCCCACAAGCCGTCCCCACATACGGTGTGAATACTCCATGTACCAGATGAATTTGAATTCCGTCAGTGTCATGTCATGGTTTAGGCTGTTGGATATGGAAGGAAGATGTTGAAAAAACAAACAGCAATAAAACAGCAGCAAGGTATAATAGTCCATTTTTTTCTTCACACATCTTCCCTCAATAGCATCCAAATTATCCCCTTTTATCCCACTGGCCTTTTGCTGGGATAATCCTTTGCTGATATTACAATAGAGCCTTCCCTCAAGTGGAAATTTAGTCTCTCAGGGCTTCAGTTCAACACACACTTACATTTTAAATTCTGGAAACTGCTGGTACTTTTGGAATTCCATCTCCCATTCCTGCTGAGTCCGAGGAGGCTTCATCTCTCTCACTAAATGCCAGTCAACCATTGAAAGCCCAGATTCTGTTAGCCTAAGAAAGTGAGCATGGCAAATATTTAACAATGGGGCAGTCTACTTTCAAAGTGGAATGTGGTATATGCATGTATCTGTCTAGAAAAGCAGCACAGAAACATAATGGGAGAACTCAGAAATGACTGTAGAGAGTTCTCTAAATTAGTGACAGAATGCTATCATTTCCCTAGGTCAAGCATTCTTACATGGAATTCCTGTCCCTGTGGGTCACGTGTAAAATTAGGTAGTAAAGGAATGGTGCAGCATCCAACGGACAAGGAAGTCGCAGAGGTTCTTTTAGATACACATGTTATAAGGGACAAGCCACAGTGACAATTTTTCATAGCATTTTGTATTGCAGCAATACTGTCAGGAAGAAGAAAATAAGTCTTTGTTGGATACTGAATCCGCAAGAACTGAGGATCATAGCATTAGAAGAAAGTATGGTGAAAAGGAGAGGCTGATTTCCCTCACCTCGTGATGCCACCCAACACCACAGCTCCAGCCACAGTACCACTGCATATTAGAAGCCAGCGCCCTACAGCTTGGTGTGGCACAGCATTTGGGATAGGTGGTACTGCTGCTCTGGGATGGGAAGTGACTTCTGACACCACACTGTGTTGTGTCCGTCCTTGTGGAAGCTGCCACCTTCGCAGACATTGCTGAGGATGGAGAAGGTGGGAGGTTACCGATAGCTAGCGCTGCACTGCACTTAGTGTAAACCCGTCACAAAATATTCACAATTGAAATGAAGCACGAGTGCCTCTCATACGAAATGAAAATCCAAATCACGGAAAAAGCCCCCTTTACTGTCCAGCTGCCTCTTCCTGTGAAACAGCACCAGTTTTTCACACACACACACACACACACACACACCAAAAAAAAAAAAAAAAACCCCACAAGAACAGGTACCACCTTTTGCAGCATCCCCTTGGCCTATATACCAAGGACCCAGGAATCTCCCGATTGCCATAGAACCGTGTTCGCACGCCCCCCTCGGTGACTCGTTTCTACATTGTACCAGACGACGGCGGCGACGTTTCTCTAAGCCAGTCCCCACTGCCTTGGGAACTAACCCTCAAGATACCTGGCCCGGAGAAGCCCGCAGGAACCGAGCGCCTCCTAGCACCGCCCGCAAAAGCATCTTCGCGATAAAACCCGGAAGCGGGCTTGTCCGACCCGGAAGTGAACGCGAGCCTTTCCGGGCGGGGCGGGGTCGCGCGCTCCGCGACCGCGAGCCCACGTGACAGGCAGAAGGGCGCTCCCGCTCGCGCGCGTGGGCTGCCTGGGCGGGCGAGAGTCGGGAGGCGCGGCCTCTTCTCTTGCCCGGGCGTTTAGCACAGCAGCGCCAGCATCGAGGCCGCCCACGGAGCTCTTGCTCCCGACGACACGGACGCGGAATGAGGAAATGGGACCGGAAGCAGGGCCCGGCGGAAGAGTGTGAGGGTGAGTGGGTGGAGGCGGGACCAAGAAGCGGCTGGAAGAGAATGTGGGGCGTCTGGAGGGCGGTGTCAAGAGCGGAAATCCGGGTCACTTTAAGCCCTGGGCCGTTCCCCCTCCCGCTTTTGGTGGAGGGTAGTGCTGGAAGATACAAGGGGTATCTCTGTGGCTGCTCCTCCAGTAGTTATAGACACCGCATTTATGCACACTGGAGAGCAGTGCTGACTAGGGGTGGAGAACGTGTGATCTTTCAGACGTTGGATTGCAGCTCTCATCAGTCCTAGCTAGCATAGGCAGTGGTGAGGGGATGATGGGAGTTGCAGTCCATTATCTGGAGGGCTTTGTTTTCCCTCGGATCAAGATGAAAAGATTTGCTTGGAAGATGCGGTTCCAGCCTTCATGAGCTTTTTTGTAAGGCAATCCTGTATATGTCGGTGCAGAAGTTAGGTACTACCAAATTAAGTACTACACCCTCTCCCTTTACTGCCACCACCTCACACTGGAAGGCAAGCAGGCTATCTAGAAAGCCTCATCAGCCAGAGAAAGCAGCTGGGACAGCTTTCCAGAGACTCAACTAAAATGTCTGGCTCCGAGAGTGTCAGGCATTTTTGCCTGGCCAGCAGTTTGAAGAACCATGCTGGCTATTTCTTCAGCCAATGTAATCTTAAAGACCCCTTCTGCTTGCATTTGGCTTGCATGGAGTGGATTTTCAAGCCTGAGGGTAGTAGCTGTTGTTGGAGCCCCACCAGCTGCTCTCTTGCTGTGGCAGATAACTGTGACAGGAAAGCGACTGATGAGGCTGTCACGGGCACCCGTTGGAGGAAGAGGAGGAGGAGGAGATGAGCCATCCTGGTGGGAGTGGTGGTAGAGCAATGAAATTGACCGCTCCTACAGCTTCATGTGAGGGTGAGCCTATTAGCACAGAATAAATTAGAAAGATCCAAGGAGAACCAAATGGTAGGAGGAGTCTGGGGATAAGGAGTTGCATTGGAAACTGAAGACTACTTCTGCAATAACATGTTTTACACCTGTTTTCCCTACATTCACAGGGTAATACCAGTTTTTCTTCTGAACTGAATGTACCTTTTATAGGTAGGATTTGGCTATGTAGAATCACTATTGATGGGAAATCTGTGAAGCTTCTGGTTCTGGTGGTGGATTATGCTAAGTGATCACAGTGAAAGTAGGCAAAAATCACAGCAAGGGGTGGAACTTGAGGAGAAAAAATTCCCCTCTCAGCAATTGTTTACTCATTCTCTCAGGCTGAACCAGTTGCCCTATAACTTCTAATTCCATTTCTCTTCTAGGAATGGCCAATGGCTTTCTCATGGAAGTATGTGTTGACTCAGTAGAGTCTGCTGTGAATGCAGAGAGAGGAGGTAATCTTATTAAAAAGAAGTTGAAGATTTTTAAGAAGTTGAAGATCCCTTTTGATTTTGAGGCTTAAGTTGTGATGCTGTTGCAGGTGCTGGCCGCCTTGAGTTGTGTGCCAATTTGATGGAAGGAGGAACTACACCTAGTATAGGTGAGTCGGAACATACAGGCGAACTCATGGATTTCATGCAGCATGCAGGAGAGCTATGAGAGGAAACTGATCCTGTGGAAGTTTTGTAAAATGGATCTCTGCTCTTTAAGCTCCCTGCTTCTGGAATAGAGAGGAAGTACCTGGTGTTCTACTTTTTCTTGTAGTTGTGACAAAAATACTTGTTATAAAATGGCAGCTTGCTTTGCATCACCTTCCCCTTCTGCTTCCAAGTTCTACAAGGAGGTCTTAGATCCTCTTATTTTCTAATGTTCCTTACTGCTGTTGCAGGACCCTGTGCTGAGGGTCTAATTCTGTCACTGTTCTCTTTACCAAGTTCTAGTCCTACCAATTTCCTACAAAGTCCCACTCATGGACCCAGCCAGCTCTTTGTTGTTGCCATGTCGTAACCTCCTCCTGTTGCCTACAGGGCTTCTCCAAGTGGTGAAGCAGTGTATACAGGTGCCTGTTTTTATGATGATTCGTCCCCGTGGAGGGGACTTTCTCTATTCGGACCGGGAAGTGGAAGTGATGAAGGCTGACATACGACTTGCTAAGCAACATGGGGCTGATGGGTTGGTGTTTGGAGCCTTGACTGAAGATGGACGCGTGGACACAGAACTCTGTGCCGCACTGCTGGGTGAGAAGGTCTTGCTTTTCACAGGGTATTTTTACTTATTTGGTGCTGGGTTGACTTGTTACTGCAGTTGTAGGATTGCTGCTGATTCCAAGGTTCAAAAGTCTATGAGCAGGAAAAGGGAGAATGAAATTATCTCACACAGGTAGGAGGTATGACCACTCTCCCATAAGAATTGCTTGGTAGAGAGTACCTCAATATTCTGAGCAGTGGTGTATGTGTGGAGCAGTGGTGAACCCAGGGAACAAATACAGGTGATGAATATTGGGGGGTAAGCCAGTTGGTTTACTTTTCAACCCCATTCCATCCAACAAGTGGGATAACATTTATCACCCTTGCGAAGTTTCTGATGCTGGTTTTTAATCCCAGATCGCATGATCACAGAGAGGAAGTGCCAGAAATATGCCTAGTTGCTCACAATCCTGAAAGATGCTCCAGCTGGTAGCCCTCAACATCTCTAACTAGGAAAGGATCAATGGAGTCCAAATAATCTCTGTGCTCTTTTATTTAATTTTAGTTTGAAAATTTCTAAGCAACCTTTTATCCAAATGTATTTCAGATTGGGATGGGGGAGGTGCTTCTTCTGATATCTGGGTTTGCACCAGCACTTTGAATTGGGCTTGAAAGCAAATAGCCTTTGGAATTCTTTCAGAATTGTTGAAGTGTGGCTTCACCTAATTAAGTCAATCAGCATTCTAGCAGCTAGTGTCTGTACTAATTGAAGTCTTTGCACTGTCTTCAAGGGCAGTCCCACTTTAATCCATCTAAGTATTGCTCAGTAGAAAATAGAAAAGGAATTTAGTTAGAAACAAAGTTCATTTAACTGTTTTGATGAGTAATCCACAGGCTGCCTAGAGAAAAGAGTAGATGCTGCTTTATTCTTCTGCAAGTTTACTTTTCCAGTAAGTAAGCCTAGTGTGTGAAGGGCTTAAAATACAAAATGTGGAAAGAGATGTGCTAGGTAGAAAGAAAGTCTTCTCAGTGTGGAGACCGTTGGCTTAACAGTCTCAGTCTAACAATCTGCTGAATCCACATTGCAGTCTGAAGCAGTTTGATGATACAGCCATCTGGCTGACCCATTAAGAGAGGCTGCCTTTCTCTCCAGAGCCAGTACTAAAAGTTTTGCCTTTGCTAGGAAAGGAATGTTCTGCTTCCAGTAAAGGTACATTTAACTATCTCAGTTTTGTTTTGCTTTTGTTTTTTGCAGCAGCTTCTCGTCCTCTGCCAGTTACCTTCCACAGAGGTGAGTTTCTGGGGCTTTGAGCAGGAAATGGAAGCTGGACTGTTTTTTGCAGAGTGCAGGCCCAGGGGCTAGGATCTTGTCTGTTAGATATTGTGAAAATGTAGCTTATGAAATGCACACATGAGTGATGCCTACCAGGGTTTGTGGATCTTTTATTTTGAAACCACTGCTCCAAACATGCACTTTACATTAGTGATCAGATTTGCCTTCTAGATAATTTTTCAGTACAGACTGATACCCTCTGTTTCAACTGCAGCTTTTGACATGATATATGACCCTCTGGCAGCCTTGGAAACACTGATATCAATGGGTTTTGAACGAGTGCTGACTAGTGGCTGCGACAGCTCTGCCTTGGAGGGGTTGCCTTTGATAAAGCGGCTGATAGATCAGGTGAGATATCATCTCTTGCAGCTCAATAACTCTGCTGATAACTTTTTCTTACCTTCTTGGAGTTTGCTACTTAAAAGAATAGGTTATGCATAGTGAAAAAGGGGAAAATGCCAGCTAGCCGTCATTCGTGAACTTCAAGTGTGTGGGGGCTCTGCACTGATAAGGGTGCAATCCAACTTTGCAGTTGAATAGACAGGATCTCTGCTTGGCATCATCTCTTACTATAGCTCATCTTGGTACTGCAGAAATCCCCTACAGTAAGTTAGCTCTTCTCTTCTCTGCTAAGCAGCACAGTCTGCAGACCATGCACATATATAGCATCCATGTCCATTGGAATGCACGAGGGTCAGAAAAAGTCAACAAAGAAATCATCCAGTTATATAATGGTTGCTTCCATTTTCTCTCACACTGGGATAAAGTTGAAGCAGTCCCACTCTTGGGCTGGGAGGCAGCCAGCATCACATCTCCATTAAAGTGACATGTACCAAGTTCAACCTCCATATATGGGAAGAGGTGGAGAAGCATGACAGGATTGCAAACTTGCTTGGGAGTATTAATCCTCTGATTCGTTCTTAAAACCCTGTGATAGAAATGAAAATGCAATGTCTTAGCCAACCCCTAAGCCACCACTTGCAAAGGGTACCCTTTCTTCCACGGTAGGCAAGCCCAGAAAGATCCCTGCTGCTGTGGGTTCCAGCAAGTTGAAATGAGATGGTTTGGTGGGGAATGAGAAGTAAGCACATTGTGTCCTGCAGTCAATTATCCTGAGATGGAGGATGAAGATGGAGCTTGCTAAGTGCCCTTTTAGCCAGATTTGCAGAGGTTGCACAGTGATTGACTTAGTGGGGGACCAACTGTACTGGAAATGCACACAAGAAATGGATGTGCAGCAAACCTCTGGACAAAAATTATAAAACTCCAAAATTAAATTCTTTGTCTTCCCAAACAAGATGGTTGTCCCACCCCTGTTTTATGTTTTCTCTTACCAGCAAGACCACTAAATCCCTTTTCTCTTCCTTTTCAGGCTAAGGGCAGGATTGTTGTAGTGCCAGGTAGGATTCTGCTGTGAGTACCACTAGCTGGTATAGGCCAGAGCTCAAGCACCAGTCCAGTAGATAGTTAGGTAGCCCCCCTCCCATGTCCCCAGGTATATAGGACTCCAGAGATTGTGTCAGAAAGATTCATTTCTTTAGTTCTCTTTATATAGGAGTTCCCTGGAGACCTATGGTCTCTTTGTAATATATATCAATTTCAAATATAAAATAGAATATATGTTCAATGGTAATAGTAAATGTAGTGAAAATAAAAGGTATTCTACAGCAGGCAGCACGACAGCGAAACTACCTCAGATTCTCTGAGGAATGTGGACCTCTCAGCCTGCTTCTCATCCAGCTAAATTTGCAGCTTTAGGTTCCTTGCCTCGGTCATTCCAAACTCAAAACCACACACTGCTTCTAGCTATCTATCCCTTCCCCTTAATCTGATAGGTACAACATTATGAAGACTAAAAAGAGAAATTCCTAGCCATCAAAGAACATTGGCATCCTTTTATCATGTCCCTGTGACTCATCATTGCTTGTTGGGCAACTGGGCCCATTTGTGCTAGTAAAGGCCGCCAAGCAGGTAACCGTCTATATGCCAAGTGGGCATGTGCTTCTTTCTAGGAGGCATAATATCTCTTGGAGGCCAACCTGGTGCACAGCTGTGAGTGCAACAATTCATCTTGGCACCTGGAGTGTTTCCCACAGTTCAACTCCAGGTTCAGAGCGAAGGGCTTCTTCCCTTATATTTAGAAGCTGTTTCTGTTTTTCTGCTTGAAGTAATAGTTCTTGCTTGACTTCAGACTTGAATTATCTCCACCAGGGGGAGGAATAACTGAGAGGAACCTGCAGAGAATCCTTGAAGGCTCTGGTGCTTCTGAGTTCCACTGCTCAGCACGCTCAGCCAATGACTCAGGCATGAAGTTCAGGTAACTAAGCAAGATTCTTCCCTGACCTGCTGATGGTTCGCACCTCCTGATGCAGCTCCAGTATTTGGAATACTGATCTGGTTAACAACATCAGGAGCACAGCGTACAAATGGCAACATTTGGCATTTCTGATATATCAGCCATCTATGTCCCAATGGATCCTATACATCAGTGCTACAAGACCTCAGGTCTCGATGGCAAATGTGATCACTTGAACTCTCTTGCCAGCCCTCCAAGGTTCCCTAGATTGCCATTCACTTTCCCTTTTATCCCACCCACAACTGGTCCCTGAGCAATTCTCCAAAATGAAATTCAGCAGTTGGCCTGAAAGAGGTTCAAAATTCCTATTCTGTATTGTCCAGACTGGGATGGGAATAGGACTGCTCCAAGTTTGGATTCCAAACAGTAACCAAATGACATGTTGGTTTTCTTTTAGAAATCCCAGTGTTACCATGGGCGCCTATCTCTCTACCCCTGAATATTCCATCAAGGTGGCGGATGTGGCTAAAGTGAGGACCCTGAATGCAATTGCAAAGAATATCCTGTAGAGCTGTGGGACAGGAAGACGCACTGCTCCCAAGCCATAGGCATAGACATTTCTGCAACATCCATGCCAGCATTTAAAGGACATGAGTTGATCAGATGAAAATGCCTCTGCTTGTTTTCCTGCTATTCTAAATCCTTGTCTTGCTCCACAGGGTCATTTCCTTAAATGTTGTGAGTGCTATACATCTATGGGGAGCAAGCTATTGGGAGGGATGGGACTTGGCTAAAGGGGCATTTACCACTAAGCAATGCCCTCTGTGACCATCACTTCTCAAATAAATCCCGAAGTCACTCCATATCACTGTGGTTCATCTTCACGCAGAGCCCATGGTAAGGTGTTAAACCTCTTCCAAAGGAATCGTACCAGGGTTCTGTCGCAGCCTGGGGAGGGCCTCCAGTAGGTGTTCCTTGCGCGAAAAGGGGATCAGTGCATTGGGCTTAGCAAGTCTCCTTTTTTCCCCAGTTCTGTTTGACTGGGATGGAGGCCTCTGGCTCTTTGGATCAAGCTGAGCTCTGCTCAGGGATTCTGCAGTAAGTGGGAGATCCCTTATGCAGGATGGACAGATGAGGGCGCAACAGCGGGTGGGAGCACAGCATAATGTCTTGTACCTGCCTACAGAATGTGTTTTATGGACTTGAAAATGGTCAGATACTAGGTTCTGCCACACACGGCAGGAAGGAGACTGAAATGGGATTGTCCTAAGAGCAACAATTTCTTGCCATATGAAGGCAAACACTATAAGCAGTTACAGTGTTTGCCTTCATATGGCAAAAAGTCATATTTTTCTTGCATGGATTTTTAAACCGTTAGTTCTCAGGATGGTACACAAATAAATTGAAAGAATCAGATATAAAATAATAACAAACCCATCACAGGTAAAGAAGTGTGGGATGAAATCAAAGTAAAACCAACAATAGAAGGTAAAATTATGTAAAAAACTAAAAAAATTAGAACATTTTTCTAAAATATCAGGTAAAATTAAAAGGTCTTCACTAGGTACTGAAGATCACAATGTGGGTGCCTGATCAGCTTATCTGAGAAAGGGATTTCACATGTAGGGAAGCACCACTGAAAATACTGTCTTTTTTTGTAACTGTCCACCTTGCCTCATTTGGCTGGGAGACCTGGAAGAGAGCCTTGGACTAATCGCCAATAGGTAAATACAGGAGGAGAGCATCTATCAGGTAATGAGGCTCAAGCGCTTTAGGCCTTTAAAACCAGAAGTTTTTCTTGGCCTGGAAACAGACTGGAAGCCTGTACAGATGGCAAAAAGTGGCATCATGCATAGCGGGGGGGCGGGCCAGACTTGCTGAGCAGAAGAGGCATGCACAGTAAATGTCAGATCTCAGAGTTTCAAGTGGGTGCCTGTGACTGAGTGACAAGCCACAAAATAAACTTGAGCTGCATCCAGCTCCTGAGACTCTGTTTGGCCACCCTGATATATAGCATAGCGTAAATATACAAGATGTAGCAAGGAGAGGATGGTTCCTCAGGTGAGTTAATAATTTGCAAGAATAATACTTTGAACCAAGAAGGTCAAACAAGTTTATGAAAACTTTGTGTTTTTATCTGACTCATTCAGTGGAGTTCAGGAGACTTGGAGCCAAATATTAGATTGCACAAGTCTTATGGCATAGAAAATAGTCCTTGGTTTCTGCTGCTCATTGTGGACCTGTTAGTCTAAACCTTCCTGCTCCCTTAAGAGAAATACAGAGGGCAACCTAGTAAAAGGGTAACTTCGTTGCAATAGTCTGATATGCACACACAACAAATTACTTATTCCATCTGATGGGACAATAACAAATTAGTCATGTCCTATACAAGATTTGAAGTGGGTGCTGGATTACTGACCACTATCAAAGTTTTCTTCATTCTCTTCTCTTCCTGTTTTCCAAGTATTATGTAATTAGCTCCTGATTTTTATCTGAATGCTGCCCTATGTATAGGGTCATAGTTTATAAGATGCTAAAATTTGATTATCTAATATTTAACCATGAGGGACACAAATTGCCTGTTCTGTGGACATTGGACCCATTTGTTAGACTGAATCACAGCTGGTTCTGGTTTACTGGCTGTATAGAGAATGAGACAGCAGAATCCCTCTTGGCTCTGTTTCTGTGGTTCTATAGGTCAGATGTGGAAGGAGGACATACAGGACAATATTACCACTGCTACTTAGGAATTAATGGTGGGGATGGGATGAGGAGGTCAACAGCAGGCTTAGGACTTCTGTCCTGGACATAATCTTCTTGGATTGCTCCCTACCTGGCTTACTGAGTCTTGAAGGAAGCATTTAGTGATCCAGTTCTCCCCAGTTGAGATCAGTGGGTCCCCAGGTTCACTCCTTGGAATTCCTCTGGCTGTGGCTATGGGCACACCCTGAGGAGCTGCCCAGTTTCTGGGGTGATTGGGACTTTGACTGTAACAGGGGTGCATAGTTTCTGAAGACTTTGACACTGATAATACAGAACAGCAGCAATTCAGAGCCAAGCTGGGTCTATTCTAGAATCAACAGAAGAGAATAGCTTATAAAAGGGACTTTGGCAAAAAGGTTGACTTCTTGGACAACACTCAACTACACCATTCCTAGGACATGTAGAATTTCATCCTGGACACAATGCTCCACTGGACTCCATGTCATTTCCTCTCCCTCTAGTCTCTAGGAAATCCTGATTAGCTCCTCTGTCCAGTTCACACAAGGTTCGTGAATCCAATTCGTGGCACTGAACATGCAGCAAGAGTTAAAGATTAATGACCTGTCACTGAGAGGTCCAATGACAGTTTCCAACGCCCCTTTATTTAGAATGTGGGACTTTTGCCCTGCTCAGCTTCACTGGGCCGATAGAGCGGTTGGGCAAAGGCAAGAAGAGAGACGGCTTTGCCATGGCAGCAGCAGACTTGCAGCAGTTCTGTGGCTCTGTTTTTTGGGTGAGTGGCAGCTTCTCCCAGAGCTGATGCTCAGCTTCTGGCAGCAAGGTCACAGTCACATTTCAAAGGCCAGGGTTTATAGGGACCTGTCCTGAATTGTGGGGGAGCGGGTGGCTAAAAACCTAAGTGAAGGCTGTTTACTTTGTGATTTGGAGCAGCAGTAGGTACCTGCTACAGGGCAGGCACCCTCCACCAAAGCTGATCTGGGAGCAGGGAGATTGGGATCGTAGCATAAACTAGCTCCCCCACCCCACCCTCCACACTGTGTGTTGCTGTTTCAAAGGATTCACTAAACTTTGGAAAAACCTTTGACCCCCTGTTCTGATAAATTTATTTATTTAAAACATTTTTATGCTGTCCCCATCGCAACAAAGCCTTGGGGTGGCTCACAATAAGAACAAAATATAACAAATTGTACAATAAAAATATTAAAACCCGGTGCATCTCGGCTTAAAAGATTTAAAATCCTATAAATAACCAATAAATTAACAATTAAAATAAGTTTTAAATAAAAAGGTCTTAGCCTGGCACCGAAAAACGATGACGGCGCAAATACAAATAAAACAAATACAAAAATAAATTGTCCCCTCCTTGTCCCTCCAGTGCTTTAGAGGACAGATGGGAGGAGAGTTCATTCAAAACTTTGGCAGAAGAAAAGATACCAGCTTGTGCACCATATGAAGCAACAGCTGTTTTACAGATAACCCTGACTCTAATTGTTCACTAAAAAAAAAGGGAGTTAGGAAGCTTTTTAAAGAAAAGATGAGTGCACAGTGGGAGGGCATACATGATCAAGACTGCCACATGGTATATCAGAATACAGTTAGGGAATCAAGCATTTGATCCCCCGTGTAATTCTGTGGAATTTTGCAAAAAGCATACTTGTTGATAAGAAATAGTCTAGCTTTATTCTCTGATGTGGTCACTTCCCACTGAGTTTTTGATAGGGAGTGGTATTCAGATAGGCTCCTTTCCCCCAGATGGTACACTCTCAGGGGAACTATAGGGGAAACTTAACATGGTTAAGTCTTACTGTGGAGCTTAATTGTCAGCACTGGGAGTCCCTTTTATTTGATCTCAGAAATGTTTTGATACTGAGTCTTATTTCATGCAGCCGGTATCTATTCCTCAGAGCTGTAAAGGGTAATCAGTGCTAATGGAAGATCTTTTTCTCCCAGCTTCCTTGCAATTTAGTGGGCAATTTTCAAGGGGGACTGCAGTGGTGAAAAGGCGGAACAATTCCAGGAGTTTCTTTCAATGGGGTCTGCCAGGTGTGGACCTTCAGGAAGTGCCCAGTCATGGCTACCTTTGACATCACCCTTGGCAATTTGGTCTCATTTCACATGTTGTGTATGTTGCAAAGCAGGGGTGTGCACTGGGGCTCTGTCCCAATCATAGTAGTTGATTCCCTGTGTGTGGGTGGTGGCGTGTGAAAAAAGACTGAGAAGAGGGGAGAATTATGTAAGCTGCCTTGAGTGCCTTGAAAGGAAAAAATATTGACTTCTCCTCTATACTGTAGCTCTTGTTAAAAGCAGGTGCATGCCTGAATAGGGCTATTGTAGTATCTCTAACTCAGGGTTGGAGAACATCCAGTTGTTTAGCCTGCAACAATATAGAAGACTGGATAACTACGTGGGCTGCCTATGCTTGCCCGTAATGCTGGTCTGGGACCTGGAGCAAGTGCTGTCTGGAGCTGGCATTTTTCAGCATGCAGCTGCTCTGCTGATGTATCTGTGCTGACTGCTTGTTTGCGACCAGGACAGTTTTAAGGTTTTCTTGTTGCTACATAAAGCCATCAACTTGGGGCAAGATTCTGGAGAGAGTACCTTCTCCCTTACAACCTGTCCAGTCACTAAGGTAATCAATGGAATGTTCCTGCTGGCCTGATTGAGATCCACCCAGAATAACATCTTCAGGGTAGTAGTTCCTTTCTAGGAAACCCTGCTCTGGAGGTTAGGCAGGCACCAACACCATGCTGGTGAAGACATTTTTATTTCAGATGCCTTCCTTGATTGACCTGCCGCAGTGTTATTAGTATTCAGCTTTTTGAAAATTTTATATGGTGTTCAATTCTTTCATTGTCTGGAATCTGTGTAGAAGTAGGGCAGCATATACATGTTTTAAATAAATATGGGTAGGGTTATATTGGGTAGAGCTGATGGAAGTTATATGCTAAAACATCTGGAGAGCCACCAAGCTTGCTCTAGCTAAGATTTGATCAGTGCCTTATCTCATTAGACACCACATGCAGCCTAAGTCCATCTGAATAGCACTGTGCTCAGCATCGGCACTGTGCTCTGATAAATACACCCGTTCAGCTCTAAGAAGCTGAGACTTAATCCAGAAAGGGCAGAGGTGTGCAATGGGAAACCAGCAATTCTGGATAGCAGCTGATAGCATGTTTTTGATGGGGCTGCACTCCTCGGAAAGGTCGTGTGTGTGGTCAGGGAGCCCTCCTGTACTCTGTGCTTACTGGGGAAGCCCGGGTAGTTGCAATGTTCAGGAAGCATTTTATCACCTTAGGCTGGCACACCAGCTGCAGCCCTATTGGGTAGCCCGACACTAGCCTTAGTTTTCCTCACACTCATGCCCCATATGTTATAAAACACTGCAGATGGAGCTGCCTTTGAAGACTGACTGGAAACTTCAGCTGGTGCAGAATGCAGCTGCCCGAGTGTCAGTGGGATCCAGGCAGTCAAATCATTTCTTATCTACACTTCACCAGTTTTTTGGTTCCCGATGAATTCCTGAGACCAATTTAAAGTGCTGGTTTTTACCTTTAACTCCTTCAGTGGTTTGAGACTATATTGCTTGAAGGACCATCTTCACCCATATCAGGCTCCCTACCCTTTAAGCAAAACAACAGAGGACCTTCTCAACAGCCCACCTTTGAAGGCAGCTCAGTGCACAAGAGAGGGTCTTTTCCTCACTGGCCCTGCACCGCTAGAACACATCGCCTTCAGGGGATCTCTCAGATCCCACCGTTGCAGGTTATTATTATTATATTGCATTTCTATAGCACCTGTAGCCAAAGCTCTTTGGGTGGTTCACAATGTTTAAGTCACCATGCAGATTTCGACCAGGTCCGACTTTGCTTAACTTTCATGATTAGGCAGGAACAGGCACTTTGGGCTGTGCAGAAGCTAAGGTCTTGACATTTACTTTGCCATTTTTCCTGTCTGCTTATGTTTTACTGGATTGTTTTCAGTTGTGGATGCAATTGTACTGTAAGTTTTCTAGTCCTACCTCGGTCATGGTGATGTATTTACTCATATTAGCTATTTTATTACTGTATTGTATTTATGATCATGAGTTTAAAGCTGTAAGCTACCTTGTGGAGGCTCATGCCCTTGAAAAGCAGCCTGGAAATATTTTAAATGAAATAAAAACCATCTAAAACTTTCTTCAGATACTGTTTCCTATCACAAATACCTGAATTGGTTACAGAGGAGTCTTACTGAATGGATGTGTGTTATAAATAAACATGGATGGGAACAAATTGAATATGAAAAAAGACACAAAAGGTGCTGGTAGAGAATAGTGGTAGATGTCAATTTTTCTAGGTTTGGGCTAGGATGCACTGGTTAAATGTGGTGAATCCCTGACAGATACTGTTATGGCTAATGGTAGGGGAAGCCATGGAACTGGAATTGTGGCAACTGTTGGGGAAGAGTATGTTATTCAAGCAGAGCCACAGTGGATCCTGGGGCTAAGGTGTAAGGAAGCCATCCCCAAGCTCATGGCCTTCAGAGTCATTTGGACCACAGCTTCCAGAATTCCCATCCAGCAGGGCCATTGACTGGGAATTCTGGGTGTTGCAGTCCAGCATGTCTGGAAGGGAAGGTTGGTAAGTGAAAGTGATAGGGATCATGGAGAGATATGAGACTACACAGGGTACTGTGAGTTGGGTATGAGCTTATCTCACGCCTTTGTTTATCTTCATTGACTCCAGAACTCCTCTCTCCTGGATCGTGATGATGCAGACCTGACCCTCTGCTTTGAACAGACCGTTCTTGTATGGATCCCTTTGGGCTTCCTCTGGCTTTTTGGCCCATGGCAGCTTCTCACCATGTGCACATCCAAGAGGAAGAAATCATCTGTTACAAGGATTTACCTCACTAAACAGGTGGGAGACAAAGGCATATCCTGGGGTTAATAATTGGGTAGATGGAAAGTGTACTCAGCTGAAGGGCACAGCAGTTTCCATGGAAATAGGCAGGGGAGTAAGGAACAGATACTGATAAGGATCCAAGTATTGGGACTTTGTAATTAGCAGGGACAATGATGTCATCAGTCACCCATGTCCCAGGTTTCTCCCTTCCCTCTGAGCTTAGTTGCAGTCCTCACAGTACCTGGAAGGAGACTGTTTTTTTCCCTCAACACTGTCGTGAGCTATCCTTGTAATGGAAAATAATTTGAGGTGGAAATGTTTTGAATGTGTAATTAAAACCGATTGGCTTTAGAAAATACCTATAGAAGACATACTTTGTGTGTGCATGTGTGTGTGTGTATGCGCATGCACACACATGCACACACACACACAGAGGGAGATTAAGGTAGCTACCTACCTTTTTGGACTATCCCTGGAACCATGCCTATGATTGACATGATCAGAGCCTGCACTTCATAATTTACTTCTAGTCCACCAGTAAAGATGTGCGATACCTCAGAGAGTCTACCAGTAATTTTAGGTAATGATATTTCTGTATTTAACAGAAAAACAGAAAAGCAAAAGGATGTGACAAGTTTGGAGACATTCTTGAACTAGAAGCCCTTGAACTTCAACTTACTATTTGATGGTGTCACTATGGTGTTCTTGCCCATTCTGGTGTAATCAATGATTAGGAAGAGAGTCCTGCATAAATTAGTGAAAAGCTCTGTGGTTTTTATTGGCAGCCTTGTTCTTTTGGAACCTAGAATGTAACAATATGATACTCCCTTTCTTCCTTTGTCCAGCTGATAACTGGGTTACTTGCATTGGTGGCGCTAAGTGAATTGCTTTTCACGGTCATTGAAGACTCTAACCAAAAACCTATGATCCAGTACACAAATCCCGCACTCTACATCATCACTTGGGTGAGAGCCAAACCTTGCTATCTGCCTGGGAATAAAGGGTGCCTTTTCTTTATTAAAGATTCTTTGCTCCACCACAATGCCAATCCTTGTCTCACAGGTTCAACCTGATCTGTTTTCACTCCTAATCCTAAAATTAGTCCTGGACTAGGCTAGCACTGATTACTAATGTTAGGAGGAGACTCACATTAAGAGAAGGGCATGGCAGGAAAGTGTCAAACATCTAGTTGACTATATCTAGTTAAGTCTTGGCTAGAATATCTGAGCCTGGAGATAAAGTGGGTTTTGGATCTCTGACTTAAGTTTAGCTATAGTACAATGCTAAGGCCAGAGCCCATTCTCTGTTTTATGCCAGAAAGTTCTTATGATCAGTCTGCCCTTTGTCTGAAGTTCTTTGCAGACTCCACTAGATGTCACAAGCCATTGGGCTGAGCTTTTGAAGAAGCATGTTCAATTAACTAAGAATATTAATCACAGATTTATCTGGGGAGGCTGGTGACTCCAGCAATGTTTTTATTCTGAGCCTTGTGGGAGCTATCCAAGGCGCTCCGTGATGGTGAACTTTTGGAGATGGAGTGCAGCATCATGGTGGTTGTTATGTGCTATCAAATTGTCTCTGACTTCTGGCAACCCTATGAATGAATGCCCTCCAAAATGCCCTGTCCCTTGACAGCCCTGCTCAGCTCTTGTAAACTCAAACTGTGGCTTCCTTTATGGAAACATGCCATCTCACCATTGGTCTTCCTCCTCTTCTGCTGCTTTTGACTTTCTCTAGAATGATGCTCTTCTCCAGTGAGTCTTGCCTTCTCATGATATGTCCAAAACAGAACAGCCTCAGTTTAGTTACTTTTGCTTTGAGTGCAAGTTCTAGTTTGATTTTATCTAGAATCTACTTGTTTGTCTTTTTGTTGGGCCAGGGTATTCAGAAAGCTCTCCTCCAGCCCCGTATTTTGAATGCATCCTTTTTTTCCCTATCAGCTTTCACACTCATACTTAGTGATTGGAAACACAAGAGTGTGGATGCTCTTGGCCTCGCTGCCTTACATCTCATTACTGCCCTTCCAGGTCTCAGTCTTCTTTGAATTTCTTGGCCGCAGTCTCCATTTGAATTGGTGATTGGCCAAGGTATACAAAATTCAAAGTTTCACAGATTTGATCTCTGCATTGTTGACAGTTCAGTTCTGTAATTGTTCCAGAACTGTGATTTTGATGTTCTTAGTGGTCAGCTGCAGTCGTGCTTTTGCATTTTCTTTTGCTTTCATCAGGAGTTGCTTCTACTCACTGCTGCTTTCTGGAGTAAAATGATACCATCTGCATTTCTTACTTGATCAGTGATTTTGGAATGGAGAGCTGTGTGCTGCCCCAAGCCAGGCTGCCGCTCTCCGTTGCAGTAGAAGAGCGCCATCCCATCACCAGTGCTGGACCAAGTTTCAGCTCTCAGTTTGGCTGGCTTTGTCGATGGGATGGGTGGGGATGCAACTTGGTCCTTCTGTCTCAGGCAGCAAAACATCTTGGGCTGGACTGGAATGTTTTCTTTGTTCTTCAGATGCTGGTTATACTGATTCAAGACAGCCACCGCTTCACTTTGCGCAGAGACTCGTGGGTTCTCTTCCTCTTCCTCATCATTTCTATCGTCTGTGGTGTCTTTCAGTTCCAGACACTAATCCGGAAAGCAGTGCAGGTTAGACATACAGGAGGTATACAAGAGACTATGAATGCTGCTAGACAATGTTTTATTGCCATTGCTCTGTTTCATTTACATAATGATGTATATCTAAAGGAATGTCTGTCTCCATGTATCCCTACCAGACCACTTAGGTCATCAATGGAGGCCTTCCTTTGTGGGGACCCCCCCCCCCCAAATGAGGTGGTGGGGGCAGAATTAACAAGGAACAGGGCCTTCTAGGTCATTGCATCTCACCTTTGGAATTCTCTTCCAAGGGAGGTGCAACTGGCACCCACCTTATCTTGCTTTCAGCACCAGGTTAAGACTTTTTTAAATTTAGCATCTGTTTTTAGACTGAATTATTGGTTTGCTGCTGGTTTAATGTTTTGTTGGTTGTTGTTATTGGTTATATTATTTTATTTTCCTCTTGTTCCTATTTATATGGTTGTATTTATATTGTATTTTAATTCTATCATGTTTGATGGTTTGCTTGTTATTGTTTATTTTTATTTGTGTGTGCATGCATGTAGATAGAAAGAGAGCACTGTGAGCCGTCCAGAGAGCCTCTGGCAATAGGCAGCACACAAATGTAGTAAATAAATAAATTGGCAGGAGAATCCAGGCAAACCTGTCTTCACTCATTGCCCTCCCAGGATTCCCTGGGAAGACAAGATGGAACAGCTGCACACTTTTTGGTACTCGCATTGGTAACTCCCATTTCCTTCCCTGCAGAGGTCCATCACTGATATACCACGTTTCAGCTTCTTCCTGATTTCCTACGGGTTTCAGCTCATCCTGTTCTTCCTCTCTGTTGTTTCTGACATCGCCCCTGAAATGAAAGAAGCTGCCAAGAAAGTGAGAGTTATTTGTTGCTTGGGCCAGGCTTGTCAGATAGCATTTCAGATGGGAATTATGCACACTGCTCCCACATCTCCTTTGGTTCAGCTCTTTGAACAGGATTAATGGGATGGGAAATGCTCTTACATATCAGCTCTCCTGGAGCTGTAGTTGCGGTGATCAGATCTGCTCCCCCAGATGCATCGTGGGGTGGAGTTATCTCAAAAGTAAGCCTTGCATTTCTTCAAGATTTTGTCGTCAAAGGTGAAGGTCAAATTGGTCTCACACTTTTTTTTTCTCACCTTGGAGTTCTATGTCCTTCATTTCACAGAACCCGGAGATCACAGCCTCTTTCCTGAGCTTCATTACTTTCCACTGGTACAACAGGTATGCAGATCCGGATGGAGGAGAGAACTACATGACAGCATCCATGGTGGTGGGCTTTGAGTGTCTGTGCCCTGACTGTTTGGCTTCGTGCTTTGAGGAACGGGGCACCTAACACTGCTACGGAACAGCCACACTGCGGGGACGGATGGCAGAGAGTGCGAGGGTGCGCCAAGCCACCAGTCAGCTGTGGGCTCAGGTTCTGCTCCCACTGAACTCAAGCAGAGTAGAGTCAGAAAGTATCTGCCACTTTTAGGGGCAAGTATGAACAGGCTTAGGAAAAGAGCCTCCCACCCATCTTTCTTGTGCAAGATTCATACCTGTTCATAACCCCTGCAACTTAATTACACCTGATGAGAAAATACTGATTTGGAGTGATCTGGGGATAGGATACAAATGGAGAGATGTTATTTGGGGGTGATATGGACAGAGATGAATTGGCTAGCTTCACCTGTTTAATTTAAACCCATTCTAGCAAGTATGTCTCTATTTGCATATCTCCATATAAATTATTATATGCAATTTGTATGCACACTTTTGTCTGTGCCCTGAATCTTTTAAATACCTACCAACTTTTGAAAAATTGGAAGAACAAGGGTCTGTCAATTGGGACAGAAGCAATGTGGAAAATATGGGTGGCTTAAAGGAGAGAAGAGCTAATGGTGAGAGAATAAGGGACTCTGATCAGAAGTGCTTGAATAGTACTTTGTCTTCCTTGCAAGAGCAAACAAAGTGGGACTTCAATGGAATAGTAAATAAAACCACGGTGCCATTTAGCTTTAAGTATACAATATGAAGGCTAAACTTCTCACCGAATGTTTATTGCCTCATCTTAGGCAGTGCTGTTAGATGCCCAGAGAGCTTCAAGCTATTGGGCAGTATAGAAATGGAATATATTGATATTTTGGTCCTCTGTTTTGCTTAATCTATTCTTCAGGAATTATTATTTCAGTCCAAATGAAAGCACCTGATGGAAAACTCACAGCCCCTCCCCTGTCTTTGGTAGCTTCTCCCCTCCCCGCAACACTCAAAAATCTCAAGCTGTATTAATTAAGATGTTGTTCTGAAGCATGGTCAATGAAAGAAATTAGGAGGAGGAGGAACTGCAAGGGAGTCTGATGCTGGGTGCCTGAGGGAGTATGATGTGCTTTGCAGCATGGTGGTAAAGGGCTATCGGAAGCCATTACAGATGGAGGACCTCTGGGAGTTAAGGGATGATATGAAGACACAGCACATGTTGGGCAAATTTGAGGAGAAAGTGAAATCTGGGATCAGAAAGGCTCGACGAGCACTGGATCTCCGGAAGCGGAAACGACATGCAAGAGCCACTGACCACATGAATGGCTTAAGCAAGTCCCAAAGTCAAGATGTGTTGGTTTTGGTAAATACCATGTCCCGCAGGGGAACCCTTTATTTCAGTTCCAGATGCTGTGACTAGTGTCGTGGAAGAAATGGGAGGCAGCCCTGTACAGGAGGCTCTCCTTACTTTTAGAGGTACTCTGGGGGCTGGGGGCATGATGACTTGCTCTTCGTGAGCCATCCAGCCTGAGAGTTGGGGGCTGCTTGATGCCTAAGGGCAGGGACTGTAGCTCAGTGGCGGAGCACACGCTTCGCATGAAAAAGGTCCCAGGCTCAGTCCTCCGCATCTTCAGGTAGGGCTGGGAAAGAACCCTGCATGAAATCCTGCATAGCTACTGCCAGTTTGTGCTGACAGTACTGGGTTAGATGGACAAAAATTGGCCTTACTCAGTATAAGGCAGCTTCCTGTGCTCTGGAACACTGAGGTAAAAAAAATGTACACATGTGATGTTTTTATATTCTGCTTTCAATTTAGGAAGAGAAACAGAGAAAAAAGAAAGAAAAAGTAGCCAAGGGAGACGCCAAAGGTGACTATCCTAAGAGCTGGCTGATGGTTACTCTGATCCAAACTTTTTCTGGGAATCTTCTGAAGTCAGTGGCATTCAAGTTGGCACAGGACCTGCTGCTGTTTGTGAGCCCACAGCTGCTGAAGTGAGTCCCAGTTTCAAAGTTTTATTCTAAGATTTCCTAGTGCCCTGGGTGAGGCAAGGGTGGAGAATTGCTGCAATGGAACTAGAGTTTAAGTTGGCCTTGTCAGACATTGCCTGGACATCCTTATCTACGCTGCTGACCACCTTCAAGCTGATGGACACCTTCAACATCCTCAGAGCTTTTGAGGATCAATCAGTATGTCATGCACATCAGTGAAATTCTGAAGTTTCCTGTTTACTGTTCTGAAGTTTTTGACTGTGCTGCAGGGATGCTTTAAACTTGCTTTCCCTATGTTACTGACAGGCCCAGTATAGGGATCACAAACTTCTTTCTAGCACTTTCCAAAAGAGCATTGGTCTCATAAGCACTGATCTCTTTGTATCTCACGGAAAACCACCTTGCAGCCCTCATTTCTTATGGCCTTAGCGCAGTCTTTCCTTCCAACCTGGTCCCCTTTCCATGTGTTGAACTCCAACTGCCCCCATCCTTCAACCAGCAAGCACACAAAAACCTTTTCCTTGCACAGCCTCTGCTTGAAGTTGCTTTTCTGGGTGAGGAGCATGCGGAAAGACAGGGACTTGTCTGGGGCTAGTATATGAGCACAGGTTTCACCAAGTTCAGGTTTAAAAGTGCAGCTGTGATCCCATGTTAGTTGTGGAGAGTAAGTAGCCCATCTTGTTCCAGGGGAGAGATTAGTCTGGTTCCTGCACTGGGAAGGTGGGTGGGAGTTGAGAATTTTGACTTAAATGAGAGGTGCCACTAAGACTGCAGTCCTCTATACGCTTCCTTGCAAGTAAGTTCCGCTGAGCTCCATGGAGTGGATTGCTGACCTGGCATGTATAGCACTGAACAACAGAATCAGAGAGCTGGGTGGTGGCCTTCTAGGTCATCTGCTCCAACCTTCAGCTCAGTGCAAATGGGTGCGATGCAAAGCCTGATAGGCAACGGGCCTGAATTGTACATGGAGGAAGAGGAGGCAGCACCCTTGAACCATGGCCTGGGCAAGGCCGGGTAGCATTTAAGCTGATGCTTGGGCTGTCTTCCCTCACAGGTTAATGATCAACTTTGTGTCCGATCAAAAGGCCTACCCCTGGCTTGGCTACCTTTACGCCGTGTTGCTGTTTGTGACCGCCCTGCTGCAGTCTATCTGTCTACAGCAATATTTCCAGCTCTGCTTTGAGCTGGGGATGAGTGTGCGCACTGTCCTCATGGCAGCCATCTACAAGAAGGTAAGCTGGTCCTTGCCCTGGGCGGGTGCTTTCCCTAAAGCTGGCATCAGTTGACTGGCGGCTTTCCCTCTTTGTGGTTTGCTTTGCAGTAACCAGTCTTGGCTCTGCCTGTAGGAAGAGCAGAACCAGACAGCTGTAATGGACGTACAGCATATGCCTTTTGTAGATCTTCATACTTGCTTGCCTGCTTTCCTAACTGGGTATGAGATTGGGTTTGCCCACCAAACATGGCCCTCCCCAGCATCCTGGATCACCTTCCCCACCTGGGTGCCCTCCAGGTGTGTTGGACTACACTTCTCACAGTCAGCAACTAACTTTAGCTGGGGGAGTTGTGGGAGTTGTAGTTCGACACATCCAGAAGACACTAACATTGAAACCTGCATCGAAACAACACTGTTCATTTCAAGACGTCATTGTCTCCCTAGTACCTACGAGGTGCCTGGGTCCCTCACGGAAGCGCCCCTTGTCTACCTGTGATTCTCACAGTAACTCCTGTATCTGCCTCAGGCCCTGTCGGTCTCCAATGTCACGCGGAAGGAATCCACAGTGGGCGAGACAGTGAATCTGATGTCGGTGGATGCCCAGCGCTTCATGGACTTTGTGAGCTTTGTGCACCAGCTGTGGTCAGCGCCAGTGCAGATCGCGCTGGCTATCATGTTCCTCTGGTGGGAGCTGGGCCCCTCTGTCCTTGCCGGGATTGGAGTGATGGTGCTACTTATCCCTGTCAATGCTGCCCTGGTCACCAAGGCCAGGACCATCCAGGTGAGTCTAGGCTGACTTCTTAAGGGGAGCCATCCCTCCCCAGATGCAGAGTCCTGTCCATCATGGTGCAGCAAGTGTGTTGGACCTCAGACCTCAAGGCCAACTCTAGCTTCCCTGGGGTTCCACACCAGCCCTCTGGGATTCCCCAGAGAGCCATACACCCATCCTTGCAGATGCCAATCATTTTGTGGTTTCCTGGCCTTTGAACATTTTCTCCCATTCTAAAAACCTGCAATACCTCCCCTACATCTTAGTTATTAGCACTTAGAACTTGAAACTAACATAAGCTGGAACTTTGGCCCTTCCCCTTTTACCTTTAGGCCCTCTCTGTTGAAACATGTGGCTTCCCCAAGCCTCCAAAATGGAATTTGACCCTCAGCTGAAAGGGGTCCGGTTCTGCCCCCCTGTTCTAGAGCTGTTATATTCCCCAGGCCCTGCACATCACAGACTTATTTTGCACTGAGTGCTTCTGTACTTTAGTGGTAGGTAGCAATTTTGCTTCTCATCACAGGTTACGGTGCTGCCCAGGTATTGAGGCAGCCTTGGACTGTCCATTGGCTGACCACCCCACTCCATGAAGAACTGTATACGGAACACCACCACACATTTCTTGCTACATTGAACCAGTTCACTAGGGTTTTTGGGTGCAGGAACATTCACCTAAGTGATGTGCTGCAGCTTGGTGACCCACGGGCTGTGGAAAGTTTTCTCCCACCCCCTGTGTCCCTTGCAGTAATTTAATTGAAGTGGCAGGAGATGGAACTCTAGTTGCAGATGCCTCTGCATTTCCCAGTGCCAGAATTTGTTCCAGCTGTTGTGGCTTTTAACTGAAAAGCGGATGCCTCCATTACGTTTGGCTGAAATGAAAAAGAGAACTCACGTCATGCCAGGCCCCGCTAACATCCTTCAGTTATTTGTCTGTTCCAGCTGTTTGTTGCTGTTATTCCATTACTGCTTTAAAGTTCCATTGTTGTTGTACTACTGCTTTTACCTTTCATGTAAGAATCTTTGTCCCAGTCATTTTTTAAAAAGAAGAAATAGAGCTAAGCACCATCACTGTATGGATGTTTTCCCCCAAATACCCAACTGGTCTCTCCCAGTGTTTTTAATGTAAATGTTAAAAAATTCAGGATGACATGGCCAAATCTCATATAAGGGCAAGTTCTATACTTCAGATTTAGTGCCCCAATATCACTTCCACAGATTTGTTGGAAAAGCATGAGCAAAAGCCCAGCAAAGTGGGCTATTGATGGTCAGAGAAAGCAAATATTGCTTGTCAGGGTTTGGGGCTATGACTCAACTCCTCAATACTTACTTTGGTTGTCTTTGTTCAGATGAAGAATATGAAGCACAAGGATGAGCGCATGAAAGTAATGAATGAGATTCTCAGTGGCATCAAGGTGAGTTGGAACCTAACGTGGGTTGAACCAGAACCAAAGTGGGCAGAACTTATAACAAGGCCGAGGATCACGGGCTCCGTATCCCTCAGCTAGACAGCATCTCCAGAACCAGAAGTCAGCACCTGCCTTGCCAGTGTTCTCCCAATGAATGCCTTGGCCAAAGGGCAGGATGCTGCCTATGCTGGAAATGGGGCAGGGTGCAGTACAGACTGCCCTGCAGCCAAGACCCATATCTGACCATAAACATCCCTCAGATACTGAAGCTCTTTGCCTGGGAGCCGTCATTTCAGAAGCAAGTTCAAAGGATCCGGACACAGGAGCTGAAGGGCCTGCTACGGTTTGCCTACCTGCAATCAGTCTCCTTCTTCTGCTTCAACTGTGCTCCTTTCCTAGTAAGATGATGCCTGGGAATGGGATGGGAGGGAATAGGATAAACAATCTAAAATACTTTGATAAGTGAACATGTATATCCGAAAATTTGCTGACCTGGAGACTGAGCAAAACTATGTCTAGAGGTCGTTTGTGCTTGCCTCATATTCTGTTCCAGCCTCTTCCAACATGGTTCCCTCCAGATGTGTTAGACTGCATCTTCCATCATTTTCAGCCAGTATGATAATTGGCCAGGAATGCTGGGAGTTGTAGTCCAACACCACATTGGATAGGGCTGTTTAGTGCTATATTTCAAGATGCCCTATAATAAGTCATGGGGATTCTCTTGTTCTTGGTAAGGTTGCCTTCCTGATCTCTGCAGGAGAATATTCCTACTTAGGAATAGGCTTAGAGCAGAGTTTGCCCTTCCCACTGATGTAGGATGTGCTCTGGCACTCAGGGTCAAAGGTAACATTACATTTTCTCCAAGCCAGTGCAAATGGTATACTCCCAGCTTGGAACATTTTGTTCCTTTGGAGGTATCCTGTCTGAGAATTCAATGCATGCTCAGGGTTGAATTCAGGGCAACACAGACTGGAGAGCTTAAAGATCTGGGGCAAGGGGCCTCATCTGTGCATCCTCAAGGGGACAGAGTTGGAGACATCACAGAAGATGCTGCTTAGATCAGCTTCCCCTGACCTAGCTGCCTCTAGGCTGAGAATGACAGGAGCTGTAGTCCAACACGTCTAGAGGATGCCAGGTTGGGGAAGGCTGACCAAGTCCTTTAAGGTCTGGGAGGTCTTTGGTTTGATCCACAAGCAGGCATAAGCTGTCCGTCATGGAAAAGCTTTGCCACTTTCAACCCTGCTTGCTTTTTATTGTATTCCATCTAGCTTCTGGTATTCTAGAAGATATAAATGTGTAGTTACTGCCACTAGAAGAATCAGCAATGTGCATTTTGGAGGTGATGTCTAGCAAAGCTTTGGAATAGAAGGTCAATCCTGGCTGCTCCTAACCTCTCCCAGATAGGACTTTCACCCTTCTGTCTAGCAAACAAATGCTTTAGCTGCTCCGTCTTCCTGACACAGAGTACAATTGATGATTTTCTGCTTGTTCCTTCCAATGTAGATATTATATCTCACTACTGCTTCCATGTAGACTGAAGTGCCTGATCAAGCCTATTCTAGGAAGCTAAGTAGGGTCACACCTGGTTAGCATCTGGATGGGTGACTTGAGTATATGATTCCATGATTATTGTTGTAAACACCAAGAGAGCTTTGTCTGGGGGTGGTATAGAAATGTAATAATAATAGCAATAACAATACTGTCATTCTTTGTCCCCAGGTCTCTGTGATAACCTTTGCTGTGTATATTATGGTGGATGAAAACAATGTCTTGGATGCACAGAAAGCATTCACTTCTATATCATTCTTCAATATTCTGCGCTTCCCCCTTAGCGTTCTGCCAATGGTGCTGTCCTCTCTGGTACAAGTGAGTAGGCTTATGAAGGGCAGGAACCATGTAACTGGGGGAGCCTGCCTGCCTGACCTTAGTGCAGCTAAGGTGTTGGTGTTCACATGTTTGTAGAGTGAGATGCTTGGGCCTGGGAGATGCAATCGGCAAGGAAGTTCCATTAGGTTGTGTATCACAGCCCACTGTTCAGTCCTTCACTAAGCTTTGGAGCCTCAGAAGGCACAAAGCATCCCCATACCTCAGGACCACTCCAGATTTTAAGGTTCCTTTAAAGGGTCATCTTCTGGGCCCCCTACACCAGCTGGCGTACCTGCACTGGTGGCGGCCATGCTCTGAAAGTCTGGCTTGGGGCACTATCATTTTGATTTCCCATAATGCCCTGGCATACATCTGTATCAGCACATCATATAAACTTGGAATGTTGGCTCAGACTTGTGGCACTGATCGGAACACTGAAAGAAGTGCAGTGGGGCCCAGGGCATACATTGGCTTCAGACCCTGCCAAGGGTACCACTAGCTGCCAGCACTTCTGGATAGTGACCTAGATGGTGCCTGACCTTGTCCCCACCCTTTACAGGTCAGTGTCTCTGTGCAGCGGCTAGAGCGCTATCTGGGCAGTGAAGACCTGAACACTGCAGCCATACACCATGATCGCAGCCCTGGTAAATAAAGGTGCAGTTAGGGATTTGGGATCAGAGCAGGCTGTGGACAGGGGTGAATGCAGACACTTACGCACCTTAAGACGGGTGTGGTTAGTGTCCTGCGACTGGATTATAGCACATCCATTCTCTGCCGTTGATGATGTAGCTCCTGCCCTCTCTTTCTCCCCCAGGCTGTGCTGTGTCTTTCTCTGATGCCTCTTTTGCCTGGGAACAGGATTCTGATGCCACCATTAGAAAGTAGGTAGCCACATGCAAGATCCTTTGTGTTGCAGGGAGTTATGTGATCCTTTGCTTTAAGGCTTCAAGAGAAGGGGCTCTTTTCCTCCCTGCTGACATGTGGGGTCAGGCAGGAAAAGATAAAACAGAATGCCTTTATCCAAGGGAATGTCCTGACACTGCTTAGGAACATCAGAAGAGCCTTGCTGAATCAGGCCCAGGGCCTTTCTCGTGACCAGTCAGCTGCCTGTGGGAATCGCATAGGCAGAACACTGGAGCAAGTGCTTCTCTCCTCAGGGGTTGCTCTCCCAGGCACGAGGACTGAGAACCACTTCCATTTACATGCCTCCAACCATGATCTTTGCATCCCTTCCCCCCTACAGCATAAACCTGGAAATTCCACATGGGCACTTGCTGGCTGTTGTAGGGCCTGTGGGATCCGGAAAATCCTCACTCGTGTCAGCAATGCTGGGTGAGATGGAGAACATCAAGGGGCACATAAATATTCAGGTGAGAGGAGAGCCATCTTATTTGTACACTGACCTATATCTGCATAGGGTTCTCTTCCATAAAGGAAGCCACAAGATCTGGGCAGGGATGTCAAGGACAGGACATCTTGAAGGGTGTTCCTTCATCGGAATAATCTGGAGACAACTGAACGGCAGGTAGCAACAAACATATATCACATAACCAGTTGGTAAAACCCTGAGATGGCAACATGGACTTCAGACTGCAGCAAAAACAACCGACAACAGAGGACTGTTACATTAATTATGGCATTTGTGGAGTACAGCCCACTTTGTCAGATGCATGAAGTGTATTATCCTGAGTCTGTAGGATATAGGCAGGCATGTGTGCATGCAAAAGAGAGGCTGCAAACAGCGAGATACAAGAGAAATGAAATGCAGAAAGTACAGGGCTCAGTTTTTACTGCCTCAGCTACCCCTCTGAAAATTCAGATTGCAGGTTCAGGATTCAACCATGCAATGTTCTTCCATATTAAAGAAACAAAACCTCCTTTTAAGTAAGGAATTAGAGTAAGAGAGAGATTCAGCCCCAATTCAGTCAATTCTTTCTACTTGCAGGAAGACTTTCCATTTGGTGGAACTCTAAAAATATGGTGCCCAACCTGCAGTATGAAGTAACACAGTCTACTTTATTGCCACAGAGCCCTTGATGCTTCACGCTGCTCCATGGGTAGACTAGAAGTAAATGCTCCCAGTTGTACATTCTGTTTGCTTTTACTCACACTCCTCAGATCCAGACTGTTGACTTTACAGCCTTTCCCACTACTGCCTTAATGTGTTGGATGCCACTGTCCTTTCTTCCTCCTTTTCCTCCTCCTCCTTCAGGGTTCTGTGGCATACATGCCTCAGCAAGCATGGATACAGAATGCCACACTGAAAGACAACATCCTCTTTGGGTCATCCTTCGATGAGGCTCGATACCAACAGGTCTTAGAAGCTTGTGCCCTTCTTCCAGACTTGCAGCTGCTTCCAGGAGGAGACCTCACTGAGATTGGGGAGAAGGTACCAACTTTGGGCTTTTTGGGAGAAGAGGCCTGCTAAATCTGATGCACGTACGGCAGGGAGGCTGAAAGTTCTGCTTAGGTACTTGCAGTCCAGAGAGAATTATGACGGAAGAATTAGGGCACTCCTGCATGCAGGAATATGAGATACTTTGCAAAAATGTCCACAAAAATGACAAGCCCACACAGACTCAAGAGAGACATTGGAACATTGTTATTGGGAGAGTTTATGAGTCAAGGAAATGATGTGGTAGGGCATTTGACTGGCCGGGAGGATATCAGTGGGTAGCTGCGGGCTAGGAGAGCATTCGCTGTCATGTGGGATAAGTTTCATGAAGGCTTCTCGAGTAAAGCTGATTGAAGAAGCCCAGTGAGGCCTGCTCTTGTCAGGGCTGGCAGGAGAAACCGAATGTAAGACTATTTCCATGTGCTGGTCAGTGATGTAATATTAAAGTGTAGAAGCTCATCCTGAGGGTGCCACAGCATCAAACCAGTACTGCTGGTGTAATGTTTGAATCTCATTTCCAAATAATAATAGTTAAGGGCTGCATGAGACTTTTGCCTGCTACTTTACTGAGGTTTCTGCTTCTTCATTCTTTGTGGGATTAAGATTGGCTCCTTTACACATGTGAGGGAGTTTTTTTGGGTGGGCAGGAAGTCGTTATCTGCCTTTCTACACGTTCCATGACATAACCACTAGGTGGCACTATGCTATAGCAAAATTGTGGTAGTAACTAGATGCATGCCAACCCTGAAAATCCTTGTCAGAAAACAGAAATGCTAAAATGGTTGCAAAGCATGGGAGAGGCTCAGGATGACACTGTCACATGAAACACTTGCAAACTACCATGAGTTAGAAATTAAGAACACAAACAAATGCCATGTGTAGAAAGGCTCTTCCTTAGAACTTCAAAGACAGCAATCACAATTAGTCCCCATTCTTCTCTTCATAGCATATGTGTGGGGTTGGGTGAGTGACTTACTTACGTTGTCTGAGACTATTTTTGTTCCACAGCCTCTTTTTCTGTGGCACATCCACTTTCTACTTCAGACTACTTCCTTTTGTGACTCTAAGATTCTTTTTGCTCAGAGTTAAAAGTAAAAGGAGGGCACTATGTGCTTGGGCTAGAGTCATCATCCCAGATTTTTTTCAAGCTGGATCGCTAAATGAGGGCGTTCATATGAACAAACAGCCTGCTGGGGCTTATTTATTGTGGCCATTTTGAATCAGTTCTGCTTCCTCTGTCTCCGTGCCTGTTCAGTTTGAAGTAATCATCACAAATGGGGTGGCCAATTTATGTATAGACAAAAATTTAAAAATATACTGATCTACATAAAATACATAAAATATGCACATATGAATCTATATCTATACATTTAGAAAGAATTATTTGAATCATAATATAATTCAATACATCTCAATACAGTGGGAAATCCTGTAGCGTTCCTAGCTTGGCTGCTTTCTTTGACAGGGTATTAACCTGAGCGGAGGCCAGAAACAACGTGTTAGCCTGGCTCGAGCAGTGTATAGCAATGCCGATATCTACTTGCTGGACGATCCCCTCTCAGCTGTGGATTCCCATGTAGGACGGCACATTTTTGAGAAAGTACTGGGGCCGGAAGGGCTGCTTCAGCATAAGGTGAGCCCTCGCGTACTCTATGGCACTGATTCCCAAAGAAGTCAAAGGCAGGCGTCACAATCCAAGGAAAGGGATTAGGCAGAGTCCTCATACTTCAGACAAGCTGAGGTTCATGGCAAGAATTTTGGAGGATCACTTGCTTCCCATTTGGCTCAGGGAGGCTGCTGGTAGGAGATTAGTTGAGACTCTCCAGCTAGAACTGCTTTTAAGAGGGACAAGTGTTTTCTCTAAGGCCTGGCTTGCCTGACCTTCACAGAACCCCAAATGCTTGTAGCAAAGAAGGCAAGGAACTAGAGCAGTGATGGCGAACCTTTTAGAGAACGAGTGCCCAAACTGCAACCCAAAACCCACTTATTTATCGCAAAGTGCCAACACTACAATAAAACCTGAAAACTGAGGTTTTAGTTTAGAAAAAACAGCTCACAGCAAGTCCAAGCAAATATACAGTTGTACCTTGGCTCATGACCTTAAACCGTTCCGGGACTCTGGTTGTGACCCAACTTGGTCGTGAGCCGTGTCAAATTCCCCATAAGGGTCAATGTAAATTAGGTTAATCCGTTTTGTAACTTTTTTTTTAATCAGAAAAATGTGAAGCAAAGTGACAAAGAACGACAAAGATCGCAACCATCTCCCCACCCCCACCCCCACCCCAAGCATGAATGTGGCCAACTCCCTGCACACTGGGGCGGGGGGAGAGATGGGCATGTACACAGGCGCACTGGGTGAGGAGAGACGGGTGCAAATGTGGGCATGCTGGGGGTGGGGAGAGGGGCGCAAATGTGGGCACACTTAGGGGGGAAACGGGCATGAGCGTGCTGGTGGGGAGATGGCCGAGGTAGCGGTCAGCACCCAATGAAGAGTTCATAACCTGAGTCAAAATATTCATGAAATTTTTCTTTGCAACCCGATTTCGTCATGAATACAGGCGTTCGTGAGCCGAGGTACCACTGCATATATCTCCTTGGCAGTGCACGGACTGGCCATAGAAAAGCTTAAATGAATCCCGGCTAATGAGTTGCGACACGTGACGTCATCACGTGGCGCCACAACTACTTTCGGAGCATGTACTTGGCCCCAGTGTTATCCTATGCTGAACTGCTGGGATGATGCTGGGGTGACATGGTTCGCCTGCCGACAGACAGAGCTCTGCGAGCTCACTGTGCCACGCATGCCATTGGCTCACCACCACTGCTGTAACCCTACCCTACCCCGGGGCACTCCCCTAATCATAATAAAGGGCTAAAGTTCCATTGAAAAGAGGGTGATTTTGAAAAAGCCTTCCTTGAGTAGCCTTTTCTGCACAACTCACAATTCCTGCCCATTCTAAATACATTCCAACCATCAAAATCATGCCAGGATACCTCCTTTTTCTAACCCTAACCCTTCCCTGGTGCACACCCCTAACCCTACTCTAGGGCTAAAGTTCCATTGAAAAGAGGGCGATTTTGAAAAATCCTTCCTTGAGTAGCCTTTTCTGCACAGCTCACAATTCCTGCCCATTCTAAACACATTCCAACCATCAAAATCATGTTAGGACACCTCCTTTTCCTAACCCTAACCCTACCCTGGTGCACACCCCTAACCCTACTCTAGGGCTAATGTTCCATTGAAAAGAGGGCGATTTTGAATAATCCTTCCTTGAGTAACCTTTTCTGCGCTACTCATTATTTCTACCCATTCTAAGCACATTCCAACCATCAAAATCATGCCTGGACACCTCCTTTTTCTAACCTTAACCCAATGATGGTGAGCCTTTTGGAGACTGAAAGTGCCGAAACTGCAACCCAAAACCTACTTATTTATCAGAAAGTGGCAACGCTGCAACAACACCTGAAAACAGCTAGTTCAAGCACAAACAGTGGTGCCTCGGCTTACGAACCCCTTGGTTCACTTCCAAATTGGGTCACGAACAAAAACTTCATGAAAATGTTGACTTGGGTCGCGAATTCCGTGTTGGGTGGCAACCAAGATTCCCACTGCTACCCCCAGTGGGTAGATGGCCACGATTGCAGTTGCGTTCGTGCAGGGAAGTCGTGCACTATCAGGGCTACGCTCCTGCAGGAAGGATGGGTGCAATATCAGCCACCCCCCCCCCCCAAATAGCATGATCTCAGCCATCTCCAGCCCACTCCCCCAGTGGGTAGATGGCCACGATCGCAGCTGCATTCGTGCAGGGAAGAAATAGAGGAACTGACAACAGAAGAAGTTGCTGAACTCTAGAATGAGCAGCAGAAGGCACTTGCTGAGGAGGATTCCACTGAGGAAGAGGAAGACAGGGAGGAGGTTAGCAGGGATGTGAGACAATCCAATATGAAAAAATGGAATGAGTGCCAGGATTTCTTTGAGAAGCACCACCTCAACATAAGTAATGAACAGAGTGTTGAATCTGATGAACGATAATGTAGTCTCCCATTTCCGGAGGGTTATGCAGCGTGGGAAGAAACAAGTGACTGTAGACAGATTTTTCACCAAAATTGACCCTGCCACTAAGAGACAAAGAAGCGGGGAAACCCCTGAAAGAGATCTCCCCAGTGTCCTTATGGAGGGGGACTCTCCCTCAAAACAATAACCTCCCCCCCAACCTAGGTTAGTGTTCTCCACTGTACTGTGGAGTATTTTGTTACTTTGTTGTTCTTTGTCACTTCGTTTCAAAATTTCTGATTTAAAAAAAATAGTTACAGAATGAATTAACCTTCTTTACATTGAATCTTATGGGGAAATTTGACTTGGGTTACCACCAATTTGCATCACAACCAGGGTCATGGAACGCATTAAGTTTGTGAGCCAAGATACCACTGTATATATATGTCCTTGGCAGCACACTGAGCAGCCACGCGAACACTCGGACGAGTCATGGCTAATACGTTGCGGCTTTTGACGTCATCGCCTGGCACCACCACTCCCTTCCAAGCATGCGCATGGCCCCTGTGTGCGCTGTTATGAGATGCTCGGCTGCTGGGGCGATGCTGGGGTGACGTGGCTCACGTGCCGACCGAGAGGGCTCTGCATGCCCACTGTGCCACGCGTGCCATAGTTTCGCCACCACCGAACTAGAAATTAGCTGTAGTACAGGTGCAGGTTGCAACTAGATTACACCAAAGCAACAGGAGAAGGATAGCACTATGGACCCACCAATGGAGTCTGTTTATTAGTTTTCCAAATGCCTTTATGAAAAGCCAATTTTACCATACAATTAAAGATAATCAAGATGCTTAGAAAGGCCTTCCTAAGAGAGCATTTAGTGACACAGGTACCAAAGCCAAAAAAGGCCCTACTTTGTATAGCTGGGAGTAGGGATATGAAGCTGAAGCCCTTGATGTTGATCTGTACATGGAGGGAGGTACATAATGGAGAAAATCATATCCTGAATCCACACTGTTCAAAGTTTTAAAGGTAAAGCTCTTTCTGAGATCAGAAATAATACAGCTAACTAGTTTATTTGAATCAGATTGGGGATAGTATGTTCCGTCAACCATCCCCCAAAATATTTATTGAAAAAGATGTGGATACCAGGACTTACTCATTAGCTGAATAAAAATAGTGTCTGCTGGGAGGAAATTCTAGTGTTGGTCTTTTACTTTTGGATGGGAAAGGGAGAAACGGTATCGCTTTTCAAAGCATGCTGTAGCAAGATTCAGAAGAATTTGACAAAGGTCCCACACTCCTGAGAGACCACTGAGAGGATGGGGTACTTTGTAGAAGCCCTGCTCATTTAATAGCATAAGTCTCTGGTGCCATCTTGATCCTGTCCTTGAAATGGGTTTGCTGGTTTGTGCTGCAGACACGGATCCTAGTGACTCATAGCTTAAGCTTCTTGGCGCACGTGGATGACATTGTGGTGCTGGAGGCTGGAGCAATCTCAGAACGGGGTTCTTATAGCACCTTACTGACCAATGGCGAGGCATTTGCTCAGCTGCTCAGCACATATGGGAACCAGCAGGAAAACAAGCCTGAAGAGGAAGCCACAGGTAAGGGGCGTTGCAGTATATTCAGTCAAGGGACACTGGTCAAGCTTGCAGTTCTGAGCACGGCTTAGTCTGGGATGAGTCTCACTGAGACTGTGCTGTCCATCATGGCTTACAGCTTCCATATGTCAAATTTGACTTTAAACAGGAAAGAGGCAAGTACACCCAATGGTTTGGTGGAAATGTCAGCAGGTAAGTGCTCATCATGGTGGTCCTCATAGTCCCAAGCAGAGTCCAAAACTGTGTGTTGATCCATTTTAACAAACAAGTTCTAGCAGTTTTCATTTCCACCAAGATCAGGTCCTTTGTAAAGCTGATGGGTTTTAATTGCCCATACAAGACCAAACCACCTCAAAATACCAGGGAGCAACATATTAAAGTTGGGAGAATTCATTTTCCCAAGCTACTGTGAGAATAGTAGCTAATTCTCTATTGCACTCCAACTGCGATCCAACTGCACTCGGAGGAAAAGGGGGTGGCAAATTATGGATCTCTTTCAGCTCTGGCACCACTGCACCCATTATATCCTTAATGAAGGAATGACCCTTACTGAACTTAAATGACAGAGATGGGAGAGCTGAAGCATCGCATTAGTTTCAGCCCTGGCTCTGCCATATCACTGAATATACCAAGTAGGGCCCATCTAATACGGCAGCCCTCAGGTTCACTCACCTTGCAGCTGCTCTATCACACAAACCGCATGACTTTTTTTAGTGGGTATCAGTGAAGAGGTGGAACTGGAGGGCGACATTGAACCTGGATCTGAAGACGTGCCAGCTGATGTGGTGACTATGACCCAGAAGAGTGAGACCAGTGTCCAGCAAAGGAACTTCAGCCGCAGGTCAGGGCCGTCCGTACATGAAGCCCCAGTTCATTTAGCCCCAGTGCACCTCCCTGTCCTGCCCAGTCTCCGGGCTGCACTTTTTCACTCCTTACTTGCCTAATGTCTCCCTCTGCTTTATCTCTTTCTTTTTTCTGGAACCTTTGAAAGTCTGAGCCAGGCCTTGGTCTGGGATGAGAAACAAGGGTCTTCCCGAGACGTTTGCATTTCTAACGAAGTGCTTACCCTTTCTAATTCATTGGCCTAGCCCTGTGAAAACACTCTCTCCAAGTAGCCAACAATCACAGCTTCACCCTGTATCTATCCCAGAATACCATGTGCCAGTGTTGGTCTTAGCCATTTCTGCTGAGTTGAGCAAAGCCAAGATGCCTAGCACTGGACAAAAGGATGAAATAGGAGGCGGGTACAATCCCTCAGGACTAAAGGACAAATCTGGCCCTCCATGTTCCCCCAGGTGCCTTGTCCCCTTACCTTACCACCAATTATTTGGTGATTTCCCAGCTTTTGTACGGTCTATCTCCATCCTATAAAGTTGAAATGCCTCCTCCATGGCTAAGTTACTGGCTGTAGGAGTTTTAACCTAAAATACGCTAGTATTGATGACTCACCTCTGGAGTAAAGGCCCCCAGAGCCTATCAGAAATGGAAAGAGGTTTTGCATACCATGTTTAGTTTAATGTAGGTAGGGGTAGGGCAGTGTTATCCCACCGCAAGAAGAGAAGGCTATAGATGTTCTATTCCTTACCACTGTTCTCCTGTTTTAGCCTCAGCATCAATAGTACTATGTCCCATCAAGGAAAGCTGAAAGAGAAGAAGCCAGTGGCAGAGATGAAGGGACAGAGGTTGATTGAGAAGGAAGCCATGGAAACTGGCAAGGTGAGAGGGAAGTGGCCAAAAACATTCTTTTGCCTCAGGACTAGGGCAGAAGCCTTAGACCAACGGAAAGGGGGGACCTTGCTGTATCAACCTGCTCACAGAGTTAAACTGAGGCCAAAGGGAAAACCCGTACAGAAGATGAAAACGTAAGAGCCAAGCTGGGTCAGATCCAGAATCCATCCAGTCCAGCATGCTGTTCATTCAGTGGATGATCTGCTGCCATTGGGGAATCCATAAGAGGACATGGGTGCAACAGCACCTTCCTGCCTGTGCTCCCCAGCAACTGGGGTATATTGACATAGAGCCTCTGCTACTGGAGGTAGGTAGCATATTGCTTCCTAGTAGCGATTGATAGCCATTGTCTATGAAATTGTCCCATCCCCCTTTTAAAACCACCCATACTGATGGCGATCACTGCACCTTGTGCAAGTGAATGCCATAGTTTAGCTGTGTGAAGAAGTGCTTCTTCTATATGTCCTGAATCTTCCACCAGTAGCTTCATGACATGGACTCCTCAATCTATTGAACGCAAGGGAAAAGGCATGATGAAATGTGACTTCCATGGCCTTAATTTTAATGTGTGTTTCTTGAATTCCTGAATTTTCACTGCTACCTGCTGCTCAGTTCAAGAATTTTGGGCTAGCCTCCCTAAGAGCAGCTCCATTTTCGTGCCATGGTGTGCTTATTTCCCCCTTACTGTGCTCATGGCCCTGGCATACCACCCAGCTGAGCTGTAGGGAGCCTGTGAGGGCTTGCTAACGTTGAGTAGACAATGTGGAATCACTGTACAACATATGATTGGTAACAACATCTCTGCTTTCTAGGTGAAACTGATTATGTATCTGCAGTACATGAGAGCTGTTGGCTGGGGCTTCTCAGCATGGATCCTCATCTCCTACATACTACAAGCTGCGTTCTCAATTGGCTCCAACCTATGGCTTAGTGATTGGACAAATGATGCTTCCCTTTACCAGAATGAGACCTACCCAGCTTCCCAACGTGACATGCGTATTGGTGTCTATGGGGCATTGGGTGTAGGCCAGGGTAAGCCTATGAAAAATGGAACCGATTCACAAATACAGTGTGATTAGGAACTGCCCTCCTTGGCACAAGAGCTTGAAGACAACTCACTTGCTTCCAGCAGTTCTTGGAGAGTTTGGTGACTGCCACTGTAGACAGCTGTTTAGGAACCAGATCTCACTTCCATCAAGAGGAATAGGATGACTTATACCCTCAAAAAGATTTTGCAAGATCATTAGTATTATTATCTTGTATGCATACCACAGTTTTCTTCCTCTTGCAAGGTGGCTGGCAAGGTTCTCCTCAATTCCATTTTCACAACAACAACCCTGTGGGTAGATTAGACTGAGAGGCAGTGGCTGGCCCAAAGTCATCCCAAGAGCTTCATGGCTGAGTAGAGACTTGAACTCAGATTTCCTAGGTCCCAGTCCAGTGCTCCTGAGCAATAGCCCACATTTACTTTTTAATTAATATGTCTGAAACCTGGGGTACTTTTTACATTTTGCACTCTCAAAGCATGTTCCTGGGTCCCTGGATCTAAACTCTGAAGGGCCCCAGCAGCCAAAGAACACCCCATTATAGGACAGATCTGGGTAGCTATCTGAGGTATTTCATACCACAGAGGTACAACTAGAGTCACAGTGCAAAAGCAGAGATAAATGCATGAAGGAACCCAGGGAAGGTCAGAGCCAAATGGGAGCAGGATCATCTGGGCATGCCAGCATGCAGGTGAAGCCAGGCCACAGTTAACCTAAGCTGCAGTGCCAGCTCCAGGTTTTGAGAACCCTTGGGCAAGAGACCTTCCTTGGGCCTCCTCCCCCAGTAAGTCTGCCTTCTCATTGCCATTGTCACCAGCTGCTGTTGCTCCACCATATTGTTCCACCATACTCTTTAGCATCTCTGCTTGTCTATTGGACAAGAGGAGAACCAGTGAGCTAGTAGATAGTGGCAGTAGATAATGTTTCTTGCCACCACCATTTGTCTGGATGAGAGGAAGAGACAGATGAACAAACAGGTTGCATGTGAAAAGGAGGAGCAACTCCTAGGGGGTATTATTAGAGAGCTAACTGGGGTGTGGGCCCTTGGCATGTGCCTGATCATGCCTACCCATGACACCAGCCCCAAAGAGCCTTAAGGCTGCCCTTGTTACCAGCATCTCCCTCTGCATCAGGCCCTCACAAGCATTTCTATCTGTTCTAGCTCTCTTCCTGCTGACTGCGACCGCTATAGCTTCCTATGGAGCTATGCGAGCTTCCCGATTCCTGCACGACAAGCTGCTGACTAACATCCTGCATGTGCCCATGAGTTTTTTTGATTCGACACCAATAGGCCGCATTGTGAACAGGTTTGCCAAGGTCTGAGCAAATGCTTTGCGAATTCTTCAAGGCCAGAGACCCCCCAGATAGTTCCCAAACTGTAAACACATGCCGAGACCCTTTTGGCTGCACCAAGATTTGACTGGGAAGTCTGGACTGGCGGCTCAGACAATAACAATCAGACATCATGATAACCCACCCAGGCGCTAAGCCACAGCGGGTTGTTTGCTCCTTGGGTGATGCATGGTGTACCCAGCCAATGTTCTGGCTCACCATAGCTTGTCTCCCCCTTCCTTTCCCTCCTTCCCTTTGGCCATCCTGCAGGCATCCCAGGCAACCCTATGGCAGGGCTCATTTCCCTGCTTATCTCCCTGCCCCTGCAGTCATGAGCTGTTTTCAGCTCATTGTGGACTTTTAATAATTTAATAATTTCATTTTCAGAAGAGCACAGAGTTGGTTTGATGACCCACTTTCATATTTTCAGGGTCCCTGACCATCCCTTCAGAGTGCCCAAGTAACACATTGGAGGGGCCTCGGTGCTCGGGAAGCAATTTTTAAGTGGTCTGTCGGTCGGTTGGTCTGTCTGTCTGTCTTTCACAAGGGCAACAGACTTCTCTTTGGTTTTTCTTGGCAGCTGTCAAAATACAAGTGGGCAGCTCACACAGGACCTCAGGAACAAATAGAAAAATGAGTTTGCCCTTAGGACACTATAGTGCAAACAGAAACAAAGAACAAACAGGAGGGTCTTCATGTGATTTCAGAAAAAAAATGCTCAAGTACAAAAAAGCTGTGTTGATTCAAAATGGCTCCGAATCAAGGGAGGAGATACCCTACCAGTATGTTTAGGCACTTGGGGTGGCCAATACAGGCAAATACCCAGGTAAGTTTGGTAAGAGCGGCAAATGGTTTTTGCTGCTTTTGCCAGGTAAATCACTGGCCAATTCTCTCTACCCATGATAGGGCCAGTTGCCTGGGTTTGGGCAACGGGATTACCCATTCAAGGTTCAACAACCCCAAGTAGGTTCAATAACTCCACACATGGAGGAGAGGGAATCAGTCCAGATTCACATGACATGACAGATCACTGTGGGTTTGTGTTATGTGAACCCAATTATTGAGAGCATGCTGTGAGAGGAGGCCTCTGATGCTTGGGGTTTTATAAAGTCTGTGATCAGGGCAGGCTTGTGGGATCTGATCTAGCTTAGCTCACAACACTTTCTTAGACTTTCTTGCGGCGACCCCATCTTCAACTGCCTTGTATACATTTGGATTATACCAATTGGACTCAATATCTATAAATCTGGGGTGCAGAACCTCAGATCCAGCGCTCAGTCCAGCCTACCAAGTTTCCCTATATGGCCATAGCCCTTTCCCCAGCCTCAACCCTTTTAAACACAGCATGGCTTGTGAGCAGTTTCCGCCCCCCATTTAAAACATTTGAAATACTTCTTCAAAGGCTTAGTTAATGAAAGTTAGAGCTTTTTACCAAAATTTGCTGGTACTTTGGCTGTTCCCCTTTGCTTTCTGCCCTGCCCACCTCCTAGAATGTTTCTCTGAAGTAGATTTTGTCCCTTTGGCTGAAAGAGTTTTAACATTCCTGATACAAACAGAAACTGGTCATGAAGCAAAGTAAGAAAAGAATAGATATATGCTTTTGTTAGATATATGTAGGCTCCACAGTCTGTTTTACTTTGATCTAGTCCCCCATCTCCATCCATGACTTGTATCAGAAGACAGGAAAGATTCCTGCTGACCCTCAATTAACTGGACATGTAATTTTGAGCATGTTTTCTGCACAGCCATTCATGCACGTATGTCCCGTGGAACTGAGGTGATGGGAAGAATCTTCTCATCTCCTGTAGACTCTGTTGTCTCCCTCCTTGTCCATTTTAGATTGCAAGCCTGGATTTTTGCTTGTGCGACTGTAAAGCAGTGTTGTGTTGATCTGGGGCCTGAGGCATGCGTGCCTCTGTCCACCTCCCAGCTGGCCCTCCCAGTCCACAGTCTTCCTCTCCACACCTCTCAACCCATCCCTACCCTTCTGCTGCATCTCACCAGTCATGCCCTGCCATGTCACCCACCTGCAAGTGCCTCTGCTGCTCTCGGAACAGTGGCATTGCTTGCGAAAACCGCACTGCTCCCCCTGTGGGCGTTTCCTGCCACCAGCTGCCTTTTGAATCAGCGACTCGCCCGTGAGCAAAGAGCTGCACTTCACAGGCCAGCTCTGAGCACCCAAGGGTGCAAGTGAAGGTCTTGCTGTAGCAGTGCCATAACATCTTGTGGGTTGAGAAGTATGAACTAGATGCAGAAACTACACCTTAAGGAACACCAAAATCATGGTGTAGGGTGAATAATAAGCAAGATGCTAAGAGTTATTATTTTTAATTGCATTTGTATCCCACTGCTTTACCTTTTTCATTTCCCAAGGCTGCTTGCATGGTCCTCTTCCTTTCTGTACTGTCCTCATAACAACCCTGTGAGGTAGGTTAGGCTGAGAGTCAGTGCCCAGCCCAAAGTCACCCAGTGAGCTTCATGGCCTGTGCGGGGCCTAGAACCCGGATCTCCCAAGTGCCAGTCTAGCAATCTAGCCACCACCCCACATTGACCGTCAGGTGAGTTAAGGTGAGAGAATTACAATGAGGAATCCTGAGTACATTCAGGATGGACCAACTGACCATTCTTGTTGAATTCACAAGTACCTAAGAAGTACTTTGGCATTACTATGCAAATATTACTCAAGCCTAATGCAAGTGGTAGATCAGAAAATGACATCCCTATCTCCTGAAGATGAAATTAATGTCCCCAAGTCCGACTGAGTCTTGAAACACTTGAAGCACTCATAAGTGGCTGCTCCTCATCTAGTTTATACCAACTCTGCTTTTCTTCTCTTCCTTCTTCACTGCAGGACATGTTCACTGTGGATGAGAGTATTCCAATGTCCTTCCGCTCTTGGTTGAACTGCTTTTTGGGAGTTATCAGCACTCTGCTAATTATCTGCTTGGCCACACCATTTTTTGCCATCATCCTGCTGCCTCTGGCAATCCTCTACTTCTTTGTCCTGGTGAGTTGGGGCTCAGCAGCTACAAGAACAGCTGCTACCCTTATTATCCAGTTGTAGGCATTCAGAACTGTCCCGTCAACTCCAGGATTTAGGGATGCAAGAGCATCAGAAGCTGCCTTATACTGAAACAGATCCTTGGTCTGTCAAACCCAGCCAGGGCGACTTATTTTATATTGTTATTTCTTGTATTTTAATTTTATGTTGTGAGCCGCCCCGAGGCTTCGGCGAATGGGGTGCCATAGAAATGTTTTAATAAATAATAAATAAAATAAACCCAGTATTGCTGACACTGACTGGCAGAAGCTCTTCAGTGTTTCAGGCAGGGCTTTTTCCAGCCTTAGCTGGAGATGCCAGGGGTTAAACCAGGGACCTTCTGAATGCAGAGCATGTGCTATACCATCAAGTTACGCACCTCTACCCTGGTACAACCTGCTGTCCATTAACAGTGCCAGCCTAGTCCCATAAGGACTAGTGAAATCAGGGACAGTAGAATACAAAATATCTCATGTATCCATGCAGAAAATTCTTCCAATCTGAAATGTCAGTGACTGGAAGGAGTAAGATTCCCTGGCAACTAAAGTAAAATGACAACGTGGCCAAAATATAGAGTGGAACAAATCTTTTAGCATGGCAGTTTGAAGCCTTGACTTGCTGGTTACATGACAAAGAAGTTGCTTTAAACTGCTGCTCATTTCTTAGGGATTATAATACTCAGAGGTTTACATTATTTTTAAAATGATGTAAAGCTGTCAGTGTAAAATCAGCTGTGTTTCATTTTCTAAACAGGCTTCTTGACTGAATATGCAGCAAGCCCATGCAGATGCAAATCAGTCATCTTCAGCATGCTTGGCTGTGTGTTGATTCCAGCCAGAATCTCTGTCCTTTTTTTGCCTGTGGTGCTCTTCCAGAAAGTTCCTTCCTTGGCAGGGACTTTCTGGTTGTGCAGATTACGGAAAGGTCACATGACTTAAAGAGAATCTGAGGCTTGGCTGTATAAAAAGAAAGAAAAATGGAACCATATTATACTGAAAATCAAAATTTGCAATTTCCTCTCCTAAGGCATTCCTTCTTTTTCAAATCATTTTTCCACTGATTTGCCACTGGAAGCATTTTGCCTATTGTGTTTTAGTAAAACAGCCTTCTCCAACCCGGAGTCCTCTAGGTGTACTGGACTACAACTTCCATCATCTCTAGCCACATGGAAGGCAGCAGGTTGGGGAAGGCTGCACTGGCACTTCTAGTTTAGAGATCAAAAGCTTTACTTGTTACCTTTCCACACCACAGGCCATAATAGTGTGTGAAGTGGTGGTGTTTGCTAACCAGTTTTTTTCGTATATGGATGGCTTTGGCTCTATTAACTCTGTTTTGAAAGACTTTATGATTACACACACAGTAGTGCAAAGGGGGGAGTAGGCCTTTGTCTAAAAACATTGACTGGGTTCCTACACTACAACAAGCCAGAATATAAATTGACTGAGGATTGTTGTTGACAGTGCCTTACTGTTGGATGATGGACTATTTCTTGTGTAAACAGAGCTGCGTTAACAAGCCATGGCTTGTTAACTACAAACAATTCATGAAGAGAACTGTGATTTGTTGTTGGCTTGTGAAGTGTGGGTTATTTGTGATTAACAAACTATGGTTTGTTAGCATAGTTGGGATTACACAACACAGTGACTCACAATTCAATAATCCATCACTCAGCCTGTACTCAGCCCTGTTTCCTGGCTTATCATGTTGTATAAATTCTGTCAATGACTGCAAAAGGATATCACTTAAAAATCTTCTACGCGCAAGCTTCGACATCCTTGAGACTATATAATGTTATGGTCATGCTCTATCACTGTAAGAGTGTAAGCTAACAACTGAAAACAGTAGTTGTTGCAGAAAAACTGTGTGTGTGTGTCCAAAAAAAAAAAAAAAAAAGAAGTGGCATGGATAAGAGGTCCCTGCCCTGGTTGTAGATCTTACTGATGCAACTCTCTGCTCCTAGCAATTCTATGTGGCCACCTCCCGCCAGCTACGGCGCTTGGATTCAGTCAGCCGGTCGCCCATCTATTCCCACTTCAGTGAAACAGTCTCAGGTCTTTCTGTCATCCGGGCATATGGGCACCAGGAACGTTTCCTACAACACAATGAGAAGATTGTGGATATCAATCAGAAAAGTGTATACTCTTGGATTGTTTCCAACAGGTGAGGCTGTCATGTCTCTTTCTATTAAAAGTATCACCAGTCCTCAAGTCACATCAACTGGTGGTTGGTTTTAGCTTCGGCATTTGGAAAGCTGAAAGCAGTTTCTTGTTAACCCAACAATGTAGCCAAGTTGTCTTAACATAAATTTCCCCCAGCTCAAATGACAGTGGGTGACACAACACCTAAAATGTATTTGGGAAGTTGGAGGTGGTGCTCAACAAGATGCATCAGTTAGGAGCCGTCAACGTAGTTGCAGAACTATTTGGAGAGCTACCGCTTGTGTTGTGCTCTCTGATGCCGTTTCCCAACATGAGATTCTGAAATGAAAGCAGGCTCTGCAGAACATCTTCCTCCTTCTCTTTGCTAAATGACAGATGCTGAATATGAGAGGCTTGACCACAGACCTAACCTTGCCTCCCTCCTTTCTACAGGTGGCTGGCCATGCGACTAGAATTTGTGGGGAACCTGGTGGTTTTCTTTGCAGCACTCCTGGCAGTCTTTGCCAAAAACTCCCTACAAGGTGGCATTGTGGGACTCTCCATCTCCTCAGCTCTCAGTGTGAGTAATTGAAGCCATCATTGGCCTGAGTGGTGGCCAAACTACACGTTCTGACATACCAGTTAAAGAAGTACATGACTCTAGGGTTTCTCATTTGTGTTTTTTGTGATGTATATTATTAACTTTTATAAACCACTTGAAGTGATTTCAGATGAGGCTTTTGATCTGGAATCACAATGCATCCCTCACACAATTTTGCAGGGCTCTGGAGAATCTCATAAGCCAATTGCAATCTTGTGTCTTCTTGCTGCTTCTTCCATCTTCCTCTGCCCTGCCCACCTCATTTGTCTTACTACAGAAAATCCATTAAGGAATGAAAGAGCAGAATACAGCACAATCTCTTGCAATTATAGGCAGGATAGGAGGATGCATGATTGAGGCACAGGGCGAGTTGTCCCTGGGGATGATGTGCTGGGGAAGCCCCTCCTTTCTCCATGGCTGGTTGTGTATTTCCAGGGTTAGAGCTGCCCCATGTCATGCACATCATTTCCATGCCCTTGGTGTATCTGCTCTCAGCATCAATTAACTGCACCCTGGAATGAGGGTTCTGTGACCTACACACATAAACTTCCTGTTAATTAAATGGAAAACCATACTGCTGATTTCTGAGTATAGTGCTTCTGACCGACATCCTAGAATGCTACAGGCACCACTTAATTTTTGTTCTGGATGTGTGTGTGATTGTGCTGTGCGAAAACAGCACAACTAAAAAGTAGGGAGAATAAAGCTAGCAACTTTTCTAGCCAGGTTAAAGAAGTTACTACATTAGGTAGCTGACTAGATCTGGTTATGAAATTGACTAGAAATCAAGAGTTCTGAAGTGAAATCAGTGGGATTAACAGCTTGATCTGTCCATAACCATATGTACTAATAAGTTTATTACTTACTTATGTAAGTCCTGCATGGTGCTTCAGCAATCATATTGCATCAAGTCTATAAGTATCTATTCATGCACACACCAAACAGGGTCTATATGTCAATCAGTGAAATGTGGGAAAGGAAGTGGGACAACACTACCCATGCAGCCATGTTATGCTCCTGTCCTGTTCTGTCCTGTGTGGACAGAACCTAGTGAGCACTGAAAAAGTGCTACACCACTGAAGTGTGGACAGTCATGTGCAAATCTGCTTCTGGCTTACAGAAGAAGGGCGATGATTAGCAGTCCTAGAGCCTTCCGTGAGGGGGATCTGTTCTCATGAAACTCAGGGAAAGAAATGCTAGCAGTTGGAGCACTTTGTAAAACGGGAAGTATTTCTCTTAGGGTCACAGGCTTCTATGACAAAGTGATTCCTGCTGCCACCCAGATGAGAGGACTGACAAACTATCTGACCAGGGTTATTACAGTGATATTTCCACATCTGCCATGCAGGTCACTCAGACACTGAACTGGTTGGTGCGGATGACTTCAGAACTGGAGACCAACATTGTGGCTGTAGAGAGAGTGCATGAATACACAGAGGTGACCAATGAGGTACAGGGAGTTCTGGTGAACAATCAAATTATGGGTGCTGTAAGACACCCATGCTATTGGAGAGACCCAATCAAATAGTGTGAAGACCATTCTTCTGATACTCATTCTGCCTCTTGCAGGCACCATGGGAAACAGCACAGAGACCACCCTCTAACTGGCCCAGTAGAGGAGAGATTAGATTCATTGACTACCAGGTCCGGTATCGGCCTGAGCTGGGCTTGGTTCTTGATGGGATCAACTGTGATATCAAGAGCACTGAGAAGGTAAGATGGTGTGGGATGGTAACAAAGCCTTTTGGGACTTTGCTGAGAGGGGGTTATGCCCCTGGGGAGCAACACATATGGGAAAGAAAAGAGGCAAGGGTGGATGCTGGCCCAGCACCCCATGGATCTGAAAACCCCTGGGCTGCTCAGTCCACAAGAACGACCTTCTAAGGCTTTCAGTGGACAAGGCTACCTGGGGCTACTACTCATGTTGCTTTCTGTAACTCCAGCGTCAGAGGGAGTATGCTGGGAACACAGGTGCTGCACACTCCCTCTTGTGGGATTGTCTAGAGGCATCTGGTTGGCCGGTACAGACACAGAATGCTTGACCAGAGAAGCCTTTGGTGTGATCCAGCACAGCTGCTCTTAGGGCTACTGTCTGCAGTCTGACCAGTTCGTCGCAGAGCTGGATGACAAGAGCAGGAAAAGGGCTACAAAATTCTGTCTAGTTGGATGCATGAACCAGAGAAACAGGGCAAGGGCAGTGGGAAAGGATGAAGGGCTGCCAGACATCTGATTGTTGGGATGCTCTCTCTACAGGTTGGCATTGTGGGTCGAACGGGGGCTGGGAAATCCTCGCTCACTAACTGCCTCTTTCGCATCCTGGAGGCAGCTGGAGGGAAGATCCTGATAGATGGGCTCGATGTCGCAACACTTGGCCTTCATGATCTGCGCCAGAAACTCACCATCATCCCACAGGTGAGGAGCCTAGTGGATCCGGGCTGAAGGTGCCGGGGCCAGCCTTTGGTTGCTTGAGGGGAGCGGGCTGAGCCTGGAAAAGGCAGCAGCTGGGGGTGGCTTTGCGCACTGCACTGGTCCTGCTACTTCCCTCAGGGCAGGCAATGAAATGGACCAAGTGCTGTCCTCTCACCTACGGCACCGTGAATGAGGGAGCGTGGAGGGCAAAGGATGGTGCACAGGGCCCGTCCTGAGAGGTTGGCATCCCCAAGTAAAGTATGGCTGCTCACCCCCATTGCGCACTGAGTCTGGGCAGCTCGCACGCCTGCGTTCGGATTCCAGAGGCGGAAGGGCTGAAAACCCTGCCTGTGTTGTTCTATCCAGAGTGGCAGCACCTCTTCCATGTTAAGTGTCTCTTCGTTGGGTCTGGCTGAAAGCAGGAAGAGCTGAGGGAATGGCAACCCTTCCCCTGCCCTCACCCAGTTTCTTTTAGCCAGGATACAGTTCTTCAGCCAGTTGCTGCACTGGCCTAATTGCCCCGTGTCCATACTTGCAGGATCCTGTTCTCTTTTCGGGGAGCTTGCGCATGAACCTGGACCCCTTTGATCAGTACTCAGACGAAGAGGTCTGGCATGCCCTGGAGCTGGCACACATGAAGTCTTTTGTGCACAGCCTGCCTGAAGGCCTGTCCCACCCAGTGAGCGAGGCAGGAGAGAACCTGAGGTACACGGAAACCGTGCAAAGTGCCGCGGGCTGTTTCTTTCCTACGAGATGCATGTTGGAGTTGCGGGAGGCCCTCCCCAGCTGCTCCTGGCCACCTCTCCCCATCGGAGTCACGGCTGGCTTGGCTGATGGAGAGCAGGCATGGTGTGGGTGTCCACCCGGATACTCCACCGGTGGCTGCGTCCATCAGCAATCGTCCTTGTTCCCATAGTGTGGGGCAGCGGCAGCTTATGTGTCTGGCACGGGCTCTTCTCCGTAAATCCAAGATTCTGATTCTGGATGAGGCAACAGCAGCTGTGGATATGGAAACTGATCACCTGATCCAAGAAACGATCCGAACGGAGTTTTCTAACTGCACTGTGCTGACCATTGCCCATCGGTTGCACACCATCATGGACAGCAATAGGTCAGTGTGCACGCGCGTGCCTGTGGCGGGGGTGGGGTGCGGTTCTCTCATCATGCAGAGCTGTGGGTCCAGGGCCTCATGTGCCCTTTTGATGAAGTAGGAAGAAGCACAGGTGCCTCTAGACTGCTGTGTGGGAATGGGAGGAGAGAGAGCGCTACAGCTGCGTGGAAGCAAAAAAATGCATCCGATCACCATCCCATTACATTTCAAATTGCCACTTGAATGCTCCTTAACCAGAAAAATTGCACACACCTATATGTATTTACTCGGAAATGTTCAGTGGGTTTACTCCCAAGAAAGCATGCATAGGATTGCAGCTTCAGAAACCTAAATCTAGGGAGTTTGTGGCTGACTCAAAATGTTCATACATATGTTGAAAAAGGGCCTGCACAAAGCCCCAACTTTGAATCTGTTGGCATGAAACTTTAAGTAGGAGAGGCCTCCTAGATAGGCACATGGAGACCTTCCTTGGCATGCAGCACAGGGAAATATATCTTAGCACACTCTGGAAAACAAGGAAACAAGGCATGTTAAACATTTAGCAAGACCACACGTGAAAACACAGTATAATAAGTTAAACCTTTCCTCTGCCTGGGAAAATAAATCCATTCTAATCCGGTTAGCTTTTAGCCACAAACACATAAACACAACAAAATGAAACAAAACAATAATTGATGCCTAAAAGGTTTCTAACTATACTTGGCATCCATGGCAGAGCCATAAACTGCTACAAAAGTAAATCTGGAAGGAACAATAGGGCCTCTTTCTTCTGCTACAGTAACCAGTCCTTCAGAATTAGAATATAGCAAAACAGGTGAAGGGGTCTTCAGAGCACCATCTGGCTACCAGCATTGGCACCATTGCTGAGACCGTGCCATCCCACTAAGCAGCAATTCTTCAGGAAAAGAGAGAGAGTGTGTGTTTGTGGTATGCAGATGACTGTGACGTTAGCAGCTGATCACAACTAGGGCGCTCATAAATTTTAACTAAGGAGATGCACTGATAAAGGATGCAACCAGTGCTCCATGCTGCTGTTTCCAATCAGATGACCAGATACGCATAATAATTTTCCCAAATTAGTCTGCTGCAAACCCCTGCTTGGAATCTGCTCCTTCCCATCCCTGGCCAGGGTCCAGCTTCAAAATTGTTGATCTTAACCCTTACACTAAAGTAAAGAGGCTCGAAAAACTTCTTCCTATGCTCCAGTGCAGCTGTTCTGAACACTTCAATACTCTCTTCAGCAGGCAGACATCTCAGTAACAGGGGCATGTGCCAGGTTAGCCACATCTCCCTCTTTGCTTCATTCCATGGGTTTAGAACAGCCGCACTGGTGCACGCCAGGGATGGAACTTAAATCTGCCATGTGAGCACTTGCTGCAGAAGAGGTATCAATGTAACTCCCTCCAGGGACGAATGCGGGAGGTCACATGCCTATCAGTTTGGAAATGAAGGCAGACACAACTGAGGGAGTGATTTCTGCATACTCAGGGAATTCCCAGAGTAGTCTCTAAGCTTCTAGATTAAAAAAAATAAAATAAAACCCCAACCATAGAAACTGTGTGAGGAGAATTCTAGGCTCCAACTTCAGTTGAGCCTAGAAAGTGAGAGGAAAAGGGTCTAAAGAAATCAGGTCAGGCAAACTTTTTGAGTCTGTTGAGTGTTTAAGCTGAGAGATAGGAATATGCATGTCAGTTGAAAAGAAAACCAGGAAGGAGTGGGAGTGGGGAGAGAGGAAAACCGGCTGCTCAAGCTCCTGACAGTATGTCGGAAGCAGCCTAGGTTGGGACATGTGTGCCATGGGGTTGAATAAAATTAAGCAAGTTGTAGAGAAGGTGGATGGACAGTTTTTTCCTGTTCTCTTAATTCTAGAAGCCAGTGTCACCCCAAGAAGCTGCTTGTTCGGAAATTTGGGACAGATAAAAGGAAGCACTTCTTCATACAGTGCCTAATCAAACTATGAAATTCACCTCCACAAGATGTGGTTGTGGCCACTGCTTTGGATGGTTTTAAAAGCGGGTTGTGCAAATTCTTGGAGGAGAAGGGCTTCGCTGGCTGCTAGTCCTGGTGGCTCGATCTTCCCTCTGGTCTCAGAGGTGCTATGCCTCTCAGTGTCAACTGCTGGGGAGCATGGGAAGAGAGGGCTGCTTCACTCAGGTCCTGCTTTTAGACACCTGGAATCTTGTTGGTCACTAACCTTGTTAGTGCAGTTAGTGCAACAAGGCAGTGGTCCAAATGAGTTATTGGTCTGATCTAGCAGGACTCTTCTTGTGTTCTTAGACATCCATCTTCCTTCACAGACCCCTTCTCCTCTTTTGCGCTCTGCAGAATTATGTGCCTCTGCACTCCATGAGGAAATGACTATAAAGGATGGGGCTGGCAGCTATACTGCGAAGCAGAAGGCTCTGAGGGGAGTTGTTGGCGGGGAGAAAAACAGTGCCTTTTCCCCTTCCCTCTCTCGAAACTTTGCTCCCACCCCTGTCCTGGAGAGGCCTCATAGCATGATAAGGCTCACTGGAGCTTTGAACAGGAGTTCGCCTTTTAGCAGATGGAGCTATGCTGCAGTGCAGTGCGGCAGGTCCCACTCCTTTTTTATCGCTGTCTCAGAGATCACACAAACATGCACGACGGGCCGCAGCTGCAGAAATGTGCTGGTAACAAGTTTTCTCTTGTGCAGCTACCAACCTGGAGGTTATACAGATTATGGTAGGCGTGTGCAGATGTAGGTGGGCGGTTATGATTAAGAAACGAGCAACAAAAACAGGATGGCAGAACAAACGGGGAGGGAAAGAGGAACACTAAGACATTGTAAGCCTAACACCTGTCAGAAATCCTTTTCTGGGGCACCAAATACTGATGTACAAAATGATATTGTCTTCTAATAATGTTAATTATATTTGATTTGAAATATTTGTTTGAATGTGATTTGTGATGGGTTTTTAAAAACATATTATGTGTCTCTTAAAAATAAATTTGCATACCTCATCTATGCAGTTTTAAAGGCATTTTTGAACTGTAATTTTTAAGGACTAAGACATTTTAGCCTTTTAAAATGTTCATTTTGTTTATGTGTTCAATATTGTTAGTTCTTAACAAAATAACTTTTTTTGGCAATATGTAATTACAGGTTTAGATGTTAGTCTTTAATGAAAATAATCAGAACAATTTTGTTTTAATCCTGTTCAGGAAGAGATTTTCTGATTATTCCATTCTGCAGATATGTTATCTAGTGCCCCAAGGAAGGATTTTGGAAATGCATTGGACTTAGAAAATAAATCTTTTTTTAGCATTTAAAATTCCACCCCCCCCCCCCCCCCGGCCACCTCCTGCTAATGCTTAAACTGTTTTTTTCTACATTTTCTCTCCAGGGTATTGGTGCTCCAAGCAGGGAAAATTGTGGAGTTTGACAGCCCTGAGATTCTGCTCCAACAGCAAGGACTCTTTGCAGAAATGGCAAGGGATGCTGGCATCTCGGGAAATCAAAACACTGCACTTTAGGGTAGCTGGAGAGCTCAGCAGCAAGACCAAGTACATGTATCAGAGAGCGGCTGCTCTAGGCCTGCCTGTGTTTCCGTGTGACAAAACTCTTGCCTGAACAGGCAGAGCCACTCTGCCAGGACCATATCCTGGAACGGTTGCTTTCCTGGTCCTATCAGTTAACCCTTGTTTGACTGAAGGGATATGTCATTAATGCCAACGTCTCTAATCTAGAGACGATCAGAAAAACCTCTTGAGGACCAGATCAGAAATTCCCAAACCATTTTAGGTTTTTTTGAAATGTCTATATACCTCTTCATGGCATGAAGGCAGCTAAAACCAGATGTTATTTTTCATCTTTACTGTTCTGTTTGTTCCCCTGCCCACAACACTTTCAGTTGCTATTTTGGAAATACTAGGCAGAAACAGCAGGCTGTCTGCATATATCATGTCCCGAGTTCCTCTCCTTCTGTTTTGTTGAAATATATGTATTTTATAATGTGTTTTACTATGTTGTTCTATTTTATGGTTTTAAGTTTATTTTATGAACTGGCCAGACAACCTCAGCAAATGATCAATATAGAAATGTAATTAAATAATCTGGAGGAGGTGGAGCAGGGAGATGACGTTTAGGTGCCACACTAGAATTTCACACCTTATTGTACCAAAAAGTGCAATTTATATTTTAACAATTCCTTGGGAACCTGGTCTCAAATAAGCTGGGCTCCATGCTCTTCCTTCATGGCTGCTGAATAATAGGCATTCAACATTTTTCAAGAGAGGGAAGTACTGGGTGTGAAGGCAGAGATTTTTCTCTTTCACTGTTGAGCAGCTGTCTTCAATCTGGGGCCCTTTAGCTTGGTTAGACTACAGCTGTCCATCACTCTAAACGGATCTGGAGGGCCCCAGGGTTTAGAAGGCTGCAATGGAGGATTTCCCAGCTCTCTTATACAAAATGAGACTCACTGACTGTGCCAATCATTACACCTGGCCCAATAGGAAGACTAGGAGCTGCTTCTGTCTACATCAAGCTTGTCAGCTCCATTACCATTCATGATTAGGCCAGTAGACATTTTAGTTTTCTCGTCAGCCTTGGTGGTGACGTACTCAAGCTTAGGAAACATGTTCTTGTGCCATCAGAAGGTGTAATGCAAAAGTGGGGGCTACAAAAAGAAGGCTCCGAATGGATCAATGCATATCATTTCAAGAAAGATTTTTTATTTATAAAACAGCAGCACAGGAGGCAAAATGCAGCAATTACATTCTCTCCAGTGCAGGAATTTAGTCCATCCCTACCCTCCAAATTCTGACTGGTACCCGGGGGAGGAAGGCAGCCTCACCTTTACCCTCCTCCCACAAGGACATCGCAGCATCCAAGGTGGGCAATGGACTCCTCCCAAGGGAGCCCTTACTGCCCTGCAAGAGTCAAGGCAATGTAACACTGAGACAGACCCTTCAACACTTTCTTTTTTATACCCTAATACCCTCGTAGGGGATGCTGATTTGCAACCTGACCTTCTGTTAGTCCCAGCTCCAAACAAGAGGCCCACAACCATGCCTCTGCCTGCAGGGAAGTTCTAGCAGTAGCTACTTGCCATGACAGCTAAACTGAAGCTCTAGGTTCCGCCGCAGTAGGGGCCTCTGAATACCAGTTGCTTGGGGTGCAAGCCGCAGGAATGAGCTGTTGCCTTCATGGTGGGCTTCCTGAAAGCATCAGGCTGGCCATGGTGGGAGACAATACTGGTCCATGGAGTCCAGCCTTCCACAATTTGGCACCCTCCAGAACGGACTGGAATTATACCCAGTAATGGGAATTGTACTCCCAGCACCTCTGGAGGACATCAAGCTGGGGAAGGCTGGCCTGCTTGGACTGTCCCGCAGGGCTCTTTCTGTGCTCTTAACGGCCCCTCTCACCACTGCGCCTGGCTACCCTCTTCCAGGTACTCCCCTGCAGCTAATGCTTGTCTCCTTTGCGGACAACCTGCAGCCCAGCTACTGAAAGGGAAGGCAGAGCAGCCTACTCACTGCTGCTTCTCAGGCCAGGCCCTGCGGTTCTGCCTCATCTGATAACACAGAGAATTCCATGGGAGCATTGCATCCTTGACAGAAACCTGATCCAGCTCCCCGCCAAAGGTATCCAAATCAAAATCCATCGGGGGAATGGAGCAGGACCTCCCTCCTCTTCCGTCTAGTTTTGAGGGTGATTAAGGCACCGGTTTCTGCCCTCTCCAGACACGCGCTTCACGTATACTCCGTCTTCCGAATGTAGCTGGATGGCACATAGCCCCGCCTCCCGTGTGCCTCTGCCAGCCACCACTCTTGATTGCCAGTGATGTCTTCAAACTGCAGAATCTTTAGCCTTTGATTGGCTGTTACGCTCAGTTCATTGGCGTTCCGGCCCTTGAAAGTGTAAACAGCATAATAGACCTGGAGGAAAAAGGAGTGGGAAGGAGGTCAATTAGGGTAGGACTTTGGGGCAGAAGCCCAGACTGCAAAATAAGCAAGAGCCCTCCTGCCCCCCCCCCCAAATCAAGAGGGCTAATTTGCTACATCTTGAGGTGAAGTAATGCACATTCCTTTTTAAGGGGTGTGATCCCCTATAATGCTATTAAGGGCACAATCCAATGGAAGGTTAGAATGAAAAGGGGCTGTCTGGGAAATGCTGGGAGCTGTAATACCTTTTCAGTCAAAGCTGCATAGCACTGTGTCATGTGCCTAACATTAACCTAACTGCACTGCTAGCTGCCACCTTAATCCTGCCCCAACCAGAGCCTCATCAAACGCAGCCAAACCATATTTCTTGATTAACTGTGCAGGGAATCCATTTGCAAGAGGAAATGTAGGCTAAAACTATGTTAAACAAATGCAAATATATAAATTTCCAAGCATTAGCTGTACTGACTTAGATGGAAGAGAACTCATCCTTATTTCCCAAGGTACTCAGTCTCCAAGCAGGCTTAAAAAGAGCCACTAACAGCCATTCAGACCTGCCTGTTCTCTACGCACCTGGTTACTCTTGCACTCGCTGCTCTTCAGCCTTGGGTTGCCATCCTCCAGCGATGGCATTGCCTTTGCCCTGGGCTTGGCAAGATGTCCGTTGCGTGGATCAGGGTTACTGTATCGCCGGGATGCTGGGACCAGTCGAGGCGGCTGCAGAGACTCTGCAGTAGTGCCTGTCTGAGGCTGGCAGATGGCATCCACCTCTGAGAGGGCCTGAGGAGAACCAGCCAAATCCCCTTGGGAGCCAGAGTCCGGTGCAGATTTCTGGGGGCTGCTCACACAAGCATTGCCCAACATGCTGCTTGGTGTACTGCTGCCCCGGGACGAGGAAGGGCCACTGTGCTCAGACTCGCTGGAGGAATGGCTGCCCACAGAGGCATCTGAGTGGCTGCACCGTGGGTTGTAAGGCTTCAGGAAGGAGCTGTACACAAAGCCCTTGGTCACTGTGGGAACAGCAGAGCAGAGGGAAAGGGTTACCAATCACAAGCACCATGTAGATGGGAAGCCATTCCATGCAAGAGGCTTGCAAGAATGTAAGCAGAGCTGTGCTCGATCTGGCCAAGGGCACACCCAGTCCAGCCTTCTCATGCACCGTCCAACCAGCTCTCTGTGGAAAGCCTACAAGTGGGTCATGTGTGCAACAGCACCCTCACACCCATGCTCCCCAGCAACTGGTACACACAGGCACACTGCCTGCAGCACTGAAGAAAGCATCAGGGCCTTCGGGGCAAGTAGCCACCAACAACCTTAGTTGGTGACCATCATGACATCAACTTGTTACAAATTAAAAAGTTATATAAGGTGCTGAGTGTAGAAGTACTTCCTTTTATCGGTCCTGACTCTCATGTGATGACCCCAGGGTTTTAGTACCATGAGAGGGAGAGAAAAATGTCTCCCAATCTACTTTCTATATACCATGCAAAATTCTGACCACCTCTTACCATGCCTCCTTTTATCTGCATTTTTCCCTAAGCTAAAAAGTCTCCACATTGCAACCCTTCCTCACTGAAGCCCTGAGTTCATTTTGGTTGCCCTTTATATCTCTACCTTGTCCTTTTTGAGATGGAGCAACCAAAACCATAATTAGTTCCGGCTTGCTGGGAGGCAAATATTTCCACTCACCCCCATTGTCAATGAGCCAGCGGTTCTGACTGCCCATGGGATCCTTCTTCTTGAGGACACCCACCAGGTCACCCTCCAGCAGTGACACGTCCAGCTCCTGGGCTGCGTTGAAGTTGCGCTCGGCCTGGAACAGCTTGTCAGGGGGGTACCGCGCCAGCAGGGCTGCACGCAGCTCATCGGACTGCAGCATGTAACTGGGCTGCAAGGCAAGCAACAGCACCCATGGAAGGGGGAGGCAGTGAGCTGCACCTGCAGCCTCAGCTCCTGAGAAGGCCATAAGCCCACGCTCCTCATGCCCCACCCACAGCAGCCCATGCCTGGGGCGGGAACCCTCTGCCACTCCCCCTGCAGTGCTCACCATGCCCAGAAGCGGCTGCCTCCGTGCAGACTGGCGCTCCAGGCTTTTCCTCTCAAAGGGCCTCTTGGCGGCAGGAACGTTCTCAGGGAAGAAGGTGAAGACCTGCAGCTGCTGAAGGACCCGGCTGTGCTCTTCCTGGAAGACGGCCACAAGATTCCCCTCTCTGCCAACCACCCGCAGCAGCTAGGACAGAAGGAAGCCACAGAGCCATGAGAACAGAAGCAGTGTGGAGACAGCCTTTCATCAGCCCAGCTCAGGGACACACCGGCATGAAGCCCAGCCCCAGGCAGGGGAAACCCAGGGATGGCTCTAGGGCTCAGCTTCACAGAAAATGGCATGTCACCCCAAGGAGACTTCTGTTTGGGAGTCCCTGTAGCTCAGGGGCAGAGTTCATACTTTGTGTACAAAAGGTCCCAGGTCCAATCACAGGCATCTCCAAGTCGACTTGGGAAAGTTTGTTGGTTTTTGTACTGTCCGATATGCAGAAGAGCAGATTTTAATTAAATTACTTACATACCTCTCCTGGTTTCAGTGTCCCACCTGAAACCATGGAGGAGAACCATTGTCAGTCACTGCTGACAAATCTTCCACAATCTGGCCTGTTCCTCTCATAATTCCACTGGCCATAATAGCTAAACATTATGAGAGTCACAGTCCAACCTGTCTGGAAGGCACCAAGCTGGACAAAGGCGGTGCAGATAATATTGACCCAGAGGGACCAATGGTCTAGTTTGATATAAAGCAATTCCTGTGCTCAACCATACCTTACTATGCAGACTTTTGTCCAGCAATATTCCCAAACTAAAGATAAACTCACAGGATTGCAAAAACCTAACAAAGCAGAATTGTCACACACAGCGCTCTAGTCATGGGACCAAAGGTGCCCTCCATGATAATATGGTATAAAGCTGAAGAAGGTGGGATGAGGAATCAGGCAGCTCAACATGCTCTTTCCTTCTGCCCTCTTTCTCCCACAAAACGCCCATCGGGCAGGATGATCCGCCTCGCCCCAGCCCTGGACACGTACTGAGAGCAGAGGCTGCAGCTCCTGCAATGCCAGGCGCACGAAGTCACAGTGGGCCTCAGCGTAGCCACGCAGGCAGCCCGTGAAGAGCTCCTTGGCGCAGCTCTGGAACTTGGGCAGCTCATCCAGCAACTGCGTGTTCAAGGCCTCGTAATTGTTGCGCGCGGACTGCAACTCCTCCAACGTCCGCTTGTCCTTCAGTCTCTCAGCGCGCTCCGTGCACGTGTGGAAGTCCAGGAGCTTGTCAAAACGTTTCTGCACCAGCTTGTGAGGCCCAGCAAACATGCTCAGCAGTTGATTCAGAGGGGCGATTACCAGGCGCTCGGTGCGCTCTTTCTGCAAGGCACAGGACCACAATCGTGTCAGCGTGTGAACGTTCTGTTTTTGATTGACACAAACGCCCCAGAAAACTCTAGTTATTAGGCAATCTGTAAGCGTAGTGGCAACAGGAACAGCGACTGTCTTGCCATCTTTTTTGGTCTCAGCTTGTTGAACACAAGATTTCTTCTACCTACCAACAATGTAAACACCTCAAACTTCTCCTCCCCATTTTCAACTTTCCCCTTTTCCTATAGTTAAGCATGTTCTAGTTCAAAATTCCTCAGTCTGGCATCCTGTAGGGTTTTTTGGACTACAAGTGTCATCAGTCACAGTCACCACAGCCAAAGGCCGGGGATGATGGGAGGTGTAGTCAAAGCCATCTCCAGGGCATCGGGTTGGGGAAGGTGCTTCCATTTCTCTTCCAGCCAAAGTCCTTTTGCATCTGTTTCTGCAGCAGACTGAACCTGCCACAGGGGGCGAGTGCCTGGCACAGGCTCCAAAGGGAAAGGAGCAAAAGCCTCACTTACAAAATCAGAGAAAAGCTGGTCACTGATGAGGCGATGAACCTTCTGGAACTGCTCCAGCTCAGCACTGCCCTTCTCCATGCACAGGTCCCACATGCTCAGTGCTGCCATCACTTTTACGCAAGCGGACTCCTGAGGGCCAAGATGCACAGGCATTAGCTCTTCAGAAAACTCCCTGCAAGTCCAGTACAAGGAGATCCCAGAAGCAGCAAAAGAGAAAGCCACACCAAAGGGCGGAAAATGGCGCATGGTCCCGCCTGAGGCAAACCTTCTCTTGGCAGCTAAAAGCCCATCACCCCACCACAAGGTGACACCTCCCACCTCCCTGCAAACACACCCACACATGCTTATTCACCCGGACATGCTGAAGGAAAAGGGAGAGATCCCGGATAAAAGATTTAATCAGCCGTTCTTGCATCCGGAAATTCTTCTCTGTCTCCTCAAAAGCTTCATCTTTGAGCTGCAAGAAAAGGGGACAGAGGGGAACCAGTTAAGAGGCACCACAGAGCATCCCAACGCACCAAGCCCATACACCCTTGTTACAGATCTTCAGGCAAAGCTAGCCCTTGACTTACCTGGGGTGCAAAGCCTGTGAGGTGCTTGAGGTGGCTACTGACCCGGTTGGATTTCTTGATAATGGAGTGGAAGTTGAGCTTGGAGATCTTCTCAATGAGGCTGTCGTCATCCGTCTTCCGGTACTTTAGCACTGAATGGAGAGGAGAGTAAGTCAGTAGCCATGCAAGAGATCAGCCAATCTCCCAGAAAACAGGCTACCCTGGCTCATTTCCTACTTAGCCCAGGCACACACTTCTGCTAGTTCACTCCACCTCCACCGCTGCACCTGGATGAACGCTCCTGCTAACCCTAACCCTAACCCTGCTGACAAAGGACACGGGGGGAGCATGCAGACTTTTTGCTCTCCCTCTCAGCAGCCACTAGAAGGTGCTCCACAGTTCTCTGCAACCACAGCTTGGTGCCTTACTAATGTGTTGGTCTGCAACTCCCACTAGGATAAGAGTTGTAGTCCAACACATCTGGATGGCACAAGGTTGCGGGAAGCTGCTCTAGCATCTTTGTCACCAGACACACCCAACCTGATGTCCACCCAACCTCCAGAAGAGCTACTCTTCCCCTCCAGGAAGGAAGCCTTGGTGGCTTTCCCTCTTCCCCACATGGTTTGCTGAACTGCCTGAAGGCGGTGCTTGTGCTCCTATCCGCGCTTTCCCTGGGGAAGGGCTCTGCGTCTCCCCTGCCCCTCAGCTTACCCAGGTCCTTTCGCCGTTTGTACTCGTTGATGTTGCCATTGATCTCCTTGACGGCCAGGACAGCGGCTGCCAACGGTGCTTGGTCAGGGTGCGACTCAGGCGTGGCGCTCAGGAGCTCCATCAGCAGCAGCGGGTAGCGCATCACACGCTGCACAGGCTTGATCAGGAAGGAGCCCAGGTCAATGTAGTTGGTGCAGCCCCTGATAAAGGGAGTGGAAAAGAGCGTGCAAGGGATTGCATCTCCCCATGCTCCACTGCCAGGCTGGCAATCACCCCCTAAGTAGTGCATCCCAGGGAATCAACTTACCCCTGTAAAGCCAACATTTGTCTGAACCCAAACCACCTGAAGACTATTAAACGCAACACCAGAATCCACCCCAAGCTCAGCTACATTCTCTAGGCAAACCCAACACTGCCACCTCTTTGATGGCCAGCTACAGCCTTGCAACAGCTACCCGAGTCCCCAGTTCATGCCTCATTCCATTCCTTCCACAACCTGGACAGGTGAACATGAGCACACATGCCTGCTTCTCCAAAGCACCCAGTAGACAGTTGACCTCTGCAGCTCTCAGTTCCCGCTCCTTCCAGAAGCACCCCCCCCCCCACTCCCATCTGCCCTCCTCAAACACATGAACAGCCAAGGGAACAGGCTGATGGTATAAAAGGTGACTTACCATTCACTGTACAGATTCCTGGCAGGCACAACGCAGGTGGGGAGAGAAGAGAAAGAAGAAAAAGCAGCTGATTAGAATGGCTGCCACCATTTCCACCCTTTTGTGGCTACTAGGCAGGAACCTCAGCTGCATTCAAGCCACTGGTTTGAGAAACTTCTTAGCAGCCATTGTAGGTGGGACTCTTCATTCAATAAACATTCAGTACCTCTGATGGATCGTGCTAGAGAAAACAGGTACACATGCAGTGGACTCTAAAATCCTGTTCCAGTGGGGTGGAGCAAACCAGTAGTTTTCCCATCCTAAGTGATGGGAAGCCTTACAAAGGAACAGGAGGCAAATCAGCCCACCCTGTCAGTGCCCAGCAATGGGATGAACAGGCGAGAAAGAGCCCAGGCTGCCCCCTCACCGAAGGATTTCCAGAGACTCCAGCAGATGCTTCTGCACCCTCTCATCCTTCTCATAGGCTTCCAAGAGTGCAATGGCCTCATCATGGTTGTGGCAGTACACTTTGTACACAGACTCCAGCTCAGCCCGAAGCCCCAGGAAAGTTGGTCCTTAGAAGAGATAGCAAAGGATTAGACATCTGCCCCAGCTGTGTCACCTTTAAAGAGGCCGAAAAACCAAATGCATTTATTCTTTCCCTGCTTCCTTCCTAGGAAGGTCTCTGGAGTGGCACACAACCTTTCTTGTCATGGAATTACCATCTTACATAACTGAATCACCTGCAAAGTTTATATTCCAAATGTCACAAAAGGAGAGCTGGTCACTGTTATACCTCCAACAGGGCTTGGGAGAAAGTAGTTCTCCAGATGCTTTGGACTTCAACTCCCAGCTCCGACTGGCTATCAGCCATGCTGGCAGGAGCTTTTGAGAATTAAGTCCAAACATTGGAGCACATGTGCACCATCCTTTTGGTCCTAAGGGTGTTAGTCACGCATATGTGTTCATTCATACACACATACATTCATTCCCCTTCCTGCACCCACAATCTCTTCCTCCCAGCCCACTAAGAGCAGTATTGGAACAGCATTCCACACATCACAGTCCAGTTGATCCGTTGGCCTGTGGCGAAAAGTGGGTGCAGTCCCCACTGCTCTGCAGGCCACAAGTTGTGTGCCCCACCCTACAGAAGGAAAGAAGGGACACAAGTCAGGCCAGGTGGAGAATGGATGGATTAGACCATGTGAAATAGCACCTTTGTCTATAGCAGCCTTCCATAATCTGGCATCCTCCAGTTACTGCTCTCATCATCTTTAGTGAACTACACCAAAAGGATGGTGGGAGCTGTAGTACAAAACATCCAGAGGGATTCTGATTAGGAAAGCCTGGTCTATGCCAAGGGTTACTAGCTTTCTTCCCTTTAGTCTCCTTGTTCCTGGGCTTAGTTAACTTCAGAAGTGCAGCTTTGTTGTTTTTTTAAACCCCCTTTTATTTATTTTTTTAAATACAGAAAGAAAACATAAATACAAATATAATATTAATAATATTACACACAAAAGCCCAACTAATGAATAAAAAAGGAAATAATACAGTGCCCCCACCACCCAGGAGGCCAATACTACCTCCATTTTAATTCATATATTATAACAATAATATATAATATACTTCAATTATAGCCATATCCCAAAAGTACAGCTTTGGATGAAGCACATACCAACAGCATTGGCAGCTTCCAGTGTGTTCAGCAACTTCTTTGAGAAGGAAATTACCCCATGGATGTTTCCAAACAACCCTTCACAGTCTACATGAGGCACCTATGAAAGCGGAAGCAAGAAAGACTTAGAGGAGGAAGCAATTCTGCGTGATGAATGGTAACCAATGGACAGGTTGCTCCTTGTGACACACTCTTCGAACATGAATGAGTCAGCATCTTCTGACTTTCCCTTTCTCCACAGAGACAAAAGAGCACGGGAGAACACTGGCACATTCTCCTGGACTCGCTTGTTATGACATCCCAATACATATATCCAGAATGTCATCATGGCTAGCTTGGACACAAAAGGATCCCTGACAACTGCCCTTTCAGTCCCCAAGCATTACCTGAGGTACCTGTCCCACCATCCAAGGAACTGCATTCCTCAACATCTCAATTTTTACACTGGTATGTTGTTTTGTCACACCATTCCTCCAAGGATGTTAGGATAGCATATATACCTCCGTCCCCTTTCACCTCAACAACCCTGCAAAGTAGGTTAGACTGAGAAATAGCAAGTGGCTACAGGACACCAAGTAAGATTTCCAACCGAGCAGAGATCTGAACCCAGGTACCCTGGCACCAAAAATGAGAAAAATGAGGCTGTTGTACTTTGGGCCCATTATGAGAAAGCAAGACTCGCTGAAAAAGACAATCATGCTAAGGAAAGTTGAAGGGAGGAGAAGAAGAGGTAGACGAAATATGAGACGAAAGCCACAGCCCTGTGTTTACAAGAGCCGAGCAGGGCTGCCGAGGACGGAACACTGTGCAGGGCATTGATTCAGAGGGCCGTGGAAGGCAATGACTTGATGGCGCACGCCAACAGCAATCAGCCCTGGTTAACATCATGCCCAACACTTGTCCAGGGATCTAGTGCCCTGCAGATGGTTTCAGACTACAGCTCTTGTAAGCCTCAGCCAATATGGCCAATGCTCAATGATTATGGGAGCTGTAGTTCAAAACATCTGCAGCCAGGCCAAAGTTTAGTTGATCCACTAAACTCAATCAGAGCTTAAGTTAGTCTTGACTGACTTGTCCCACTGATGTCAGTGACTCTAAGCATGACCAAATCTAGATCCTGCCCCTGCAGGACGCCTGGCTTCCTACCCAACTCTAGCCACAGCCAATCACCACATTATGTTCCATCCTTGACTGCCACAGAACAGTGGAGCCTCTGCCCCAACTATTTCCCATGCCCACCTGTGCTTCCTGCAATGGCACGAGGACCTTCTGCACACACATCTCGAGGTCCCGGATATAATCCCGCTCTGTCTGCAGCAGCTCATCAACGACCTTTGCCCTCTTCTCCAACATCCTTTGCTCTGGGTTGGGAGTGGCGGCTGCCGTGGCAGAGTCCAGGGAGGCTGGCTGGGAGGAGAGCAGGGTCATTTCTGAAAGAGAGGCAGAGGGATGAGAACTTGGTGGTAGAGCCAGCCAGCAGCTCCTTATAAAGCAGTGGTAGGTGACTGGACATCTAGGGCTTTCAAATTCAGCCTACTGATGACCACTCCTGCCCTTCTAGCAGATGAAAGAGCCTTTTAGTCATGAGCTGCTGCCTCCCCACTGGCCCCAGGACAGGGAGAAAGTGCCAAAAACGCACAGGCTATACCACCCACTTGTTTCTGGCAGTATCTCTGCTTCCTAGAAAAGGGAGTGTTTTCAAGCAGCAATGACTTTGTGAGCAGCAACAAATAACTGAGAAAAAGAGGAAGAACTGGCCCCTTACAGATTGGACAAAGGACCCTGGATCCAGAGATGAGAGCTGTGGAAGACAAACAGCTTCCACTGTGGAGCAAAAGTTCCCTGTGTAACCAATGCATTTCAAAACACATGGTGTCAGGTACTGGGTATTTCTTAGCTAGTGTGTACTATATGAGCATGTGAAAGAGCTTTACAAAACCTTGAAAGACTTACACATTTATTATGGATGCATCTGATGAAGTGGGCTGCAGTTCACAAAAGTGTAAGTTAGACTTTATGTGTTTATCTTTAAGGTGCATCAAGATTTCTGTTGCATTTGCTGCAGCAGACTAACACAACTGGAAAATACCCTCTGGAAAATACAGGTACATGTGAGGAAAGTACACAAGAAGTGATTTCCTCAGTCACTCCCTAAATCTTTTAGGAGTCTCTGGGTAAGTCAATTAATACCACTAAAGAAGAATGTGCAACAATTGTGGATAGCTCACCCCATTCCACAGAGTTATAACCAAACTGGACAGAAGTGCATAAAAATCATGAGTATACAATATATGTCACAAAAAGGAAGGAGGAAAATAAAAGATCAGGATTCCTTATAGCTCAGACTTATGCATGTTTAACTCAGATGTAAGGTCCACTGAATTCAGTAGGGATTACTCCCAAGGAAGCAAGTCCACTTCTCCCCTACCCCCCGCCCCCCCCCAAAAAAAGACCAAGGGAATCAGATTTTATTTTGAAGTATATTAAGTCAGGAGTATCTTTCATTTTTAACCCTCTACTTAAAACCCTGAAGCTAACTTGAAATCAAGAATCAATCCTTATGATGCAATTCTAAGAATGTATAGAAAGGAGGAGGTCCTAAATGTTCCACTGATCCCCAGCCAGCCATCTGAGGAATGATGGGATTTGTAGGAGCTTTTTCTGTCCAAACCTGCATAGGATTACATCATTTTTTTCATCTATAGACCCAGAACCATACCTCACCCAAATATAAATGAAGACATATTCTCTCTCAAGCACAGTGGCTATGGAATTCCCTACTACCAGAAGTAACAAGGATGAATAGTAAGAGCAGAAAAAGGCTTTAAGAGATTCAAGCAATTCCATGAAAATTCAAACCCACCAGGTGTTACTAGTAAGGATATAATGCATCCTTCAGAATTCCTACATCTTTAACCTGCCAAACATAAGCAGTAAGATACTCTGACAGTATCGTATCTTTGAAGCAATTAAATCATTATCTGTAGCTGCTGGAAACAAATTACTGGGGCTGAGTCACTGCTTTAGACTCCCAGTTTGTTTACTATGCCTGCCACATGCCAAGGCTCACAGGAATGGGATTGTGTGGACATAACCCAGCACTTGCGCTCATCTCCTTCTGCACCACCGAACCTAGGCAGAACAGAATCCCAACAGAGATGCAAATAAATAAGCAAGGGAGAAACCTAGGAGTTAAGAAGTAGTTAGCTTAAGTGTCCTGGCTTATCCTACATTATGGGAGATGTGTTGGATTGCAGCTCCCATGAATCCCCTCTGGGAACACATCTGAAGGGAACCAGGCAGAGGAAGGCTGCTATGATCTTTGGGTCATCTTTCTATTGCTCGAGGGAAAGCATTCACAAGGTGTAGCAAAAGAGAGGCAGAGAGAATACCTTGCACCCAAATTTTCCCCACCTGTCGCCTACTGAACCCCCAGCACTGCCTTCGCCACGAACAGATTCACCGCGCTGTCCATTGGAAAGGGCCGGCTACACCTTTCTCCCCGCGGCGGCGGGGCAGCGGGGAGGAGGGCAGGCGTGGCTCGGCGTCCCTGGCAGGTGCAGGCTGCCGGAATTGGCTGAGGGAGATCCGGCTGAGGGTCGGATCTTGCTCAGCGCCAGCGGCTCGGCTGGGCTGGGGGGAGAGAGAGGTTCAGGCGCCCGCACCCAGGCAATCCCACCGTCGAACTGTGCCTGCCAGCCTCTGCCTAAGGTCCCTCACCGAGCCGAGTCCAGCAGCCGTTCCCACTGGTGCTCCAACTGGGGGCCATCCGGGAAGAAATGGGGGCTAGCAGGCAGCCGGACAAAGCAGCCCTCCGGGCGGGACTCTTCTCTTAGGGAATTAGCATCTCAATGGCCCACGGAGGGAGCGACCGTCCAGGGCTGGCCAGATCCAAAGCCTGGAGCTAAATTCCGGAGAGGAGGAAGCGACCTCCGCCCACCCCGCGCCTGCCAAGCCATTTCCCCCCTGGTTTTGCTGAGAAGGCCGCTGCAGATCCTCGCCCAGTAAAATGGCAAGGTGAGCTGAGCCGAGCCCACGCAGGGATTGCACGAGGGCATGGATAGCAACAGGGGGCACAGCCTACTTGCCCGGCGAGGTCTTGCGTTGCGCGGCAGGGCAACACGCCAGGCGGCAGCCCCCGGCAGCAGCGACCCAGCGCCGCCCACCCGTCTCCGCACCCCAACTCCAACTTTGCTCGGCCAGCCAACAGCCACCGATTCGCGAGCGCAAAGGCAGCTGCCCCTTCCGCGAAACCTGAACGGCACCAGGAGATGTTAGCCAGTCCGGAACGGCCCGTGGAAGTTCGGGCGGCAGGACCGGTTCCTGGTTTTCTATCCCACCTACTTTTGTCTAATCCAGGCCAGCCCCCTGGCTCGGGCTCACACGCAGATTCCTGGGGCCCAGCAGCAACCCCAGGCCGGGCACTCTCAACTATTTGCTCTTTTCAAGGCAAAATGTCTCCCCTTCCCCGCAGCATTCCCGAGAGACCCACCAGAGGCCCGTTCCCGTCATCCGCACCCCTCCCGTACACCATTTGGGTAACAGCTAAGCAAAAAGAGTGCCTTATAACACGGAGCAGGCAGGAAAGTTCTAGGGTCACTGTCTTGTGCATTTCCCTCACATATAGTTGTATTTGTTCACACACCCTCTCTAATGAAGCCTAACTGAGCTTCTCTTTCTCCCACTATCTCCCAATGTGATGCATATTTTTGAATGCACTCCTTTGACTTCTAGGAGTACCTTTTGCAGAAGTGCAGAGATGGTGCGATTTTGCTCCTCTGAGCTCAAGATGCTTTGTTGGCTAACAACTGGGCTTAGCCATTCTTTTGAGGAGCCAAATGGCAAAATCAAAGCAGGGCAATGTCTGGCACAAGGGCAGATTTGTTGCTTTGTGTGTCAGGTCTCCATATTCTGCCGTGAGCTGAATTCTGATGAGGCAGGCCTATTGCACTGCGTCTGCTGGCAGCTGGGCTGGTGTCTCCCACGTCTGGAAGCCAATTAGCATGAATGCTATGTCTCACTCCCATTGTCAGTGACCAACGCTCGCTCGTAGAAGTGACCAACACAAGAGCAACCCACACATGTGTGCCCCTCAGCCAAGGGACGGCCGCACAGTGCGGCACTCTGTGAGGCTCATGCGTCATTCTCTGACAATACCAGAAAGACTGGAAGGGGGGCCGCTGTGCAGGGCAGACCCCACAAGCCACCGAGGGTTTAGAAGCGCCTGCTTCTCTCTCAGGGCGGCTTCAGCCGGGCACAGCCTTTACTCATCACTTGATCAACAGCCTTCCCATCCCCTACGGTCAGGTCTGCAGCTCAGGTGCAGAACACACGTTGCGGTTTAATTCTTGGCATCTCCAAGGCAGGCAGAGAAAAGATGCAGCCTGAGGTTGCTTCCCATGTCCACTCTGGTCTCCACTCCAGAATCTTGCATCTCTCACCAGCTGTACTCTGTGGTGCCTGGGCTTCCCAAAAGGGCACATCCTTCTGTTCGCTGGGTGGTTTCTCAGCTTTGGCAGTTTCTTCCCCATTCAAAAAGGCTGAAATGCCTCTCCTTACGATTAGTGACTGGCAGTCAAGGCTTCCAGTTAAAATATGCTGGCATATACATATAAAGGAGAATTATCCTGCTTGTCAGGCAGGATCTCTGTCGCCTCATATGCCATCTGTAGATGTGTTGTTCCTTCAACAAGTATGAGAGAGACAGAAATCCTACAGGTGTAACTGCACCCACCCACTGCACAGTAAGCACCTGTTATGCAGCCTTGATGGCACAGATATCTGGTGAAACAAGGCAGCAATTCATCTTTTGGGGCTGATAGCAGACTCATGCGCCCCTGTGGAAAGTACTCAGTAATGTGGCTCTGAGCTGGCAATACTTTCAGTTATTAAATCCTGCCTTATATTGGTGTGGAGGTTCTTTACTGAAAGAGTCCAGGAAGGAAATTCTATCAGCTGAACAAATGGCTGCCTGAACCGCTGTGCCCAGAACATACCCTGGAGGGCCAAACAGGGCTCCCTAACAGAAAAAACGGCTTTGCTCTCTCAGCACTTGATGGCTGCCCCTCTCTTCCTTGTGCACACCTCCCCTTCCCAAACATCCAATGGCAGGTGCATTGTGTGAGTGAAATTCAAGCCAAGAAGGTGCGGCCAGTGCTGGAATGTGCACACAAGGCTGTGTGATGCGTTAGTAACCAGAAACAATGAGGCACAACCGCTGCCCTTGCAAAAAGGAATTCTCAGGGCTTCTGCCCTGCACATGGGAACTTCGACCCAGAGAACATTCCATTGGCATGACACATGCTGCCTCCATTTCCAACTGAAAGCAGGTTTCTGTTTCAGACTCCACTGCTCTTTGCCTGGCCTGGCGGTACTGGAGCAAATGGGAAGACAAAGAACCAATGTGGTGGGAGGGCTCAGGTCAGAAGTGCGGGGAGGAAGGAGATTCATGACTGTGGAAAGCGACCAGAAGAACTGTCTCCAGACACAGCCACGAAGCCAGCAACCCAGCCTCTGACTCATGAACTTTCTGCCTGAAATACTGAGGGTAAATGCATAAGAACACAATGTTGCAATATTAATTACTCTAGTTCAGGGTTCAGGCCAGCTTCCAAGATAACCTAGCCTAGCCTTCCCCAGCTCGGTGCCCTCCAGATATTTTGGACTACAACTCCTATTAGCCACAGTCACCAGGGTCAAGTGGCAAGGGTAATGAGCACTGCAGCCCCAAAAAATCTGCAGTACACCACGTTGGGTAGGATGCTCTCCTCCACTCCTGCCATCCATGTTTGTTTCACCTCTGCAACAGCCAATAGTCTGTGCCCACTGATTATGCTCAGTCTTCACTATGCAGTTTTGGGTTCCCCACCCTCAGGGTTCTCCACACAGAGATTATCTGGAACTTCTTCACTGCTTGGGGCTTCCCCAAGCCTGTTGATACCTCCCTCTTGTGCTGTTTTGGCTACGTTATGGATCCACTTCTGGGGTGGGAGAGCGTCTTTTGTGTCAAGGACTGCATCATTCCCTTGGTAAAACCCACTGGGGGCTGCAACCCAGCTCTGGGCTGAGCCTGAACAGGGTGTTTTGTCACGCACTTTACATTCAAGGATGTGCAAGGCTGGCCCAGCAGACTGTAGAGCCTATACCTCCCTTAAGAAAACTCTCGCTTTCTGAGATCATCAGGAGAGTCCTTGTGCCCTATTCCGTTAACCTGAAGGGCAAAATGTCCCAACACTGGAAGGGTTAACCCATACTTGAGCCCAACTTTACAACCATTAAGGAACAAGGCAGGCATATAGGTCAGTTTAATGCTAATTTCTAAACAAATTTCAATACAGCCTTAATAGTTCTGGAATTTTAAAAATTTTCCTCACAGTTTGTTATAGAATTTGATATGTAGTTTTATTTTAGGATTTATATCCCATCACTGGTCTCCAAAGAGGGTTTATGCTGGATTACAGCATATCCGAAACATGAAACAGTCAATATCATGCAATTAATTGTCTTAAAGCAAGACATAAAATAACAGAAAACTTACTAAGAAATAGCTAATACCACAATTTTAAAAAATAGTAATATTTCATCCCACAAGTGCTTGCTGGAATAAAGATATCGGCAATTTCCCCAAAACACTACTTTATAACTGCCACTAGGAAGAGGAAGCTGCATTCCATAATGTGGATGCTCCCACTTCAAGCCAGACTTCCTTCTTCGCTGCCTAGCAGAGCAATCCTTGTAACTTCACTGCAGCAGGAAATTTGCCAGTGGCCAATTTGAAACTGACTAGTAGTCACTTAGGATGCAGAAATCCAATACAGTTTAAAAGAGTAGTCCCAGGTGGCAGTTTTTGATGACCTGTCCCATAGGAGTTTACATGAGGGAAACAGCAGAGCTTGCTCTTGTCTCCCATGCACTCCCCCGCATTCATGTAGTCGGTATCTACATAAATCGCTTCCTCCCAGAGCAAGGTATTTACTGCCAGCTGGGCCACTTTTTTTTCTCCACTTCTCCCATACAAGCCGGATCTGGTAAGGGTCAAGCATATATATGATTGATCAGCATCTGCTTCTTGGCTATGTACACATCCTTAGATGACCTCAATTAAAACTCATCCGGACAAACAGATATGACAAACGGAAGCACTGAGCAACTGTGTTGGGACATGAGATTGGTCAACAAAAAACATTCCTTGATTGCTGGAAATCTCTTCCCCCAAACATTTGGAATGGATGACAAAGACAGCATATGCTGAGATCTACCTATACGCATTTACCTGGAAGTAAGTTTTACTGAACTTCAGAGCTATTACTTTTGAGTAGATACATATAAAATATTGCTGTAAATCTCCAGTGCTGTAACTCATTTTTAAATATTTTTATTGTTATATTGTTATTTCTTTATGTATTTTGTTTCTGTTGTGAGCTGCCCCGAGGCTTTGTTGCAATGGGGGTGGCATAAAAATGTTTTAAATAAATAATAAATAAATAAATCTAAAGAAAACAAATACTCTAACACTGTCCTTGGAATTTTTCTCACTTGTGGAAATGGAGAGAACTTAGCATTGCAATTCAAGGTTCATTAACCATGCTGGACTTTCTGTAGCTGCTTTGGACCACAAAAGTGTGATCAAAAAAAACATAAACAGCACAAAGGCAGATGGGCAGACAGATAAGAGAGATTAAACTTTGGCTTGGGAAAAGATTAAAAGCACCACCTTCCACTAACAGTCTAACAGACCTCTGATAAGAGTTACACCCATTTGCTCATGGGGTGAGGGGGGGGGGATGTTGCTGTTTTTTCTTAAGGTGACTAAGGTGTGACCAAATGTTGGAGGGGCAAGAAAAGCACTTCAGGTGCAGAAATCATGTTGCTTGCCATGAAATAGTACCTGAAAGGCAAGTCAGAGTAATCTTGCTTCCCACAAGGGGATGCGGTTAGAATGAGACCATCCTCCAGGAGAAGGAATGTGCTGACATTCCCACTTCCCAAGGAAGCCCCCTTTCTGGTGAGCACCGCCCCAGGCTCATTTCTCTGGCTCCCATTTGCAGTCTGTGCAACCCAACATGGTTGTGGTTCTACGGACTGCCTGCTGGCTCTCAGGAAGCAAAGGGAAAGACACAGAATTGCTCAGCAGCAGGACTGGCCTTTGCCTTGGTGTATGCAGAAGCAACTTACGCCACCACCCCAGCCTACACCATGTAACTGGTTCTCTTGAATCCTGTCCTGTCCTGACCAGTAAAGAGACAAGATGCGCCCATTCTTCTTCTAAGCAGGTGGCTATGGGACAGCAGAACACAGCGGGGTTTCCTTTCCTCTTAGCCCCTTTGAAGGGTAAAGGAATTTAACTTAAAAACACTTGCCATGTTGTCCTGGGTCCAGCCTGCCTTTCTTCCAACATTTGCTAGGCCAGGAATTAGCAACCTGGTATGCTGCAGATACTGTATTTTGGAATGCAACCCCCATAAGCCCCAGCCAGAATGGTCCACAGTCATGGATTATGGGAATTAGGTCACAAAACATTTGGAGGTACCCAGCTGTCTATCCCTGTAGTATGCAATTTTCCCCCTAGTATAGGATAGAGTCAATGATGGGGCTCCAGGAACACTGGGCAGTAGAAGCTTAGCAGCAGGCCAAGCCTCCACTATCAGTTTTCCAGTGGGTCAACTCTCTGTTGCTAGAGTCCATGCCTAGCAACACTGATGGCCAATGGGAGTCCACCAAGGAGGGCCAAAGAGACATGCATGAGCCCAGAGGGCAAGGACCTGCTTAAACTACTCTATGCAATAGCAATTCTGTTTGCATATCATACTCAGTATACATGCAGCCTTCTGGCAGAACTGCTGAAGGACAGGATGCAGCTGGCTCCTGCTGAGCAAGGAAATGCCATCACCTGAGGAGACTTCAGCAAAAGCTGAACAGGACTGCTAAAGCTTGAGAAGCAGAGTGAAACCCAAGAGGAAACATCTTGCAGGGCAAGTCAGCACCCCTCTCATATCCTCGCAAGAAAGGCAAACTAAGCACACCGACATGCTAGACCTGCTACGAGAGCACGGTTGCAAAAGTCACTGTAGAGAACAACCCCACACCAGGGGCAAGCCAAGCATTTAGGTTACCTGTCCAGTAGAGGGGTTAATAACAGCCGCACAGCAGCAAGAAGGCAAGCTAACTCTGAGACAGTCCACATCTCTCTGAAAATCTGTGAACACAGTAAGAATGTTGCACCACAAAACTCAAAGAGGTCCCACATCACATTATGCTGCAGGACACCTGTGGGGTGGGGTGCAAAGGGTGGCTTTAAAGAGGTGCTCAGGCTCCTGCTCTGTGCTCAAAGCCTGACTCACTCAGAGGCCAGGCCCACACAGAAGCGAGGGCCATGGCAGAGCAGCTCCACTAATGCCGGTGCCCCTGACAGGGCACTCATGCACTGACCGAACAGCACAAACGTTATTGGAAGAATGGCTGTCATTTGTGCATGTCCGGCCCAACCAGGGGGAGCAGGGCAAAACCACAGGGGAGGCTGGCCAGGGAGGAGAAAACCCACAAACATCAATCAGAGTAAACAACCCCAAATTAACCTTTATAAAATCTCTGAATAACAGAGTCGACACGGCATTCTCCACGACTGTGGTAAGCACAGGTGCTTGTGTCAGGGCGGGCTGGCGAACGCCCAAACACATGCCGTCTTCTCCCCACACTTCTCTCCTCACCTACCGACCTTGCTTTTCTTTTATGTGGTGCCTGAAGGCACCGGGTGCCGTGCGTCTGTAGCAGCTGTTCCTCTGCCAGGCTTCTGTGCCATCTGCCCAGCTGGCTCTGTCTTCCCCATCCAGGTTCCAGTCTGACCGCCCTGCACGAGTCCTTGGACATCCACCTAGCAGAGCCATTGCTCTGGGCTGGACGGCCACGGCACCTATCCCTCCGGAGTCATCATCTGTCCTGTCCTGCAGCCTGGCCATTTCACACCCAGGTTTAAGCCCCCAGATGCTGCTGTCACAGCCCACGGACCAGGGCCGCGGATCTTCTTGGGCAACAGAGAAATTTCTGTCATCCACAGTGCAGCGCTCAGAAGTCCCTCCTGAACAGGGAGCACGGCTGGAGCTTCCATGCAATGTATACCGCTCTTCTGAGGTCTCACAATATTTCCTGTCTGTTCTGCTTTGGTCCACACACCTGCCACCTTTGCTTTCATAGTCCAAGCTGTGGCCACCTGGGTACAAGTCACCACAGTTTCCATTTTCTCTCCAGTGGTTCATACCCCAATTGTCCTTAATCCTAGAAGTTCTAAAGTCCACATCCTTGTCGCAGTCATGAGGCTTCCTGTAGACTACTGTGGCAGCATTCTCACTGTCTGTGTGATAGCCCCTTTCATCTGGAAGACCACCACCTGCTGTCCCATGCTCCGGAAACAGGTTATTCCTGCTCACCCTCTTCTGGTCCACAGCTTGTCTGCCTTCATTTACACAGCCCCTGGTCCTTTCCTGGTCACTGTACCAGATCGGTCCCCTCCTGAAAGGACCACGAGTCCTGCCCACTGGCCTGGTAGTGCCATATAACTCCGTCGTTCTACGTCTGTTGTCCCAATTGTAGTCCCCGCCATTCTGCCCAACCCCCTTGTCTTCTTTCCCGACAGAGCCGTAATCCTCATACTCCCAGTCAGAGAACTGGAGGCGGGGCTCCTGCCCTGGCAAGTCTTCCCTGCTTCTTGCTTTGGGGTAAGTGCACATGTTCCCTTGATGTGCCCCCCCTTCCCCGGGGGGCTCAGTTCCACAGCAACATCCCTCTGCTACGCCTCACCCCTTGGACGCTGCTGACTAACTGCCTGACGACAGTCAGCACAACCTTCGTACCCAATAGGTAGCAAGCCCAGGCGGCCTCTCCCACCTCCTGGCAGGTAATGAGTAACCGCAGTCCCACAATCTGCAGCTGAGGATTGGACAAGTGCCCTGCCCAAACCAGCTTCTCTGCTTTTCAATCCTCAAGGCAGCAACCAGTGACCTCTTTCCAGGGCTCCTAAGCACGGGGAAACTTTGAGCGTGTACTGCACGGTGAGAGACCACTCCCTGTGAGCACTTCACTGGAGCAACAGGGCCCTGGGGAATTGCTAGCTGGACCCTGCGGCTACCTCTCGCCTGCCTGTGAAAGAAACAAAGTCTTAGCTATGCAATAGTCCTGAGGTGTTAGCTATGAATGCGCTCAACAGACACAAGCACACCTACTTCTAAAAGCACTGGCTCAGCTCTGTGTATACATCACTTTTGCTTCCTCCACTTCCTTAATGAGTTGTTCTATTGGATCCAAGGCACTACTTTATAGAATCAGTTCTGGTGAGCATAAAATCTCAGGAAGCCTCTAGAAATCTACATGAATATGACTGAATTCCAGGGACACTAATAATGACACCCCATGCAGAGTTCAACAGGTTGCACAGAAGTTCAACAGCCTTGCCTGCCAATAGTTTGCATGCCAAAAAGTTGCCAAGGAAAACCTGAAAACGTATTGGCAACTTTTGCTAATAAAAACAAAGACAAGCATTGTTCAGGTGGATATTTCAGCCATCTAACAATTAACACTTGAGCCCCTGTCCCTATTTCCCTAGCAATATTGCTATCCTCACATTTTTCCATACTTACAAATACTTATTTTCTAGCACTCTCTGTCTCCAAAAAAGTGAACACACAGAGAACAAATTATTAGAAATTCTGCAAGGTGGGGAGAAAAACACCAGCAGAAAACAAATCACAACTATATAACACATACACAATTGTCCAATAATTGTTTCACTTTGCTAATTTCAAAGAGTGTTGTGGGTCTTTGGAAAGAAACACTAAAAAACAACATTATGCAGTAATGGCCTCCCACAAAGGATTATGGAGGCAACAAATGAAATAAGAATTGTAAAGCATTCTGCACATCTCAACAATACACACAATGATTAGTAAGAACTGACCACTCCCCAAATACATTTCCTCCCTCAGTTTCAATATTATCATCCCTCCCATGGCTCACTGTTTTGCGCACAAATGCTTGTGCTCCCTCACCTTTGGTACCCCATCGTAAGTCCTGCTCCTCCTTGTCACCTAGTTCCTTTGAGCCTAGATTCTGGCTGCTCCGCTCAACCCAGATTTCAGCTTCTGAACCTTGCTTTTGTGTACCTCTTAGCTCAGTAGCCACAAAGGACTAGGATGCCACCAAAACCTAACACAAAGGAAACTTCAGGGCACATGGGTAGCTGATTAATCTGAAAGAGCCGCTGAAGTCTTGATAAACTTCAGGCCACAGAGTTCTTCCTCCAGGGAATATCTGCTGTTAAATGTAGTTACAGGGGTATATCTACCCTCCCCACTTTTCAGAAACAGCCAAGACCTACTGATTCCTCAGAACTTTTGAAAACTGAGATAGCTTTTCTATTATTTATATCACTATTTTTATGATGTGCATTTGTTTTCATTTGTTCACATTGTTTTCAATAGCATTTCCCCAAGACAATATGGTCTCTGAATTTTTTCCCCTTTCAGCAAATATTTACTGATAAAGGGCTATATAACCTGAAAGGTTAATTCAATGTTTATACACTTTTATGACCTTTCCGTCTTCTTCCTAAGGTAAGCAATTCCATCACAGTTACCACATGAAAGCAAATATTTCTGGATTCTAGAGAGAGGGAACCAGCAACTTCCTTCAATAAGTCGCCTATCCATATCCCAAAAGCCTGCTTCCTTGCGTCAGCCACCATCCCAAAGTAACTGTAAAATGTGCAAGAAATCCTTAAGTCAGAAGTGTGCACAGAACCATACAGTTGGAAGGGGCCTAGAGGGCCACCGGGTCCACTCCCCTACTCAGTGCAGGCCTCCCATCCAGACTCTGCTTAGTTTCCAAGATTAGGTAGGATCAGGCACTTCTATCCAAATAATCCATGAGGTAAACAACATGTCCAAAAGCCAAGGGTTTGTTAGGAAAGCTTTTCTGCGGTCATAGCTAGGGTCTACATAGCATCACTCTGTGAGTTACACTTTAATCAGTGAGTAGTCATTTTAAGAATGAAAGCTGAGCCAGCAGAAATACGGAGACCTTGCTTGTATCGTCCTGCAGTGTTACCCAGCAGGCCAGGCACAATGAACGGAGTGTCCCCCAGCTGTCTTTGGCTACAATGCTCATCAGCCCCAGTCAGCATGCCTAACACTGAGGGATTATGGGAGTTACAGGCCAAAAAAGCTGAAGGCAACACCAGGTGCAGGAAGCCCAGAAGAGAAGACAACTTCGACAGGCTGCAGGACCCCACTCAGGCAGAAGCCATGATGCTTGGCAAAGAAATGCTTTCTGCTCATCCTTGCCCACTCCAAAATACAGAAGCCAGATTCTGATCACATCCTTCTCAGCCAATAAGGAGATGAGGTTTCATGGACCATGCTGTAATAACAGAATGGGCTGGGCTTCACATAATCATCTGTCAGTTCCTCCCAAAAGGCAGATCTTGGAAGGGCAACTGGAAGATGTCCAGGGTTTTTTTTCTCTCTCTATGGCCCCTTTTGGCCCCTGTAGGCTGTACATGGCCATGGTCATACCCCCACCATGACTGCAGTTTTTTTTTTTTTTTGTAAAACCCATGTCTATTGCTTTGGAGTGCCCACATGTTCAAAAGCAGCTTGTTGGCAAGGGCCGGTTTTTGCTTGCAGGCAAGCTAATTCTGGCCATTCTGGTGCTCCGAGGCAGCCATGGATGCCACTTCCTACCCCCCACCCCCACCCCAAGATGGGATCTGCAGCATGTGTCACCCGCCGCAGGGCAGAGCTTCTCCCCATACCAAGGGTGATGGTACTCACCCCTCAACTCCTGCGCTTCCAGGCAGAGGCTTTCGATTTTGCAGTCACAGAGTTCCAAGTTTTCCAGAGCCTCAGTGTGCCCAAGCTCATCCTGGGGCTGCTCCAGCATGGCACTGAGCTCTGCTCGGGTCTTTCTGTAAACATCCAGTTCTTGCTCCAGCTCCTGGAGACGATTCAGCAGGAAGAGACACTGAGGTGCACTTCCGGACTCCTCAGCATTACCTGGTCCTCCTCTGTTCCTTGGCGGTAGCTTTGCTGACGCTGGACATTTCCTCTGGCTGCCTGCTGGGGGAAGTGGGGCCGGCCTGGAGGGCCGCATGGAGGTTGGGAAAGCCTGGGACTGGGGTGTGCTTTTGGAGGCAGAGACCGGGGTGCTGGGCCGAGGAGGTGGCGGTCGCAGCACCTTTCTCCTGTGTGCCGTATGTTCCACTGAACCACGCACAATATCTTTCTCAGAGTTGAAGTCCAGGATGGAATAATGCCGGGAGACACTGTCTGGCTGCGGGGTGCCGCAGTCGGGGTGACTGATGGGATTGGCCAGGCTTTGCTCAAATTGGGCCAGCTGCTCCGTCAGCTTGGAATCGAGGTCCCCACAACTGTCCCCATGGAGCATCCCTTGAGAGCACTCAGCCCGTTCCCCCTGGCAGACAGGCCAAGTGTCCAGGCCTTCATGGGTCCTGCTGAGGGTGGATGAACAGGATTTGGGTTTCCAGTGTGGGACTGCTGTGCAAGCATCCGTATCCGCACAAGGGACATGCTCCTGGGAAAGGCTGCAAGCATCTCCATCGCACTTTGAGGGCTTGCAGGCCTCTGAAGGGCCCCACGAGGCCCTCAAGCTCTGGCTGGGTGCTGGGCTACTCACATGGTCACCAAGCTGGCTGTTTGACTGGAGTGCAGGCTGAGGGATACCAGAAGCAAAATTTACAGCCTTGGCCGAGTCTGCAGAGGGAGAGTCCGACACAACTGAAGGAATGGATCCTGGGCAACCCCCATTTGGGTAGTTTAGTGTTTTGTCCCATTTATGCTCGGAGTCTAAAGAGCTCTCCTGCCTAGCTGTAAGATGAACGGGATCCTTCTCAGGACAGCCTGTGCTCCATCCAGGGTCCTCCCACCCCCCAGGGCCACCTGCTTTATGGGCACTTGCTGCCTCCGAATCCTTTGGCAGGCATTCCAATTCCCAGTGCTCCCTGGAGGGTGGGCTACTCTCCTCTAGCCGCACGAACCTGTGGGGGAAGATGCCCCGTCTTCCTCGAAGCTCCCCCTCCAGCCAGCCATCGTCCAGGACCTCCAGAATCCGGATCCTGTCCCCCACTTCGAAGTCCAGCTCCTCGGATTCCAGGGCTTGGAACTGATACAGGGCAATCCCATAAGGCCCCGGCAATTCCTCACCATCTTTCCATGCCTCCTTCTCCACCTTGGGATACAGGTCTTGCATTCCATTGACGCTGTGGATTTCAGACGATACCGACTCCTCAGGGTTGCTCTTAGCTTTCAGGGGACCCAAGAGTTCTACAAAGCCCTCTGGAAAAATGCCTCGGTGGCCTCCAAGCTCCCCCTCAAACCATCCAGGTTCTGGGATCCCAACAATGGTAATCACATCCCCTTCCCGGAAGTTCAGCTCCTCCTCCAGCTGGGCTGAAAGGCCCATCAGTGCTCGAGCCTGACCCAAAGCATAGGATGGCATCTCCTGGGTGGCACCATAAGGGGACTGAGGACCAAAGGCAGAGAGGCAGAGTTCTTGCACACAGGATGATGGGAAGAAGCCCTTGGCTCCCCAGCAGCTTCGGCCTTGGAGCCACTGAGGGTCCACAGACCCATCCAGAATCACAAGGTCTCCTGTGGGGACAATGATTGTAGGGGTTAAAGAATTCCTCAGGTTTTACCTGGAGCTCACCTTGTTCGGCATTCCTTAGGATCCTCAGGATTTCAGCTTGAGGAGGTACAGGTAGCCCCAAAGACAGAAAACATCAGTAGTGGGGAACTCTTGCAGCCCAAGAGCAGGCCTCAATTTCAGAGAATCTCTCCAAGGAGGCATTCAGGGATGAGGGATGATACAGGCAAAGGGACAGGTCAAAGGCCAAAATGACAACCCTCCCCAGTCTATTTTTAAAATCATTTCCTGCCTGTAACTACATCTTAAGAGAAGTTTAGAATGATGGGGAAAACTGCACAAAAGCTGGGAAAAAACAGGTGATCAGTGCTTAGGGGAAAGGAGTTGGGTTCAGGGGAAAGTAGTGAAGCCATCTGGGAAGACTTGGAAGGTCCAGCTGAGATCCCAGGAAGGAAGCATTTGACCTCTGGGCCAGAGGTTCCCCATCCTGCTCATAAAGGCTCACAGCACTACGGCTTGCACTTGCCAAGCAACAGGGATCCCTGTGCTGGAAAAGGTGCTCCATGCCAAGGATCCTAAATACTTTCCTGCTGTTAGCAGTCTCAGAGCTCAGCCCCAGGCACAGTGGGGCATGGTGGTAGCAGCAGCAAACACCCTTGGGTCACTGCAGCTGGACCTCTGGGGAGATCAAAGAACTGATGGACTCTCGGAGGAAAGAGTCTCATGAGAACCAGGTACAGCTGGTTCCCCCTTTGCCCTCGTGACGCAGCGGGAAACCACCTCTACCTCTCTGCAAGGTCAGACTGCCAGGCTCCTGGGAAGTAAAGTTGCTGGTGCAGACAAGCAGTTTCTCTCCTTGCTTCAATGGAGGGACATCCACAGGTTCCACAAAGCTGCTTGGGAACTGTCCTAGAATGAGAGGGAGGGAGGGCACAGTGAAAATAAGGTCAGTTGTCTTATTCCACATCTCTAACAGGAGTGGGCTATAAAGAGAACACACAATAAGCACAAGATAAAAACCAATAAAACCTATCAGTAAAACAAGGTACAGGGTCTACTATCAGTCGCTGGGAAAAACAGAGTAACAAATCACAGAAATGCATCGAACAAATAATAGATGATGCTTTACTTACTGGTATGGAAAGAGCTTTCCAAAGGAGGGGGCAACAGCTACCATATTATAACCTGTGGGACAGGGTGCTTACTGATTCTCCCCTATTGATCTAGCAGGCCCAAAAAGGGGAAACAGTGTTTTAGGTAACTTGATTCCAAGTTGTTCAAGATGTTATATGTGACCGATAAAACCCTGAAGATACTCAAGTAGCAAACAGGGTAACAGTACAGTTACTTCAGCACTGGTGTGATATATACATGAACTTGTGTCCTACACACACTGCCATGTTTTTCACCACCCGCGGCTTCCAGACTAGCTTCAGCTGAAGCCTCATAAAGAGCATATTACAGTATCCAGTTGTGAATTATTCTTATGAGTAGGTTTTATGGGGCAGTTGTGATGTTGTCCACCCGCTGATGGACCACATTCAAACACCCTTCTTTGCAAGAAGCACATATGAGACGTTTTACTCTGGGAACAAGGAAACTTTCTCCTCTTGCTGCAGCAACACAGAGAGCTGGACAGAGATGGTACCATAAACACAAAACTAAGAATTCTGGCAGGTGGTGTAGCACAGCCAGAGCAGGAGCAAACAGTACACACAGGAAGTGACGCCGAGGCTCATCGTGTCTCCATCAGCCCGGGTGCTGATGCTGCGACTGCCTGCTGAGCCTCCATCCCTTGCCACTCTCTGGTTGTCATTTTGGGAGGCCCTGGGCTGCAGGACACTGGACATCATCTCTAAGGTCCAGACCTCGCTGTACCATGGTTTCTGGATTATCCAGCTAAAAAATACAGCAGCTGCACAATCTATACATGTCAATCTTTCTAAGGGATCCATTTGTTTCTCTGGGGGCAGGAAACAGATTCTGGTGTGCACATGTGTGAAACTGAGGGGAGAAAAAGAGGGTGGGAAATGCAGTAGAGCAGCATGCACTTCTAAGGGCTATAATGGAATCATTAATCTCTCATGCAGTTGCCTTCCTATATTTGGCAGATCCATTTTGGACAGATCTCATTCAATACAAATACCACATCCCAGCACCCAGATAGATCTGAGAGCTCTGAAACCTGTAGAATCATCAGCTTTCCAAGGCACAAGCCCTATTTTAATCCCCTATAAGAGTGGTTTTTGAGGGAAAAGGGATCCTGCCATAATCTGATGTATTCCACAGTACTGATGTACCTGTAACTCTAAAGGACATTAAGAAGAGATTATCAAAACCCTCTGAACTGACATGGCATGCATGACTTAATAGGCTTTGTTAAACTTCCCATGATTCGTAGAATAGTAGGATTGGAAGAGGCCAAGGAGGCCATGGGATCCGACCCCCTGCAGGGGTGCAGGACACCAGGTCACACCATCCCACTCAGAAGATTGTTTCATCTTGAACATCTCTAATGTGGGAGAGCCCGTGGCCTCTCCTGGCAACTGGCTCCATTGTCATATTGTTATAACAGTTAGAAATTCTTTCTGGTATCTAGCCTGAAACTGGTGTGCTGTAGTCTAAGGCCATTGTTGCATGTCCTACACACAGGGATGAGAGAGAAGAGGCCTTTTCCTTCCTCTTTCTGATAGCCTTTGAGGTACTTGTAGAGTGCTATCATTTCCTCTCATAGTCTTCTCTTCTTGAGGCTAAACATGCCCAGTTCTCTCAGTCACTCTTCACAGGGCTCAGTTTCCAGACTCTGGATTATCTTTGTTCCTCTCCTCTGGACCTTTATAGGTTTTCTGCATATCTTTAAGACCTGGGTGCCCAGAACTGAACACAGTATTTCAGGTGAGGTCCAACTAGCGCATATTCACCCAGGGAAGGAGCAAAGCATGAGACTAAGATCAGGTTTTACTTTTGTCCTGTGCTACAGGACACAGGACAAAATTATCACACAGGAAAATGAACACACAGGCTGGAGAATGGCTCCCTCTTCTGGCCACTTGAATCTTTCTCCCTTTATATGAGCAGTTGTTAGACTGCAATATGGCCTGCTTTAGGATTTGCAAAGACAGAAGTGAAATCCACATCCTCTGATGGAACCCATATCCTCCAACGCACTCCTTTGATAGAAGTCACTTGATCGTGGCATAAGGTACACAGACTTGGAAGAATGGGAGCAACCCACATAGGGAGAAAGGAGAGAAGATGGACTGAGGCTGCCTTTTCCTCTTCTCCCACACTAAGGACAAGATAGAAGCTGAGGATTTCTGCCTTCACCCAGTAGCCATGGCCATAAACTGGAGCAGTTGCTAAGGGCCCAGTCAAGGCAAACATGGACTGGTGCTTGTGCAGAGACAACATGGTATTTTTTAAAGGCAAGAATCAAAAGATAATCCAGATCTACTGACAGGCCAGTCTTGAGTGCTAGTCACTGCCTTGCCATCTCCTGAGTGGTTCAGGGTAGTGTGGACATGCTGATCTCACATCACGATGCACTGAATGCCTTGAGACATGCATTTTGAATTAGACTGGCTAGCTCGCTAAAGCCAATGAAATTTAAAAAAGGAAACTATTGTGGTAGCAATCTCAGTTTTCCAAGAGTCAGTCCTTATGAAGTCCTAAGCACCATTTACCACAGGAGGGAGGTATCAATAGGTCTGAGAAAGTCCAAAGCTTGCAGAAATAAGAGGAGGAAACACCCAAAACAGCCCAATGAAGGCTGGGAGTGTTCAGTGAGAATTAATAACTACTTGGGGGAACGGCATGCAGCATCCTAAGTAAGACAACTCTGCACTGCAAGACTTTGTTGCAGACAAAATTTGTACAGAATGTGCTCTATTTGGGGGCTTGTTTAGATACCACAACCAGCAGAAGAAGGCCACTTAAAGACTCCACATGGTGATTGTTAACAAACAATGCGCTGTTTGTGAATAGCTCAGCAAGTGATCATCTGGCACAGTTTCCTATGCAACTGCAGAGTTAGCATGTTGCGAGATGAGCTCTCAATTTAGTACTGTAGCAACTGCAAAATTGCTCCCGCGCCTGCACCTCACCCACTTTTTGGTAATTCTCCTTCTTCTCATGGAGACGGGTGCAGCCACCAACCAAATACCAGAGATCCCTTTCTTGTACTTGTCTGCTATCCTCAATGCTCCCCAAGTCCCAGTGACTTTTTTACTGGTGTCAGAATGAAATCCTCTCCCCTAGTTAGCTCTAGTTTTCCCTTCCTCCTCTGTGTTTCCTTTCTAACTGCTCTGGATTGACAGGATCCCTGGCACACTTCTAATGCAGCCCACTCCATGACCACAACAAGGGAGTTTTGGCTCCTACCTGTGACTCCTTCCTTCTTCCCAAGCAGCCAGAACTCGTCTATGACTGCCAGCACTTCTATGACGTCTCCCACAAACAGTGGCAACTCCTCGGAGACACTGGGACAGAAATCAAAGACGGCCCGCACCACAGAGCCTGCCTCCATCATTGAGCTCTGCAAGGAATGGACACAGAGTTAGCGCCTAAGAAACAGCTACGCCATGTTACAAACTCCAAGGGACAGAGATTCAGGAACACAGAGGGCCAGAGCAGACATTATGTTAGGCTAAACATGTGTCTCACAGGTATGCCCTCTTATTATGTTTACAGTAAGCGCAGGAGCACAATACAGATCTTAAATGCACCCACTTCCCACATGAGTGTCCCAGTAAAAGAAAATAACCAAACAAGGAAAACAAGATGCAACTGCTAGACAAACATTTAAAGTAATGCCTGCTTTGGCCCTGAGAAACTCCAGGGGAAGCACTGAGGTTTGTGCCAGTCACTCTCCTTGGAATATGGGATCACACTTGCATGGTGCAGTCATTTTGTAAACCCATGTCACGGTTCCATAGCCCAAATCCAGCAAAAGGGAGCTCTATTTGCACAATCATTTCAGCCAGCTTCAGATTCAGTCGGGCTTGCAATTCACACTGGGCTGCCATTCAGCTCTGTTCTTTCCCACAAATCATTGTGGTTAGTTTCTTTCCCTCTTCCTGTGATTAGTTGGTGGTGACCCACATTTTCTACAAAGACTTTCAAGTAGATGTGGCACTTGGTCTGAATTTGGCTACTGTTTCCACACTGCTGATTTTCTCCTGGCCTTTTCTGCTTGACACCTTTCTTTCCTGAGCTAGCTGTTGGCCTCCAGTCCTTTTCCATTCTTTGTTATATGTCTTGATCTTCAAAGGCTGTTCCTTCTAGCTTTCCTCCATACTGCTCGTGGCTCACTCTTGAACCTGGATGAATGGGATAGAATGTGCTGCATCCTATTGTTATAAGTACTTCGGTATATTACATCCAGGGCTAAAGGAGACCACACTCAGTAGTATAGAAGCACCTGCTTCCGCTACAGAAGTGTCTTAGATTTAATTGCTGGCATCTCTACTGTTGTTTTTTAAGGTCACATCACAGCTTTTTGGAAAGAGTTCTTCCTGCACAAGTCTTTGGTGAGCCGCTGTTAGTCACAGCAGGCAACGCTGTGATACACAGACAAATAGTGTGAATTGGTTTAAGGCAGCTTCCTATTTTCCTGTGGTTATCTGGTGCAGGTCTTTGGTACTAAATCTAACAGTTTCCACCTTTCCCTAGATCAGGGATGGGGAATATGTGTCACTCCAGATGTTCTTGGGATTGCATTTCCCACCATCCCTCCCCACTAGCTATGCTGGTTAGGGCTGATGCAAGTTGCAATCCAGCAAAGTCTGTAGGAACATTGTCCAGCCCTGCTCTGGTGGCCTCGAAAAACCGCAACTCCCATGATTTAATTAGCCCCGCTGGCTGGAAATTATGGGTGTTGCCATCCAACACATCTGAAGGACTCCACATTGGAGGAAGGATGATCCTTCCACTTCAGGCATAGCACCCCTCTGGGATGGCCTCCTACATACCAACCTGCCTCAGGAACTCACAGAGAGTGGCAATATTCTCAACACAGTTCAACTAGGAGGGCTGTTCCTTGTCTCAGCCAAAGAAACTGCTGCAAGGAGAGCCTTTTGGGTGAGTAAAAGATTTAACCTAATCCTGGACCATTTTGGATCTGTAAACAAGCAGGTATTTTGTTTAGCACCAGGAGGGGAACACTGACATGAACCTGTTACTAGAAAGGGATGCGTTCTCCCACTGTGAAAGAATCTAGACATGTTCAGGTTTTTTGGGAGGATATCAGGTTGGCAAAGGTTGATCTATACTGTTGGTTAGATTCAGAAACCCAAAGCAAAGGACTTTACAAAATTGAAAATGATTGTACATGTAAGTCCCATGTATCAGTAGAGACAAATGGCACAAAAGGGGGAAACTGGGCGACTCTCACCCATAAAATGTTGAATTGTTCAAATATTGCATTAGAACTGGGATGGGCAACTTGTGGTTCCCCAGATGCTTTTGCCTCCTGTTCCCATCAGCCCTCACTATTGGCTATGCTGCCCAGGACTGATGGGCCTTGTAGGCCAAAACAAAACATCTGGAGGCCCACAGCTTGCCCCCTCCTGCTCTTGGGGATGGAATCAAGAGAGCGACCTCAGCCCCACAGTTAAAACTGCACCTCCTGGGCAGGACTGACTGGGCAGGCCTGTAGAGGCACTTTCTAAATGCTCAGACCGCTGGGTATTTGTAGGAAAGAAAGCAAAGGGGCCCACAGCGCTACCTTCAGCCATGCTTGCCCATTCCGCCAAATCCTGGCACAGGCTGTGTGGAGAGGAGGAGGAGGAGGAGGAATTCCTGTCAGGAAGGAACTGCAAGATGGAGCGGAAGCTAAGCGCTTCCCTGACGCACAAAAGGGGGCTCCTGGCTGCCACTGACCAGCACATTATGTGCAGCTTGGTCAGCAGCCCTTAGCAGGTGATGAAGCTCATCCTAGTACAGTAAAAGCCTCCGCTGTGCTGTTAAATAACCTCCCCGCACCATTGTTACAAGCACGGTCACAGTCCAGGGTGTTCTTTTTGGTAAGGTTGCAACCCTCCAGTTTGGTCCTGCAGAAGAAGGACGCTTTGCACCAGCCGCTGTACCCGATTCACTTCAAATGAACAGAGAAGAAGGCCCTGTACGTCAGGGCCAAGGATCCCTCTGTATCCCATAGAATCTCCACTACCATGACTCACATTAGCAATCAACAGACACGGGGCATTTGTTTCTGTGCTACTGGCATAATGCGATGCGTGTAGCAACAGAAAAGCAACAGTTCCGGCATTTCCAGCATTCCGCAGCCAGCATGCTGGGAGCCACAGAATGCTGGGAGCCGCAGGACTTCCTTTCCGCCAAAACACGAATAGCGCTGCTATACCTACATGGTATATTTCCCTTCTGTTAGGCAATGAATGGAACCATATGCTCCCCAGCCCCTTCCAGTAAATCTTCCCAAGGACGTTACTGTGCCTGAGAGCAAACAGTCTACCTGTCGGCCCAGGAGAGTGACTGCAAAGTTCTGATGAGAAACACATCGGAATGTGTTTTATAGAAGTGTGCACAAGGGCTGGTAATACAAGGGTGACTGAGAGTGAAAGAGCTGGAGGGAGAAACACTGCGCTGATGGCTCTGCTTTATTAGTAGGCACGAGGGCCTCATGGCAACAGTGTGAAGCATTGCTCAGAAATGCTGCCCTGGCAATTCCCGGTTTTTCTGCTGCTGGCATCCTCGGAAGCAAGCGACCGGTTGCCCTTGGCCTAGTACCCCAAAGCTGCAGCCCCTGTATGCCAAGTTCTTTGCTAAGCAGCTCTGAGGGGCATCAGATCAACACCTCCCATGCCATCAAACTGAGCTGACTAATAACTTCATAAGTAACCCTCAGACTGAGGACAGGGGCTGTTGGCACATATGAAAATGATCAGGAAATTAAACAGAAGCATCAATAAGCATGAAATCAAAGTTCATATGAAATCAGGGGTCCAGCGAGCATGTGGCTGAACGCATGACCCCTCGGCAGATCTGTTTACACCATCCAGACACAAGGCAGATAGTAGAAAACCTGCTCGCAGAACAAAGATTTCTAGAGGACTGGATTAAATATGCTACTAGGAAAGGCAAGATCTTCACTGAAATTTGCGAGCCTTATTAGGATCTTATGCCATACAGTAATTCAAGCAACTAGTCATGATTAGACGAACTAACTGAGATGCCATGTTCTCAGTTCTCACAAACATGTGCAAAAGTCTCTGCTGTGCCCTGCTTGAACCATCTACCTGCCTTCTACCTGCTCGCCGCTGCATCTAGCTGCTGCCCCTGATATTGTTTGGATCTATTAGATGCTTGAGCTAGATCTGCCTTTGCAGCAGATGGATAATGCAACTGGAACTCCAGGGATTTGCTTTCTGTGCAAAGCTGACACAATACCAACTGCAAACAACTGCTTATCCAACTCAATATTTTGCAACCAGCCAGAAGGATATGGAGTGTACCAGAAGCTTTGAGTTGAAAAGACCACATAGTTCACCTGATGACATAAAGCATCAGATTCTGACACAAAATCTTGTGAACTGTAGAAAGTCAACAAAATAACATGAATTAAATCATATGCTTATATCAGCACAGATGTGTGGAATAAATTCATAATACAGTAGAGTCCAACAAAACAATAAGCAATGTCTTGCAATTTGAAGTCTAAGATCAGAGTCAGTATCGTGAGGCTAATAATCTAAGTCCAAAGTATAGATTCACATTTTTGCAGCTCTCACTTGCATCAGTCAACTCAGTAGATTTCAACTGATGAGGTATAAATGGTATGGACCAAGTTCTTCAGTACCATGCTCGTACGTTCTATTATATTAAGTCCTAAGGATTTTTGAAACAATTTCAAATACACAGAGGAATGCCAGTGAATTATCCCATTTCGTGCATCTTAGTTCACAAATATCCAGAAATCACCACCAACACAAGACAAGGCATTTTCATGGAGTATCATTATCCTTAATTGCTCACTAGGCAGTAGGAACAAAGGACATTTGTTGTCCATCTTTCTTTAGGCGGGAGTTTTCTTCATGCTAAGCTACCTCAGCCCAATCGCACTGAGCAAGGGAAGATTAAGTATAAGTTAGTCACACAGTTCCTTCTTGCCCTGCCAGAACACCACACTGGCTAAAAGCTTCTGCAACAGTGTTGATTAGCCAGCGGTGCAAGGAATGACAGAAGACTGTATGGAGGAAATGAAGGCAATTCATCCCAGGCAGATTGCCTTCATCCCCCTCCCCAAGTCCAAATATCATAAGGTGCAATCCAGCCCAGGGCGCTGTGTTCCTGGCAGACTTGCACAAGTAGTCACAGACACACCTGACATTTAGGAATGAGATGGAAAGTCAAGCGAGCCCGCTGGGGAGGCAGTGAACTGAAACGACCCTGTCTGAAACAGCCCCAGCCAGTGAGTGAGGGCAAAACTGAGCTAGGGGGACCAATGTTATAGCTCTGGCATGGTAACTACAGTACCTATTTCCAATAAAAGTTTCCTACACTATCATAAGCTGCTCA